CGGCGATTTTTGGAGATAGCACCGCGTTGTGGAGGAATACCACGGGCGCGACGCGTAACCGTCTTTCTGGGCACATCGTATAGTTTCTCAACGCCTCGGAAGGATGTAATTTGGCCGGTCTTGTAGGCTTGAACGCCTAGAATAACTCTGCCTTCTTGAAAGATGGCTTCTTGTTGTTGTGGTGCTGCCATTGGGGTGGTTGTTGGACGACGCGTCGCGTGTTGAGTTGGGTGGGCCACTAGCTTGTGCGGGCCACTAACTTGTGGATTACGTTAGCTTTGATGGCAAGCTTATTAATGCAGTTCTTGCCTCAGGCCTCCGCGGCTAATGCCTTGGTCTGCGACATCCCACCTCATCATCCGCGGGTAATTTATTGTAAGATATGTGGCTGTGCGGATCGCACAAGGCTCGGAACTGATCAAATCCAACTTGGGATTGGGAGCAGTGCTAAGGCGCTTGTTTAGTCGGCCAACGCGTTTCCAGCGTCGAAACCAGCTTCGACACAGCCATCCTACACTTCGAGATGCGGTCCGACGCACAGCGATACCTACTTTGTAACGTAGAGACATACCATCACGTCGTCCTCAAGCGCCGAAATCTCCCGTTGTCCCCTCCGCTGACCGAACAAAAGACATAATCAAGCCCACCACGTCCTCATGCTTCTCGCGCCCTCCAGCGCCGATTCCTGGGCCAAGCAGCAGCTGAGAGCTAGTCTTAGCTTGTTGAAGGGGAATACCATGAGATAGGAGGGGTATAAGATAAGATAGATTGGGTGACCCTGGAAATCGATGCCTGCGCTTTGGCGAGTGGGTTGAGTGTCACTGGCAGAACGCCGTCGTTGCAAGCATATACGAAGGTGGAAAGGCTCGGCATGTTTTAGTGATACAGCTGTCACACGGTTATACAATGAACGGCTCCTTACATGAATACTGCAATCTCTAGAGCCGTAGAGTTGCTTCGATTTGACCTCTGATGGTGATGAGGAGTTTGGATTCATATTCGTAAGGGCTGGGCATGGTAGAGCAGAGATATGATGGTGGCTATGCTTGGCAAGGCACAATGCTGTCTCAGGCTGCGTGCCACCCACTGTCATTAGCAATGATCGTATCTCCTCGCATTCGCTATCCATTCCAGACGTTCATGGCAACCCTGTGGCCGGTGCGGTTCGGCCGTCCTCCCTGCTAGCATGATGAGGGTGTTCGTCCGCTTCTAATATTGTCCAAGCGTGACATAACCTGGGGGTTCAACTGCAGCTGAGTTAGGAGCCATCTCTGTCACTGCCACTTCCATTCTTAAGTAAATTTAACATGATCCTATTACAACTTATTAACTAGCGCCTAGAAGCGGCCTGTATTCACTATTTGAGTGGTGTGTGCTCTAACTAGAGAACTGCAACTAGAAAATTGCATTGCGAACGGCATTATCGCAGGTCTCTGTTTTATTGTTCATAATGATGGCAATGCATTCGTCTAGACTAAACCGAAAAGGGACTAATGCGGCGTACGACAAGCAGATGTTAAGTTGTCCGAGGTGAAGAGTGCAGGGGTGTTGTGGCGGGCTGAAGAACAGGCCTAGACACTGTAGTTAATTCTCAATCCGGCGATTCTCGGATAATCGCATCCATAACCTAGCGGACTGATTAGCTAGAACAGCTGCACGAGCAGAAATGTACGAGGGCACAAACCTTGTTGCCGGCCAGAATAATGCGCGGCTACCAAGGGGCTGCAGCTATGACCTGGCGAAGGGCACCTTCTTCAGCCTGTTGACAAATTTATCGAGCGCGTCGAACTACCCCGCTCTCACCACCAGACATTGCTACCACCAAACGAAAAAACATAGTTTTCGATATCGCCGCTATTTTCGCTGCCGGACCCCTCTTGTACAGATCATGGCACCGTTTTGGGAGAAACCGATAAAGAGAATCCTTAAACGCAGCAAGGAATATGACGGACAAGGCGGCAAACCGTCCGAAATTATCACAGGTTCTTCTGATCCAAACAATCACACGTCAAAGTCTGATCGAGCCGCGCGTTTCGCGAGTGCCCACTCGCAGGCCGACGACCGAGTGGCTTCGCCTACAGTTCATTCGATAATTTCTGTGCAGCAACCGCCTTCGGCCGTTTCACCGACATCCTCCCCTCTAGCTACTTCCCACACTCTAACAGTCGCCACTCCCCAACCAAATTTTTCCGGTTTAGTAACTTTAATATCTTCAAGCGTGCGGGGAACACTATGGAACCAAGCCTACGACAAGGTGAAAACGAAGGAGCCTGCTCTGGTAGACGCATATGAGAGAATACTGTCCCGCAAACTCAACAACGATGAGGCGAGTTTGACAGCTCTTGAGCCTCCAAAGAACGAAATGGAACAAGAAAACCCGGAGAAAAGGCGGTCTCAAATGATGCAGCTCATCCGGGCTGGCTTAGACAAGACCGAGAGGGAGGCCGCCATTAAGCAAGGTATCGATGACGGAATGCAAGCCGTACACTCTGTAAGAGGCATAATAGATAAGGCAGTAAAGGCCGCCCCAGAAGCTGCTCTCGCGTGGGTTGGTGTCTGTTTCGTTCTAGAGGTGAGTTTTTTCTCCAGACACTGCAACTACATGGGTCCATTAACCCTGTTGGTAGATCCTCGCAAATCCAATCAGCGAGGCCATTGCCAACCGCAGCGGACTCGCCTATGTTGTCTCCAGAATGGACTGGTACTGGAACTTGTCGGACCTTCTCCTCGACAAGAACAGGGTGGAGAAATCCTCCGCCGGACTGCGTGACGAACTTGAGAAGCACGTCCTCGACCTTTACCAAAAACTCCTCGCGTACCAGATGAAGAGTGTCTACTCGTACTACCAAAACAGGGGAGTTGTTTTTTTCCGGGATATGATTAAACTTGACGACTGGGATAACAAGCTGAGAGATATAAAGGACGCAGAGGAAATTATTCGAAAAGACTCTAGTCAATACAACACTCAGCAAATCAGATCTCATCTCCAGGATCTGATCGATACTGCTGGGGATGAGACGCAGAAACTTAAAGAAATCAATTTGGCCATTCAGCGCCAAACTGTGCAGCATAGGAATATGCAAGAAGAGGAGGAAATCAAGAAATGTTTGAAAGACCTCCGGGCCACGGACCCACGGCACGACAAGATACGCATCGAGCAGACTAAAGGCGGCCTCTTGCGGGAGTCGTATCACTGGATTCTCGACAACCCCAACCTCCGGCAATGGCGCAATGACCCAGAGAGTACGCTGCTCTGGATCAAGGCCGACCCCGGCAAGGGCAAGACCATGCTGCTCTGTGGGATTGTTGACGAGCTGAAGAAGTCGCCTACCCCTGGCCTTCTGTCCTTCTTCTTCTGCCAAGCCACCGACCCGCGCATTAACAATGCTACCGCTGTGTTGCGCGGCCTGATCTACTTGCTGGCCGACCAGCAGCCGTCACTGACCTCACATCTGCGGAAAGAGTACGACCGCGCAGACAAATCCCTCTTTGAAGACGTTAATTCTTGGGTCGCCCTGTCAGGCATTTTCAAAAACATCGTACGAGACCCGAGCTTGAAGAAGGCCTATCTGGTTATTGATGCACTGGACGAATGCATCACCGACTTGCCAAAGCTGTTAGACTTAGTCGTCCATACGACGTCGTCGTCATCGGCCCGCGTAAAGTGGCTCTTGTCAAGTCGGAATGAGCTCCACATCGAGCAGAGACTGAGGTTCACCGACGAGAAGACGAGGCTGAGTCTCGAGCTGAAGGAGAATGCGGAGCAGGTATCTCGAGCTGTCAACATGTACATTGACGACAAGCTGTCTCGTCTCGAGTCACTTCAAGGAGACGGCGGCCTCAGAGATCGAATACGAGATATACTACGCAAGAAGGCCAATGGAACATTCCTCTGGGTTGCGCTTGTAGTTGAGGAACTTGAGAAGCCTGAAAGCTGGGATCCTTTACTGGTGGTGGAAGAAGTGCCAACAGGCCTACCCGAGCTGTACGATCGCATGGTGAATCAGATTCAACTGCTTACAAAGAGAAACTCGGAGGTTTGCCGGCTTATACTTTCCATAGTCACGGTTGCATACCGGCCCCTTTACCTAGCCGAGATCGGAAGCTTGTGTAGGTTACCGGGCCAGAATTTGGCTTTAACAACCAACGCAAGGAAGATTGTGGCCATGTGCGGCTCATTTCTTACCGTTCGAGACGATCAGGTGTACCTCATCCACCAATCAGCCAAGGACTACTTGAGCGACGAGGCGCGAGCTACAGTCTTTGCATCTCAGACACAGACCCACCACGACATCTTTGTTCGATCACTAGAGCTCATGACTAGTACACTGAAACGCGACATGTACCATCTAATCGCTCCAGGTGTTCTGATCGACCAGGTCCAAGTGCCACACCCAGACCCGCTGGAGGCGACACGGTACTCGTGCGTCCATTGGGTTGATCATCTGAGTGACTCTGTTTCCGGTAAGAGCACGAGGCGAGACGACGATTTACAGGATACCAACGCCAGTTATGCCTTCCTCAAAAAGTACTTTCTTCACTGGCTTGAAGCGCTTAGCCTGATGCGGAAGGCATCCAAAAGTATTTTAGCATTAAATTCGTTGGAGTCTACCGTTATAGTAAGGAAATTCTAAGCAGACTAAGTGAATTCTAACTCACGTAAAAAGGCTGATCAAAGTTCCCGCTTCCGTCGATTCATCTATGATGCAAAACGATTTACTTTATACAACCGATCTATCATCGAGGCGGCACCTCTTCAAATATATTGTTCAGCTCTCATGTTTGCACCGGAGGGGAGCATCATTCGCGGACAATTCAAGGACGAAATACCTCGTTGGGTCTGCACTATGCCAAGAATGCCAAAAGACTGGAGCCCTTTAGAGCAGACGCTCCGGGGCCACACGGGCTGGATCTGGAGCGTAACGTTCTCCAACGACAGCAAGGTCGCATCAGGATCTGCCGACAAGACTGTGCGGGTTTGGAACATCGCCACAGGGCAACTCGAGCAGACACTACAAGGCCACGAAGGACGGGTCTGGAGCGTGGCGTTCTCGCCGAACGGAAAAAGAATGGTGTCAGGGTCCGATGATGAGACAGTGCGGCTATGGAACGTCACCACAGGGCAACTTGAGCAGACACTACAAGGTCACGAAGGACGGGTCTGGAGCGTGGCGTTCTCGCCGGATGGAAATCGGGTGGCGTCAGGATCTGACGACAGTACAGTGCGGGTATGGAACGTGGCCTCAGGGCAAGTCGAGCAGATTCTAGAAGACCATGCGGGTTGGGCCTACAGCGTGGCGTTCTCGCCAGGCAGCGGCAAGGTAATATCAGGACATGGCGACCAGACCGTACGGGTATGGGACATTACTACAGGAGCAGTCGAGCAGAGGCTAGAGGGCCACGCAGGCTCAGTCTGGAGCGTGGCTTTCTCGCCGGACGGTAGCAAGGTGGCGTCAGGCTCTGGGGACAAGACCGTGCGGGTATGGAACGCCGCCACAGGGCAAGTCGAGCAGACACTGCAGGCCCACACAGCCGAGGTCTTTGGAATAGCATTCTCCCACGACGGCAGCAAGTTGGCGTCAGGCTCTAAGGATAAGACTGTGCGGCTATGGAGCGTTGCCACAGGGCAAGTCGAGCAGACACTCGAGGGCCACACGAGCTGGGTCGGTACCGTGGCATTCTCAATTGATGGAAGTCGAGTGGCATCAGGATCTGGCGACCAGACTGTACGGCTATGGAACGCCGCTATAAGGCAAATCGGGGAGACACTTGACGCCCATACGGCCCCCGTCGGTAGCGTAGCATTCTCGCGGGACGGAAGTCGGGTGGCGTCAGGATCTGCTGACAAGACTGTGCGAGTATGGAACGCGACTACAGGACAAGTTGAGCAGGTTCTAGAGGGCCATACGGGATCGGTCGGCAGTGTAGCGTTCTCCACTGATGGAAGTCAGGTGGTATCAGGCTCTGCCGACAAGACCGCTCGGGTATGGGAAGTCGCTATAGGAGAAGTCAAGCAGACGCTCGTAGGCCATACGGCCTCGGTCAGCGGTGTAACATTCTCGCCGGACGGCAGAAGGGTGGCGACAGGGTCTGCAGACCAGAACGTGCGGATATGGAACGTCACCACTGGACAAGTCGAACAGACGCTCGAGGGCCACATGGGCTCGGTCGGGAGCATAGCGTTCTCACCAGACGGTAGCAAGGTGGCGTCAAGCTCTGATGACAAGACCGTTCGGATATGGAACGTCGCCACAGGAGAAGTCGAGCAGACATTCAGGGGCTACGTAGGCTGCGTAGTGCTCTCGCCGGACGGAAAGAGGGTGGTGTCAGTGTCTGATGATGAGACATTGCGGCTATGGAACGTCGCCACAGGACATATCGAGCAGACGCTAGAAGGCCATACAGGCCAGGTCCGGAGCGTAGCGTTCTCGCCGGACGGAAATCGGGTGGCGTCAGGATCTGATGACAGTACAGTGCGGGTATGGAACGTGGCCTCAGGGCAAGTCGAGCAGATTCTACAAGACCATGCGGGTAGGGCCTACAGCGTGGCGTTTTCGCCAGACGGCGGTAAGGTGATATTAGGGCATAGCGACCAGACTATACGGGTATGGGACGTTACTACAGGAGCAGTCGAGCAGAGGCTAGAGGGCCACGCAGGCTCAATCTGGAGCTTGGCGTTCTCGCCGGACGGTAGCAAGGTGGCGTCAGGCTTTGGGGATAAGACCGTGCAGATATGGAACATCGCCACAGGGCAAGTCGAGCAGACACTGCAGGGCCATACAGGCCAGGTCCAGACCGTAGCGTTCTCGCCGGATGGAAGTCGGGTGGCGTCAGGAGCTGACGACAGTACAGTGCGGGTATGGAACGCGGCCTCAGGGCAAGTCGAGCAGATTCTACAAGACCATGCGGGTAGGGCCTACAGCGTGGCGTTTTCGCCAGACGGCGGCAAGGTAATATCAGGGCATAGCGACCAGACTATACGGGTATGGGACATTACTACAGGAGCAGTTGAGCAGACGCTAGAGGGCCACGCAGACTCGGTCCTGAGCGTGGCGTTCTCGCCGGACGGTAGCAAGGTGGTGTCAGGCTCTGAGGACAAGACCGTGCAGATATGGAACGTCGCCACAGGGCAAGTCGAGCAGACACTGCAGGGCCACGCAGGTCGGGTCTGGAGCGTAGCGTTTTCAACCGACGATGATGATCACCATTTGGTCTACTCGGTGGACAGATCGAAGAGTTGGGTAACTTGGAAGGGTTCTAGAATTTTGTACATTCCGTTGGACTTCAGAGTGAGCCCAGTTTTTATGGACAGAAGCACTCTAGTAATTGTATCTGCCCATCATCAGCTTGGGATTATAAGATTTTGGGCTGGGATTGAAGCAGGAATTATTTAGACCTATAATTCCGATAACTCTCCTTTTGGCGGTTTGGTGGGGGGCGGAGGGGGTTTCTCTAGATAACGTACCTTTCAAAGGCTTTGCCGATCTTCTTCTGAAACCCTCTGAGCGCATTGTCTTTGCCATGGATTAGCGGCATGTAGACATCGAATATGCCTAGTAGCGAGTATGCCTTGTCTTCGCGAGTGGTCTGGGGATTTCCTGCCTTCAGCAATCACTTATCATTACCTCGTGAATTTGTGGCACTAGATATCTTTCATCACCCAGTTAATTACCTTCTTGGGAAAAGAAATCGACCGAAAGCGGAGCAAGCAGAAGCTCTTAAAGGGTCCAACCCCGACTAGACCAGCTGCTTTCCCGAAAAGGCTGGCTCCTGAGTATACTCAAAGAATTCATCGCCTTCTTTCCGCTTCGCTGTCGAAACATCCGATAGATAAACGTAGCACTTCGCTGCATTGTGGTACTAGTGAGACAGTTAATATAACCTCCTGAAGTTCGACGTCGTTTCATTTGTTGATGCCCAAAGCATCGCAAGCCGTCGCGTTCGACCTGTTATCCGCAGAACCGGATCTTGTTGCCAATCGTGCCCTTGTCCGTCTTCACGGTGACTCGTCGTCACTAACTATCCCGCACCTCCACCAGCTGCGACTGGTTGCCATATCTGCGTTGATGCGGGTGATATTGAGAGGATGCCGAGTTGCGCTCGGAGCGCCGCGATCATCTCTCGGAGTCCGGCATTTTGACTCTTGGGGCAGGTGGAAAATGGTGGTAGCTTATTCTGCAATTATTGCAATGCTGCTGATGGTGCCTCGTTCGGCGTGATTGTGGTGCGGTTGCTCCAGCTATGTTCTGCGCCGACCGTGCTGCTATCGTTCGTGTTATCAGTGACTGCTGGGCCTTTGGCACTTTCGCTTTGCACAAAGCGCCGATCGCCACTTATAAAAATCGTAAAAATGTACGAGGAGGTCCCAGTGGATGGGGTGCTAGAGGTCGAAATGTACGCAGGCCCGCCGTGGGTGGCCAGGCCCGAGTTCATATATGTGAAGGCTGAGACGTCCAAGCCATGTAGTGGTGGATATCTATGTCGACGTATCGGTGCGCAACAGTAGGGCGGGTATTGGCATATACGGCTACGCCGTCACAAGCACGGATTTCGAAGACAGTGGCAGGCTCAGATCAGAGCTCACGGCTATCAGCGGGGCAGCCAATTGGCCGTGAGGCCCCTCGTGTGCGGCCCTCGACAGAGAAGGCCGTCCAATACCGGCGTCTAGCATCCGGATCTTCTCCGATAATGACGTAGATGAGTTGCTGGAGCCACTCATTTCACTGGCACGCGGTCGGGCTGGGGCATGAATATTAGATGATTAGTATTGATCGGACGGTACTAAAGTCCGGCGAAGAGTTGAATCCAGGCTGAGCTGAGGGATTGCGAGATTTGTGACACCGAAAATTGTGGCTGTAGCCCAGACGACAGATGATTGGACGCTCGCAGCGGTGTCTGAGCTTGGAAAAGAGCACAGAAATCAAGTTACAATGCGCAATAAAGATATGGAATATTTTCTATAGTTTGGTAGCGTAGATCTTCTTTTCCTAGCTCGCCTGGATGTCTCCGATGCTTCATGATATCTGTGTGCCTAGACACAAATACATTCACGGTGACAGGGAGTCACGTGACTAAACCATATTCAAACTTTGGATTTGACTACTGTACGAGCCGAATAGTTACTAAAGGTTGCATTATCAGAAATTTCGTAATGGCTGCTCATAATGTAGAATTACGTTTTAAAGATTCGCTACCTGAACCTCGTCAGGAACAGACGAACGCCTCGATCACGCTAGCAGGGGGCGGCCGACCCGCTCCCGCCACAGGCTTGCCATGGTCGTCTGGAATGGATGGCATTGCGAAGAGATGTAAGGATCGTTGCCAATGACAGAGGGCAGCATGCAGCCCTAGATAGCGTAGTGCCTTGCCAAGCATAGCCACCATCACAGCTCTGCTAGTACTCATCCCTCACGAACATGAACGATCCAAACTCCTCATGACCCTAAGAGGTCAAGCTGAAGCACATCTCTACAACCCTAAAGATTGCAGTGCTTAATATAAGGAGCCGTTAGTTGTTTAACCGTACGATAGCTGTTATCACCCCCAGGTACGACTAACTTAGATAATATTTATATAATAAGTAGTATATCGGACATTAATGATAGTACAAGTAATAAAACATGTCAAGCCTTTCCACCTTCGTATGCGCTTGCAACGACGGCGTTCCGCCAGTGACGCTCAACCCACTTGCCGAAGCGCAGTCTTCGATTTCTAGGGCCGCCGCACTCTATCTTATCTTATACCTCTCCTATCTCATCGTATTCCCCTTTAACGAGCTAAGACTAGATCTCAGCTGTTGCTTGGTCTAGGAATCGGCTATGGTGGGCTCGAGAACCATGTGGACGTACTAGGCTTAATCACGTCTGTCGTTGGGTCAGCGGAGAGAACAACGGCGGCTTTCGGAGCTTGAGGGCGACGCTGAACCGCATTAGCTGACTGACCAGCGCCGGGGCCGTCTGAGTCTTGGCACTGCTCCCAATCTCGAGTCGAATTCACGATCCCGTAGTGCTTGGCAAGGCGCCGCACAGCCACGGTCTAATCGTTATAAAAATACATTACACGGGGATGTATGGGGTGGGATGTGTGTGGGGTTATCTTACATTAGCCAGGATTAGTGATTCGCTTCCGCTAGAAGTACTAACCGGTGTAGCGACCTTGTATAAAGTTACGCCCCACAGTGCACATAGGGCTGATAATGATTTCCTAGCATTAGAGGAAGGTCCTGAGGCTCGGACAAGGCTGTTTTAGAAAGGGGACTACTAATCGTACACCCCCTTTTCACTACACGTACACCCCCTCCCCCTTTTGGCGCTTCACCACCTTCTGATTGGCTCGGAGGGCTGCTCCGTAGCCTCCGATTCGCTCGCTTAACTTGCTCACTAATTCCGAATGCTCTCTCCAAATGCGGCCATGTACGACACAAGCAATTACATCATGCCGATTTGTATAGCCTCACATATAGCCTTATATACAAGCTTACGTACAAGCTCACGTACAGCTGTATATACGGCTGCATGAATTGGAAAAAATGCGCCGTAGAACAGAGAGGCTGTATAGCTATGCTGATTTATATAGCCTTATGTACGAGCTTATATATAAGCTCACGTATAAGTTCACATACAAGCTTACGTACAAGCTTACGTACAAGCTTACGTACGAGCTCACGTATAGCCTTACATACGACCTTACGTATGGCCTTACGTACGAGCTCACATACGGCCTCGCGTATAGCATTACGTACGGCCTTGTGTATAGCATCACGTACAGCCTCGCGTATAGCATCACGTGTGGAGAGACGTAAGGGTGAATGCCCGGAGGAAGCTCCGGGCTTTCCGAGCCAATTAGAAGGTGGTGAAGCGCCAAGAGGGGGGAGGGTGTACATGGAGTGAAAAGCGGGTGTACGTCCAGGAATTAGGGGGTGTACGATTAGTAGTCCCCAAAAGTAAAAGGGAGGTTAGCTATTTAAGTAGAATAATATACTTTATGCTAACAGGAACAAGGGTAGAAAAAGTCCCCTAAAAAGTAGCTTAAGCTTATAAAGCTTATAAAATAGTATAGAGCCCTAATTTATAACCTAGGACAGATTTAAGGCCCCTCGCTAATACTTAACAGTTCTGGCGAGGTATATCTAAGACTGCGCCGCAGCGGGTGAGTAAAAGGTGAGCAAAGGTAAGCAAGGGTGAGCAAGGGTGAGTTGAATTTTAATAGATATAATCTTATTGCTTATCATTCCAAGTATTATTCCAAACCGCTTTTCACTGTGCTCTAACTCAGCTACAACTCTGCTGCGCTTCTCTACCCTCATCCCTCTACCCAGAACCTTCTGCAATGGACCGCTTCTTTCCACCTCTGTAGTACTCTCGGAAGCGCCGGTGAAGCTCTTGCCTCTGATTCTAACCCATTTGCTCGTCAATTAACTCATCGGGGGCCCAGGCAGACTGCTTACAGGCTCCAGTTTCTTTGGTATCTCGACCTTCCATTTAGCGTAGTCGTCTGGCAGTTCCTAACGCCTATGAGTAAACAGAAGACTATTGAACTTGTTCTCTGAGTCTTACGATGACTTTGAAATTTCCTGTGCCAAACCAGGCCTCGAGTTGTTCCTCGAGGATGCTTTGCACTAGCGTGTATCGGGCGACAATCGTTTCTTCGATCATCTTGGCTGGATCGCTTTTTCAAGTCAGCTAGCAAAATGATGCTGCGCAGTGAGAAACAGCAGCGGATTTGCTAGTGGCTAATTCTTTCGGAAGTCTCAAGAAACTTGAAGATATTTGCCGGTGAGCTCGTTCTAGCCATGCTTTCTATGTAAGGAGGAGGGACCTCGGCGCCTCATGGCGGATTTTTCGGGCCGGAATACCTTTAGTTCAGCGGCCAAGGGGCCTCTTGTGAGTCTTGTCTGGCTTTCCCTCGGCTGCGACTTCCTGTAGTGCAATCTTGCACGCTATCCCGACGCCCGACTGCCCCTGTACGACCTCAAGCTGCCGTCTGCGGGGCCTCTCATTCGAGCATGTTGTCCGCTGTTGTCCCATCGCGTTGCACACACTCACCGAGTGCGCTCACGGAACGGCATTGACCGCTTGGTGTAACACTTTTGGGATCCAGACCAATCCCTGACCAATCAATAGACGATGATAGCGCTGCATCAATATCACACAGCCTCTGGTGAGGACACTGACTGCATCGCAAGGCGGTTTCCCTGCGGAAATGTACCGAAACGGCAAGGCTTGGGCGGAGGGCTCTGAGAGCGCTGGCTCTCTAGCCAGGGCTGAGTCTGATGTCTTATAAACTTCCCCCGCTCCATCTACGAGCCTGGAGAAACAAGGCCATCATGTCTCAAAAGTCGGTCACGTCTGCTGTTAGGATTAGTATTGAAGAGCAGTCCGTCGAAGAAATAGACATCATCGGGGATACCAGTCCTGGTGTTAGGCGTGCGAGAATTCTGAAGGACAACCTCTCTACCTTGGACCAGATAATTATATTCCTCTGTCTATTTCTTCTCGCTTATGTATACGGTCTTGACGGAGCTCTTCGATCTATATACCAGGTGAGAATAGTTCGATATTTTGACGATACTGTGGACTTCGCTGAGAAAACAAACAGCCTTATGCAACGTCTGGATTTGCGACTCACTCGACTCTTGCGACCATCAATGTTCTCCGTAGTGTAATTGCTGCTGCAGCCCAGGTAAAACAACTCTCGCGAAGTTCACATAATCTCAACTAACATGGCCAGCCCACTGCTGCTAAGATTGCCGATGTCTTCGGAAGACCCGAGCTCATTATCGTGAGCGTCGTGTTTTATATCGTTGGTACGTAACGTTACTTTGCTCTTGAGTCGTACTAATACTTTCCAGGTACCATCGTTGAAGCCACTTGCCCTAATGTAGAAGCTTTCGCTGCTGGGGCTGTGATATACCAGGTTTGGAGAGCTAATACACGCCGACTTGAATGCATTTGGCCTTCTTTTAGGTTGGATATACTTCCATCCTCGTCCTTGTTGAAATTGTCATTGCAGACATTACCTTTCTAGAAGATCGCTTGCTGTTCTCATACATTCCAACCTTACCCTTCTTGGTATGTGTGCTTTGTAACCTAAGATAGATCGCAGTATTCACATTCTCAGATCAATGCTTGGGTCAGCGGTAATATCAGCACGGCTGTCCTCGGAGTCACGACATGGCGCTGGGGTGTCGGCATGTTTGCAATCATATATACCTGTAAGTCCCTTTTCCAAACTAACTCTCTCGGCTTAAAAAGCTCAGCGTTTCTACAGGCGTCTCTATCCCGTTGATTATTGCTCCTTGGCTGCCCTACCGACGAGCACAGAAAGCTGGTGCATTGGAGAACCATAGAAGCACATGGCAGACGTTGGGAACTCGGCGTTTGGTCGCAACTATCTTTTGGCAATTAGACTTGATCGGCATCATCTTGCTGATCGCTGTGTTTGCGCTCATTCTCGTCCCGTTCACGATTGCTGGCGGGGCATCAGAACAGTGGGGCAAGCCAAAAGGTTATTGCGCTCCTGATTATTGGTATCTTCTGCATTCCTGTCTGGATATGGTGGGAGAAAAGAGCCCCATATGCAATGGTGCCATTTACGGTAAGCTGTCCGTTGCCACAAATTGTATTGTGTTCACTAACACCTGCCACAGCTACTCAGGGATCGTGCAGTCTAGGGTGCTCTTGGAATTGCGTGGATGCTCACTTTCTGCTGGTACTTGCAAGGCGATTTTCTGTACACTGTCCTTGTCGTCGCATTCGACGAATCAATTAAGAGTGCTACTCGGATCTCTTCTCTTTACAGGCGAGTAATGTGTTGTCCGATTTTATCAAATTGCGCTGCTAACTTTTCGAAGTTTCTGCTTCGTGCTCTCTGGTGCGCTTCTCGGTCTCATTGTGCGGTATTATCGCTATTTGAAGCCGTTCATCGTCTTCGGCACCGTACTCTTTCTGGCTGCATTCGGCGTCCTCATCCACTACCGTGGCGGGTCGGGAACGGCCAGTCATTCTGGTATTATCGGCTCTCAGGTACTTCTTGGCATCGCTGGCGGTCTATTCCCGTATCCCGCTCAAGCCTCGATACAGGCTGCCACTAAGCACGAACACGTTGCTGTTATCACCGGTCTTTATCTTGCAACATACAACATTGGAAGTGCCTTTGGAAATACTGTCTCCGGTGCCATTTGGACACAAACGTTAATCCCAACTCTGCTCAAAAATCTACCTCCACCATACAACAACATGACTATCGCCCAGGGTATCTATGAATCACCATTTGAGTACGCCATAAACTATCCTATCGGCACCCCACTACGAGATGGAATCGTAACGAGCTATAGACATACCCAGAGACTACTGACTGTCACGGGCATTTGTCTGTGTGTGCCATTGATCTTTTTCAGTTTGCTGATCCGCAACCCGAAATTAGGCAAGGAGCAGAGTTTGCCGGATGCGGAGGAGCCGATTGCTTTGGAGGATAGGCAGCCTTGGTGGAGGATATTTTAGGTGTAGGAAATGTTGGCGATTTAGAGCCCGGATCTTCCTGTTAGACGGATGCCCTTCACAGGTATCACATATCAGCATTGGACGAAGGCTAGCATTAGAGAGATTCCTTTCATTCAGAGGATCAATGAAATGACACTCACATTACGATATACTTGTGACTGTAGATTTGTTGAAGCGGTGGGTACCAATCACGTGGTTCGGTCAACGACATAAGTGCGAGGCGATCTGTGTCCTTGTGAGGCCATCAATCACGTTGCCATGGCCGGACGGCAGAACCATGCTTATTGGGGCGGTAGATATATATACATGTATATAGAATTTATAAGATATAAAAGAGACAATGTATAATAGTACTATATTCAGTCTTATAGTAGATAAAAAGGAACACATTATATAGTCATAAATGGCGAACCATTAAGAAGGCGTAGCCGCGAACTGATAAGAAAGCCTAGCTTAACCCAGATACTGGACAGGGGTTACAGCAGATAGTGGCCCAGCTAGATTACATGTTCCGTGCGCGTAACAATTTACACTATTTCAATTAGTGTCCTTTGAAAAAACGGTTCATCCCTAGAGGTCGCTTCCGCCTATTTCCAGTAAGACGCTACGCCGACACGTTGAAAGCTTGCACTAGTATCTAAACTATCTCTCACACGTTGAAGTAAAAGTGATATGTCTTGCTTAACACGCAAAATAAAGAGGTTCTGTAGTTTGTAAGCCGTTTCAAACGCAGAGCCCGTAGCCGCGGCATCAATATAGAATCGAATAGACATATGCTCGGCCCCGTTTTCAAGGCGCTCCGTAAAGTACCCTCCTTCAATCATCAGGGTACGCAGTCGCCGGAGCGGCCCCTTTAGAATAAATTTTCCACCCTGGACCTCACCAAACTGGTTGCATCCTTTGGCTACAGTCCAGGCGTCAAGTACCTCAGCCCAATTCGGGCCCTCTCGATTCATATAGACATTTGGCCAGTGCACGTTGCCGTCAATTGAGGCCCACGACCATGACGGCGCCCTGTAGTCGGAGGGCCGACGTTGATCCGTCTGATGTCCAATGCGCACTGGTTCGTGGACCCAAAGAAGATCGTCCAGGACTGACCTCCGCCAAACGCCGGCGAGGTACTGGTCACCATGCATCTGGGCTTGGAAGGCCTGTGCGAGCCCCGACAGGGCCGGCAGCTTATCGGCCTAAACTGAGAGGTCTCTGGCTGAGTAGTCGGTCACTAGAACCTGCCAGCGGTCCTGTAGCTCGTCCGCCGGGCAGTCGTCCGGCAGGCGGGCCGTGTAGAGAGACTCCATTAGGAGGCCCCTCTGCGTCAGAGTAGCGCTTTGACACTCCCAGAGTAGCTGGCGGCAGGTATAAGTCAGGACGCGGGATGAGAGGATGCGCTCCTGAAGAGTCCAGCCGCGATGGTAGAGGGGCTTGCCGCCGAAGTCGGAGGAGACGAGCAACGTCGCGAAGACGCCGCCTGGGCCAATCTGATGGTTGCTTGACAACAGGGTGAGCTCGACTTGATGGCCCTCTTGCCGAGGATCGTATAAATCGAAGATGCCGTCATAGGCCGATGCTGCGCTGGCAGCGGCGATGGTGAGCAAGGCGCCCCCATAGATCTGGTGCATTCTTGCCGACTCCGAGTCCAGTCGTCCACAGCCTTTGAGTCTTTCCCTTGCAGGATGCACAGCGCATCAACCCACAGATACTTGATCCCAAGGCGTCGGGTAATGGTGACCCCATCCCGAATTGTGGGAGGGAGATCAAGCTCGGAAAAGCCGGCCCTTCGTTGTTCGAGATTCTCAAATGTTGTCTGGTATTTGGTGCTAGCGCCAGAGGCTGATGCCGAAGGTGCAGCTCCCCAACAGTAGCTCAAAGCTACGTACGACTGTGAGGTTGATGTTGAGCCCGAGACACTCCCATCAGACATCTCCACGAGCTTTATGATGTGCTTCCTCCCATCGCAATCCACATCAATGAGCCTCGAGGGTAGCCGGGCTTTTAGGGAGCTCGAGGGTCTGCATTGTTGATGATTATTCGTGCAGTTCTCCGTCCAGCTCTTGATTAGGTCGTAACTCTCCTTCCAGTCCGCCTGCTCAGCCGGTGGCCGGTACTGCAGCAATGCTGTTGCGGGGCTGCCTGAGTAAACGTTGAGTCAGTTCATATGACACGCACCTTTCGCTCTTCATCCACTCCGTCCTGTCTCCGTAAAGTCGAGCATCTTACCTGGTGTGGCAGTGAACACAACAGACCCAGAGCAAATGTGGGTTCTGTTGTGTGCCTGGCGCCTGTGTCCTCGATACGGGTCCAATTCAAGGTTGGCTTCTCTTAGCGCATTCCTGCCGCGTTCGATATCATACAGAGACTCGGGCCACTTCTTATTGTCCATCACCAGTGGGCGTCCGTAGCATACCGTGATACCATGGATTCTCTCCTCAATTGTGGAGCTCATTCTGGAATCCGACCTGGTCTGGAGACTTGCGAGTAGCCGGCGTGCCTGATCAATGGGCCGTGCCCATAACTTGACGCGTCCGTCTGGTACTGGGCCTTCCCAAAGATTATCCTTCCAGGCGGAATTGATCAAGTGTCCCTGAGAGTGCTGACTCGTCTTTCATCTGAGCCCGCCAAACTCGTTGAGAACCTTTGACATCCTCGACCTTCCATTCGGCTTTGCACCCGCAGTTCTCGAGCGCTTGGAACAGAAGTGAGCAGAGCCGACAGCTGCCGGGTACGAGAGTATGAGTTATTCCATCGTCAGAAATGAGCTTGTCGACCGAAATATCTTGGCAACCGTCACATAGGTCTTTGGTGGATTCTTTGTCCATTATCGAACGCGTTGGTGTAGTGTAGCAGGTGCAGCCTAGAAGTTTTCGGCTCGATTGCGGGGAATTCAGCTTCGTTGGTGCCTAATTGCGCCTACCAATGATCGACTCTCGAACATGGCTCGCTTGAGCAGTGGCAGCTCTCCAATGGCGAAGTACTAGTGCCTTTGTAGGTCACGCTGTGATTACGAGGTTGTCGCAGTGGCACGCCATGCACAGCCTCAAATCCAAGCTTGAATCCAAAAAACTGCCCTGTGTTTCTTCGGACAAGAGCATCGGAGCACAGAATCCCAGAATTTGTGGTACTCGGACCTGCAAATTCAACGTTGGAATGCGCTTCGGCCGCGCGTTGTGTTCCTCTGTAGAGATAGACCTTTAGCGCTGGCTTGAAGCGATCTTCGATCGAGGTGGTTTGCTAGAAGTGGTTTTCGCTGGTGTTGTCCGTTCGAGGTGATGTTCGCTCGCGATAGTATTTTGTAGAGTCTGAGTTGCTTGAAGTCTTGGTATTCATCGTTTCTCTCTCCGCTTTGAGTTTCTCACCACTTAGAGACAGAATTCCTTGACCAGGTTGACCAATAATGTAAAAGGATGGCAACAATGCAGGCGAACTCAGCGTAGAAGCAATCGCGTTCTTCGGCTTTCGACCACAAGAACATTCAGCAGGGGCACGCGGTGCTAAGCTTGTTCGACGTCGAATACTGGAAGCGCCAATTCACTATGACTCCCCAGGGCAGCAGCATAGTCCTCTTACCTCTCCCATCACAAAAGTGCCCATCACAACCTACACTATTACGGTTCTGCGCCCAAGCAGTTCTTCCATGCAATGTCCTTTTATACGTGAGCGTGTTACGTTTCCGAGCATTTCGTTGAGAGTATGAAGGGCAAGTTGTGGGTCGTGTGCGCTGCTAGTGGCACTGAAGAGCCAGGGATATGTTTGAGGACTTCATTTTTGCTTTTGGGCGTAATACTTTTTTTGCCCGGTCTGCCATAAGCTATTTTCTCTTACTTCTTACCAAATCGTGTTCTGCCCCTTTCCTCGATCCAGGTTGCTGGCTCTCCCCAGTGGCAGATCCTGGCTGCAACGAGTTAGCTCCAACATGTTTCCACAAGCATATGCAGACCTCAACATGAGTTTCATCTCGCTAGATCCGACATGTACAGCGCACCTAGCGGCCTCGAACAGCTATGAGCACCAACCAAGCAGTGGATGTCGTTATTCCGCCCCCTGAAGATGGTGGTTCGATGGACAAACAGCCCCCAAATGACGTGCGGCGGGCGGGTAGGCGCCGGCGTGGCTCAGCCTCGTCCTCAATCGCACTAAGGAACACGACTCATGACCCTCATTTTATGCAGGATCTAGAGCCGCAGCCAAAAAGACTCATCAGAGAATGCAGGAACGGCTCTTGAAGGGACTGCGGTGACGAGGCTGTCGGGAGCAGGACGAGATTGAAGCTCAGCCGCAGCTGCAAAAGCTGCAAAAAACACGACATCAATAGTGACGTTGACGGCTTTCTTATGGAGTTGTACACTCGTCGAGCACGTATTAGTGGCCCCTGGAGAAAGTTCGTCCGCGTCCGTGTCAGTGCAAATCGCTCGCACAGCCTCACCTCACGACGCCGCATCGCGTCCTCATCCCCGAATCCTCATTTCCCATCCTTCTAGCGGAGGAGGCGGCGCAGTACTTCGTGGAGCCAACCTGTTGGACCTGCAGACTTGTTTCTCGCCACATGGTCTACGGCGTTGCTAGCACCGCGATCATCACCTCGACGCCGCCAATTCGCGCCTCTAGAGACAGCTCGGCGGCATGTCTTGCAAGCTAAGTAACTATTGGCGAACGACGCGCTCGCTGGACGCCCTCGGACGCCCTCGGACACCTTTTCTTGGAACATTGGGAAAACCCAGAAACGCCTTGGGCGTCTCATCTCCCGTTGGGGCCTGCACATCCTCAGGGCTGAAGCGGTGGCTCCCGTATCGGCCTGTCTAGTCGTGCCTAGTCGTGCCTCTGCCACCGCCTCCTTATAGGCACCATCTGGTCCCACCAGCCTCCCATTCGTTGTCCTGCTCCGTTCAGGGACATGGGCCGCACCCTCCCCGCGTAGCCCACTGTTGTTGCTGCCAGATTCAAGCTTCAGTAGCGGGGGCTGAGGTCGAGCTGGCTTCCATTCTATTTTCAAGCCCACGGACCCTCGTCCCTGATGGCTCTTGCGGGGCTTCTTCATTTGCTTGCGCTATATCTTCTCGTTTCCCCGCTGTGACTCTTTTTGCCGTGTTTCGCAGGCTTCATATCTCCCATTACATGCGGGCCATGAAAGCTTCCTTTTATCTCTATCTCTGCATAAGTCCATGAGCGCTCGTTCGTACTACTCCTCATAGCGTCCCACTGCTCCATCCTGATACATAGTATACCCTCGCAACCCCCAGGACCCAAAGCGTAGCCTTGTCTACCCCATCCCCAAAATGGCCCCAGCAGCAACTTCATCCGCCCCGACATCAACTTCTTCTACAACCGCAACCGCTTCTTCTTCCTCCACCCCCAGAAGCGGCTTCGGCACCGCCAGCATCGTCGCTATCACCATCTTCGCCCTCTTCGTGGTCATCGCCGTCCTATCCGGAACCCTCTTCTTCCTCAACCGCCGCCGGCAGCACGCCAAGCTCCCACCAGACCAACGTCCTACTTCCACCTATCGCCCCTACCGCTCCTCATCCTCGAAGTCAAAGTCAGCATCCATCGGTCTCCTCGCCAACGCCGATACACCGGGATCCGCCGTCGACGACAAAGCGTCCATGTTCAGCCGCGACTCGGCTACCCTATCACTATACGTACCCGAGGAGCACGAGGGCTTGAGGCGGAGTAGCATCAGTAGTCCGACTCTGGTGCCGATTATCGTGAGCCCGGCAGATGAAGGCCATGATCCGTTCAGTCCGGCAGGGAGGAGGGGGAGGGGCATGAGCATAAGGTCTGGGAACGAAGAGCAGGATCTGGGCGTGGCGAGGGGGAGGGTGAGGAGCGCGAGTACGGCGAGTGTGAGGTACTATGACTCAAAGGCGGGTGCGACGCCGCCGCCTGTGCCTGCGTTGCCGCCGTCATGAGTAGGAATTGAGAATGGGTACGGGGTGCATAGAATTTTTGTCAAGCCGTGAGGGGTATTGCGTTGGTTTGATCCTGCATTTTTCTTCTCAATCGAGTCGTCATGCGAGCGCTCTTTGGATAGCCTTGGAACCCTCACCATTTCGGATATCTAGGGATTGGGAGGAGGCTACAAGAAGTAAGATCCTGGTGGAGAAAGACTGGGCTGAGGATGCCACGGTTTCGCAACATGCTGCGAGAAGCGGCGCGATGATGGATACCCCGTATATACACGCATCTCACACTCCACGGTAACAAATGAAAATGAAATTACAAGACTTTAATGTTAGATCTTAAACTTGATGATGGCTCGGGAATGAACCGAAGCACCTAAAGCGTAGCCACTTAGGGGTACCTTGGCGGAGTTCCTTCTAGGCGTATTTGTAACCGTTTGCTTGCCGTTCCAAATCGTGTATTCTCATACTTTCATTTTGGAGGGTTTGCTACAGCTTCAGGCGCCTCACGCAGGTGCGAGATTCCAACAGCACGATGTCACGTTCTCGACACTGTAATTCAGACCTCCGGAAATGAGATGATAAAATCCTTGTGTTTTGACGGGCGCTGTAAATCGCATATTTTAAAGCTTTTGTTCTGAAGGCGTTGATACAGTTCAGGCGCCTCACGCAGGTGCGCGATTTCAACAACACGATGTCACGTTCCCGAGATGTGAATGGAGGATACCGCTACCATTCCTACCAGGTATTCGAGCTCGCTACTCTCTACCGTCCTTTCTCTATCTCCCTATACTACGTGCATGTCTACAACGCCTCATAAACAACAACTCCAATGGATTCTCAGCCCGTGTATGTTGACCATTGCTCGCAATCACCCGGGGTGCTAAGGCAAAGGTAGGTCTTCTGATCTACGTACTGAGCCCATAGATACATTGGCCAATAGAGCTTCTCTACTAGCTTGTGCTTGAGGTAGTGTGTAGAAGACTGGCGGATGAGTAGAGCGCAGTGATTTAGAACGGTCACGTGAGCTCACGTTCCTCGCATGTATAAAGCTCGCGCGACGGGTGGGTGGTTGGACCAGCCAGGGATCAACAATTAGCATCGCGTTCAACGCATGTGCTTGTTGGGTGCTTGGGTGGGTTAAAGTCAACGGAAAAAAGGTAGAAGGTGGAGTCAGAGTAAAACGATGTGAGGAGCTTCGGAATGGTGGGATGAAAGCAAGAAGTAGTGATAATGGGGAGCTTTGGTAGGTCGTGATGATGTGTAGAGCTCGAGGGTCGTAGTGATGAGTACATTTAAGACGTAGAGGTGGTTAGTAGGTACGGTTGGTAAGAATGGGGATCTTTAGAGTGTAATGAGGATCATGAATGGCGGCGCTCAACGTCTCTTCCCGTTCTCATCCAAAGAGTCATGACATCTACTCTCTTTCCATCAAGACAGTAGGCTTACGTGAGCATCGGTCGGGTCTCTTGGTATCTTGTACATTCAATTCCATATTAGAAAATCCTCCGCTCATGCAGCAGCAGTTTTACTTTTGAGCCCCTGGAAAGTCACATGCTTATCCTGTGCTCTAATTTTCTTTTTTCCTATAAAACTCTCTCACCTTTGTTCTACAATTCTCTCTTTACGAATCTGCAATACGGGGTATTGTTGAACGCCGCTGCATACTCATGCATGGAGTGGTTGGCCAGGGAGTTCGAAACAGGGGCATTTAAACGTCACACGGTGCAGTCTAGTGTTCTTGTTTAAACACATTGACGTGAGGCCTAATATGGAGTGAGTGATTTGCCTGAGAGTTCAAAACCGCCACAAGACATATCCATGGTGGGGCTACGTATTGGTGTTGAAACTCGTTTAGGAGCTGCTTCTTATGGGCAGCTGGTAGTAGGAGATTGGTGTCCCATACCGTTGAAGAATGGTGATGAGCAGCTTTATTTCAGGGCTATCTTAGGAATCATGATGAGTTCTTGTTAGGGGTAGCAGAAACTGTAAGTGACGTGGACGTTCATCATCTTGAACAAAATTGCGGGGGTTCGAGGGGCCCGGTTGCTGCATGCTAGAAGCTTATCACAATGGTGAGTGGATGGGTTGATCTGACGCAGCTAGATGAGTCCTATCTTTCATCCCGTGTAATGATTCAATCTGGAGAGAGACAAAAGAGACAACGACAATGCCAAAGTATTGAGGTGGACAAATGTACGGAAGCAAGAATCGGGGCGCTCGGCACAAGAAGGCATGGGAAATGCCGGCTTGGATAGCAGGTAATGACACGAAACGACAGTTGTATGCCCGGTAATCCCAAAGATCGAAACAGAAATTAGAACGTTCAACGCTTTCAGTTGAAAAATAGGCAGTTTAGTTCAACAAACAAACCCACCGTCGACAGGAATACAAGCACCAGTCGTATACAGACTTTCCGGGCCTAGCAGATACCCTACCAGTGCGGCGACCTCCTCAGGCTTGCCTGCCCTCGCAATAGGCGGCCCCGGGAGTGGGGGGCCCTTCATAACCTCCACTAGCATTGGTGTCTCAATCGGTCCCCTATCCCAGTATCAGTAAACCTTCAATTGCAGTGAAATCATGGATCTACTTACGGGCACACAGCATTGACCCTGATGCGCTTTCCAGCTGCCTCCAAAGCTGCACACTTCGTCAACCCTATAACCGCATGCTTGCTCGTGACATACGGCGCTAGCGCGATAGACGCTTTCAAGCCGGCCACACTGGACGTGTTCACGATACTGCCTCCTTCGGTAAGAACCTTCAACTCAGCACGTATGCATCGCATTACTCCGCCAACGTTTATGTTCATCAAACGGTCCCAGTCTTCATCTTCGATCGTGTCTATATTGCCCCATTTGCCCATGATCCCGGCGTTGTTGACGGCACCGTTGAGCTCACCAAACGTGGCGACGGTGTCATTGATCCAGGAGTCAACCTCCTTGGAGGAACAGACATTGACGACGGTGGAAGTGATTTTAGAGTCGGGAAAGTCGTGCCGGAGGCCCTTGACGCTGGCCTCAAGCTGTTCCCGTTCGACGTCAGCTAGAGCGAGATTTGCGCCGCGTTCGGCGAGGTAGCGGGCGATTGCGAAACCGATTCCACGAGCGGCGCCGGTGATTGCAATGGCTTTCTTCGCAAAGGGAAGTGCTACGGCAGGTGACATTATGGTCGCTGAGATCGACAGTCGGATTGGACTAGGTATCCTTGGGGTTTGGATGTCAGGATTATAGCAGACTAGAATTAGTTCCACAATTACAATGCTGGTAGCACAATATAAGGTACCGAAGCCTGTTGAATGTTGGAGGTGGTCCGGCTATCACGATCAAGTTCGGTGATGGAATTTCGGATAAGACTCGAGACCATGAGGTGGGGTGATTTTCTATGCTTGTTCACCCATTAGAGCCGCCGCTTTCCTGTCTTCCTAACGCAACACATCAAAGGCCAGTCCATTACTGTACTTGGCTGAATAAGGTGGACGCGCTGGCGGGAATCCATATCTGATGACCCTTCCGAGGGCTGGAATGTTCCCGATATCACTGATTGCGTGACGGTGGAGTAGTCGATATGTTGTCTAGGATTCTGTGGCTTCTGCTCTCCATCAATTCTTCCTCTGCGGGCTCTGTGCGATGATAGTGTAAGGAGAGCACTCTTGCTACGTCGTCCTTGAGACGTCGTCCACGGGTGGAGTTCAAGATGGGCGAAAGTCTTGGCTGCGCTAAGCCTAATCGACACTAGCACTTTTCGACGCCCACAAATCTTCTGGCGAGGCGGCCATCCCACCGTCAAACCCCATCGCCACTGTTCACCAAAAGAATTACCAGCATTCTCTTGGGAGACAATCAATCAGCATGTCGAAAATCACAGTGGCCGGCGTTCGTTCCAACGTCAAGGGTGCGTTTCCTCCGCCAGCGCGCAGATGAGGGCAGTCACCGACAGTAACGATTTGCAGAGCTCCTTGAGTACTCCAACGAGACCAAGAAGAGGAACTTTTTGGTACGTTTCCATATCCGATCTTTTCAGCAAATGGATGCTAACAAATGCGCAGGAAACCGTTGAACTCCGTAAGCCCTCCTCCCGCTGTCCTCGCGACACTCGCCACCCGAGAAGTATACTGAGACAATGCAGAAATCGGCCTCAAGAACTACGATCCCCAGCGTGACAAGCGTTTCAGCGGAACCGTTAAGCTCCCCAGCGTTCCTCGCCCGCGCATGTCCGTCTGCGTCCTCGGTGACCAGCATGACATCGATCGTGCCAAGCATCACGGCGTGGACGCCATGTCCTCGGACGACTTGAAGAAGCTGAACAAGAACAAGAAGCTCATCAAGAGTGAGTTGGGAACACTGGCGCGATTTGGAGGCATTGGCTAATATGGACTTAGAGCTTGCGCGCAAGTACGATGCCTTCATCGCTTCGGACACCCTCATCAAGCAGATCCCTCGTCTCTTGGGTCCGGGTCTTTCCAAGGGTCAGTCATACTCCACGACTCCAAACCCCGTTTAAAAACGGCTATACTAATGTTCTGCGCAGCTGGTAAATTCCCGGCTCCCGTCTCCCACGCCGAAGATCTTGCCAACAAGATCACCGAAGTCAAGTCGACCATCAAGTTCCAGCTCAAGAAGGTGCTGTGCATGGGTGTCGCTATCGGAAATGTTGGCATGACCGAGGACGAGCTGATCGGTAACATTATGTTGGCTATCAACTACCTCGTGTCGCTGCTGAAGAAAGGCTGGCAGAACGTTGGAAGCTTGACCATCAAGGCTTCCATGTCGCCGCCCAAGCGGTTGTACTAGATACTGGGTGTGTATCTAGTTGTTCAGAAGTAGTTGAGGAGGCAGACCACAAAGTTCTGCAGAACTGAGATGCGTGGGCCACGAGCTCCATCTCCAGCGAAGACGTAGTTGAAAATCCCGATAATTGCATAGTCACAATGACAGCAAGATCACTCGAAATGCTTCTCGTGCCGTGACCTTTGAATGTGATGTAGTTGAAAGTGACAGAATGCTGCCTCGAAAGGTCAAGGTTCTGAGCGAGCGCAATTTGCGGTGCACGAAGAGCCTCGCAGAATTTTCCTGAGGTGAAAATTCTGAGCAATAATGCCAGCGACATGCATCAAAATCTAAAGCTCCAGCATTATTCCTCACAGTCCAAGCCGATTCACAATCCTAGGTATCACGAATAGTATGTAGCGGCCATCCCACAACTCCAATCCATCTTTTCACGGACGATGCAGCTGGTAGGAAGACGAGCGCCTGGGGTCTTTTCTTCGAGGCCGGGAACGGAAGGAGATCCATGGGAAGCGTGGAAAGCCCTCAGCAAGCCGCATAGCGGAGCCTCGTTGTAGATTTAGAAAAATCCTAACTGATGATGAAGAAAGAAGAGGACGCGGGTCGACGAGCTTTTTGTAGGTAGCGGAGCCCAGCCCGGGCCGGCAGTGTGGCCGGGGCTAACGGGGGAACGTCAAAGCGGCATGAATTTGGCCCCTCGTTGTTTGCGACGTCCAAGCTTCTATCTGAGTCAATTGAGCTGCATGTTCTTCTCCAAATATTTCTACAGTAAATTGACTGACGACGAATTGCAAAACGGCGTCATGGCTGCTGAAAAGAAAACGTACATCGACATCAAGCCGCTCTTAACGGGCCTTTGGCATGAATCATCCCATGTTTCCCCCTCCGCTATAGATATTGCAGCTGCTATCGCCCTCATCTTCACCAATGACCTCTCCGACGTCCAGACAGGAGCGCTCCTGACCGCCCTCCACTTTACGGATCGCGATCGTGAGGCCGATGTCCTCACCAAATGCGCTGAGTCCATGCGTAACGCGGCCCTTCCCACCGATATGGAGGCATTGAAGACGGTAATAGACTGGCGCGGGCGTCATGAAGGTACATATCACGGCGGGCTGGTACGGTATGCCTTGGAATCCTATACATGAAGCATCTCAGTAGGCTAATATCTACTCTCGCAGTGTGACATAGTAGGAACGGGCGGTGACTCGCACAACACCTTCAACATCTCCACCACGTCCTCCATCCTCGCCTCCTCTCTCCTCCTTATCGCCAAACACGGTAACGTAGCCTCGACGTCCAAATCTGGCTCTGCGAACCTGCTCGAGAATGCCATGCCGCTGGCCCCTAAGATCCGGAATGTGACTCCTGCAACCCTCACAAACATCTACTCCGCTACCAACTACTCCTTTCTCTTCGCGCAGGTTTTCCACCCCGGCGCGAAGCATGCTGCAGATATCCGCAGACAGCTCGGCTGGCGCACCATATTCAACCTCCTCGGTCCCCTCGCGAACCCCTTGCATCCGCTCGTCGAAACCCGCGTCATCGGCGTCGCGCGACGAGAGATAGGCCCCGTATTTGCCGAATCGCTACGACAAAGTGGTGCAAAAAAGGCTCTTATAATCTGCGGCGACGAAGAGCTCGACGAGCTGAGCTGTGCGGGTCCCACGCATTGCTGGCAACTCGCCGTGCCATCCGGAGCAAGCGAGCCTGAAATCGCCTCTTTCACCCTCACACCAGAGGACTTTGGGCTGCCACGACATCCGTTATCAGAAGTTTCGCCCGGGAAGGAGCCCGCGGAGAATGCGGCGATCTTGATGTCTATTTTGAAGGGAGAAAGACCTCAGGACGATCCCATCGTACACTTCGTCCTCATCAACACAGCTGCCCTGTTCGTCGTCTCGGGCATATGTGAAGCGGAATCGTCTAATATGGGCCCTGGAGATGACGGGAAGGTGATTACGGAACGTGGTCCTGCTGGTGGACGCTGGAAAGAGGGCGTGAGAAGGGCGAGATGGGCGATTAGTAGTGGCGCGGCGCTCAAGGAGTGGGAAGGGTTCGTAGAGGTAACTAATAGAGGATGAATGGGTTGCACCATCATACCCAATCGAGTAAAAATCTTGTCACCGTCTTATTTGTCTTTCAAAATTCTACAGAAAATGAAAGCTCTTCATTCTGTACGATTGGTACAGATGCAGAGGCGCTTGAAACAATATGCAGACTTATCTCAAGGCACCAACATGTTTCAAAACTCTTTCCTCTCAATTGACTGGTTATCAAACTACGCTATCCAGAGGTCGTACTCTAACGACCAAAAAAAGTCTCCGCAGCAATAGTAGGCCGTCTGCCCCGCACCTAATTGCTGGTTTGAAGCTAAAACACAAGACCAGCTGCTCTCACTACGAAAGAAAGCATCCCGCTTCGCACCATCCATTCAGAGAAGCTAAACCTTCCCTTAATACATCCCCTCAACCACCGCTTCCCCACACTCGCGACGAGCAGCCCTCGAGTTAGAATGATCTCGACAGGCCTGTTTATGCTGCGCCCAGTCTGCGCGTTGGCACGCTGGACTACAGTAGAAGCGCCTATAGCACCCCGTGCACGCACGGAGCGCGCCGAGCTTATCGCAGATCGGACAGCGAGCGGGAGGTTTGGAATCGTATTCTTCACGGGCAATGCGGACGGCTTCTTCGTGTGTGGGAGGAGCTGTGAGGGCTGGAGTTAGTCTGGGGAAAGAGGAGGGGTTCGGGACATACGGTCTCTTTCCACAAGCCGATAACGAGGCTCGCCTTCAGCACGTCGCTCTCTAGCATTCCGCTCGAGGCGGGCCATGAAAGCGGCATGGCTCTCTGGCCGGTTGGGGTTCCGGTTCTCTTTATCTCTATCGTCGGCGCGGGTGGGTGGGTGTGCGGGCGCTGTATCGGGGTCCGTAAACCATCCTTAGCATCTCACACTATTGCTTAACTTACCAGCTCCACCTCTACCACCACCTCCCAAATCAACCGCCCCTAGCCTCTCCAGCATCGCCTCATCAACAAGGCTTTTTATGGCCATACCTAATCTCCCATTCTCAACCCCCCTACCCCCGGGCTTCACACCCAGCAACTCATCCACAAGCATCTCCCGCAAGATTTCCTTCCCCATATCCCCCAGCATCGCCGCACACACCTCCCCATCCGGTTTGTCTTTCCAGCTCTCCTTCAGCGTCTCGTGCCCCATTATGCTACCCAGCCGGAGATCCGCGAACTCGCGCGCCTCGGCGCGGGTGAGCGACTTCGTGTCGAAGCCTTCGGGCAGAGGGTCGGAGCGCGTGATACCGGCCAGGCGGGAGGAGCGGGGGGCAACGCGGAGGTCGACGGTTTCGGGGATGGGGTGGGCGTTGTAGGGGGGCTGGGGGCGGGGGTTAGGGGGAGGGTTAGTAGGGCGGGTGTCGGCGTTGCAGGCGAGGCAGATGCCGCCGAATGTAGTCGGGTGGGTGCAGGCGGGTTCTGGAGTCTGGGAGGTGGGTAAGGTAGCGGCCTTGTGCGGACGGTGAGGGTTTGGGATGAGGTCCGGGAGGTCGTCGTCTTCGGCCTCTCTGGTCGATGATGGCTTGTCTGCTAGAGGGACAGCTTCGTTGTGAGTGAGTGTGGTGGGAAGTGGGGCGGGAGCTGTTATTCTTTCGCCGCAATCGACACAAAAGCGGCCAAAGAGGTTTTTGTGCGTGCAAGGTCCTTTCTCCCAAGGGGCAGGTGTTTTGGGTTCATTGTCGGATAAGGTAAGACCACGGGCTGAGGACGTGCCGGATGCCATGGCCTTGCCACAATCGACGCAGGCACCCGCGAAGTGAGTTTTGTGAGCGCAAGGACCCTCTTCCTCCAAAGGGACAGGTCCATTGACATTACGTGCGCGAGGGTTGGGGACAGAGGACGAACCGGACGTCATTTCTGTGCCGCAATCAACACAAAAGCGCCCAAGGAGGACTCTGTGCGTGCATGAGGTTTGCTCGACATTGATTCCTTCCATGCTGTATGCTGGTTAGTGTATGTGCGTAGGCGGAAGGCTGTGAGGATGCTTGCTTACGCCATGGTATGTTGAATCTTTTGCATGCCGAACTGTGTGTATTGCCGCGAATCTTGTCCGGCGGGAACGCCGCCCTCCATTTCGATTTGGTTCCGGGCGCGCATCAGGAGGTCCATGTGTGGGTTGGGGGAAGACATAGTGGATAGTGTTGGCGAGAGTCCGGGTGGCAAGATTGGGGTAATGAGAAGTGGAGGTGCTGGTGTGAGTGAGAAGGATGGTTGAGTGGGGAGGTAGGATTGGCAAGGGAAATTAACCAGCCATTTGGCAGGTGTGAGGGAGATGGGGTAGTGAATGAACCTCCGGAGTCGATGACAACCCTCGCGCTTCCCAACTCTCCGAAATGGAAGAATACAGTGGCACAGTGGATTGCTCTGGTGAAGCCAACTAAGAATCGGCTATACCACCTAGGGCTCACTCGTCTATCAAGCGACGTTCGCGGCTTGGTACCACCACCGGGGTGGATGTAACCCTTTTCTTCTTTTTTTTTTCTCTCTAGCTTGAGTTTGGATCTTGCGTGTGCCAACTTGCATTTATTTTTAAACCAATATTCTTTTTGGGATGATAGCTCCAAGGACGTTGATACCAACCAAGCAGTAGTGAAGAATAGAGCTCCGCATCAGAGCCGTCCACTAACCCTCAAGCAACGCTTATCCCAATCTGCTTCAGGCCAAAGACATACCACCTAAACCCCCCAACCTCCGCCCTCGCTCTTTGCTTTTCCTTTTAGCTTTTTGTAAAAAGTGACCATTTTCTGAGTGTATATATTCCATAACATTCTGCCGTCCTTCCAGAATTCTTATCCTTACAAGTGCAAGTGAGACACCCGTGGCCTAGTTTGTCATGGGCAGCGCTCTGGCTCCTTCGTAACATGGGATTTGAATTTCTTTTGCTTTTTATATATCTCTTTTGGGACCTTAGTTCGAATTGTAGGCGGGGCACTACTTCTTTTTGCTATTTCACATTTTCTCATTTCACCTCACGGCCTTTGCACTCACGTGGTCATCATCAGGTGGCGTGCGCTTAAACCCTTCGATCTTTGTGTTCCATCAATAAATATTATGATTAGGCGAGTTGTTCTTAAGCACCCAGGACGGATTGTTGAGAAGAGGAGCTCTGAAGGCTGGGATTGAGGCTGATGCATGGAGTTAGGAAAGAACACTCGTTCATACTTGCGCTATGAATAGTTATGACGAATGCTGCAGCGGACTGCTTACCTTCTTCAACACGACTTCGCACAAAGCACGCGATCTGTAGAGTAGCCATTGAAGATATACCTGCGAATGCAGACTACACACATCAAGCTCACAACGCACGCATCGAAAGAGAAAAAAGGGTATCCTAGGAAATTAAGAGGAGCCTAGCCTATGCCGCAACGGGAATACTCTGCGGGTTGTGAAACACATCTCCTGGATCCACCGCGCGCTTAATCTCCTTCAGCTGCTGCAGATTCGCGCCCCAGTACGCCTGCTGTCCATCCGGTAGCTCGGGATCGACGTATCCCGGATACGCGCCCAGCGTGTGACCCGGCAGCGCATCTAGGATTACCTTGTTGATGCCGGTGATGAAAGAGCGCGTCGTGTTCGTCACACGACTGATGTCGATGGCGTAGGTTTGCACGTAAAAGAGGGTGTCGCGGAGTGAGAAAGCTGTCGCATTCATCGGCACGTCGGAGACGGCGCCACCGCTGAGATCGAAGATGGCTGAGAGTTTAGCTAGGTGCGAGGGCTGAAAGATAGTGAGAATACTTACCAAACCATATCGCGGTACCCTTATCGGTGTTGTCGAAGTACTCAAAGAGCGCTTCGACACCACCGTCTGGAATCAGATCGTCTTTGGTGAAGGCGAGGGATTTGGAGTAAAAGTTGCTGGGAACGCCACCGCCGATTTGGAGCCCGCCTTCTTCAGCCCACTGCGCGACCAGCCCAAGCCAATCGTCCAGAACGATAGTGCTTGGATCACCGTTTCCTGGGAGCCGGCTCGTGATATTGAGCGACTCGAACTCTTCTTTGGAGCCAAAGTAGGTGCCGTACACGATAGTCCCGAGCTCGAAGACGATGAATTGGGAGGCAAACTTCCGAGAAAGGTCTGGGTCTGCGATGATAGATTGCCATGCTTTGAAGACATCGGCTTTCTCGGCTGTGGATCCTAGGTTGAAGTTGAAGTTGTACTGCACGACCTCGCCAGGCTCAGCTTCGGTGTGGACTTTGAACTCGGTGATGATTCCGAAGCTGGCGCCTGCACCCTTCAAGGCGAAAAGCACGTCCGGATTCTCGGTCGCGGATGCTCGGATAATAGAGGAGTTGGCGAGAACAACTTCGACTTCCTCCACGTGATCCAGTGCGGAGCCCCACATTCGAGACGTAGGACCCAAACCGCCTATCGTTGCGTGTCCTCCTATTCCAACCTGCGGGCAGGTTCCGTGGGCCATCGCCCGGCCACCGGCATCGTGCAGCCGCTTTGTGACGTCGTTGAGAAGAGTGCCGCCTCCGATGGTCGCCGTCCAGCTGCTGTTGTCCATCGAGAACTGCTGGAAGTGCCTGCAATAAATCAGAATTCTGGATCACGTCCTGATGAATAAGAGTCTTTCCGTACTTCAAGTCGACCACGATTGCGCCGTCGGTCCCGCCGATTCCATAGTTCCCATAGCTATGTCCTCCGCATCTCGGTTGAACCTTCAGCTTGGCGTCTGCAGCGCACTTGACGATCGCAGCAACTTGCTCGGCACTTTCGGGGTAGGTCACGGCGGCGGGTGTTATCGGAATATCAAGGTTGTACGGTTTGACGTCGTTGAGCTGATATAACAACGTAGAAGAGGTAGTGAGTAGGCTGGCGTTTCCGCTGACTGCGCTGGTCAAGCATTTTTGTACAGAGGATGGGTGGTTACCCATGTTTGTGGGATTGGAAATATCAAAATAGAAGAGGGTTTAAGAAGGTCAGAGAGAAGAGGGTCGGAGAGAAAGAAGAAGTAAACGAGTGAGGTAATAAAGTTTGATCATGCGACGAAGCGGAGTGACTTGCAAGGGACCTAAAGGCGGAGAGAAACCCTAAGGTGCAACGACGTAACTAAGAACGCAAACGCTTCAACGCTTAATAGGATATGCCTGCGCTGCGATCTGCGCCTGCAATGATTCACAGCTGGGGAAGCGCGGCCTGTGAGACTATGGGCCCAATAACGAGCGGGCATGTCCATATTATCGGCGCTGCGGAGCGCCGAGTCATGAGGAGAGCCTCGAGCGCTGGTCCTGCGGGCATGCCACACAGGGAAGCTTACGATGCTGGCCATCATCTCCACGGCCAGCGAAGGTGTGGCGAGGGCTGAAGAGCTGTGGATAGCATGCTGGTCTCGAGGTTGGTGGAGGGAAACTCCTGTCAGGGGTCCCGCCAGGGTCCAGTTGGCGGCATCCCTTGGCAACGGCCGTCTTCGTCTCGTCACTGGCTGCACACATTCATCCTCAAACACAACAATAATTCCGCCGTCATCCAGTCGCTACTCACCCTTCACCTTTTCAAGTTTCTCGTGAAGAAGGGTATCGTGGACGGAACATTACGCGGCTCTATCCGCCGCCGACCTTACACCTCTCTGAAGACAGACTCCATCTGTTGATTTCAACAAGCGTGGTTCTACCGCCTACTCTCCCGCAGGACTCACACCCTCTGCTCTGATCAACGTGCTCAACAGATTACCAACTGAACTGTTCTCTTTGATTCTTGGGCTGATAGTCGCTAAATGAGCGCATGCGACCGTGCTCACGTAGCTCACAAGACAAGATTCCAGATCAGGCTGATCTCAACCACCTATCGCAAGTATCAAAACTGCTGCACCACCGTACCGTGCCTGAGCTCTATCGGTCCGTCACCTTCTTTGCGCCAGACGAGAAGAACCTCACTGAGCTTGGAGTGGAATCATGCCTGGCTAGCAACGCACGGCGATACCTGAAATATGTGAAAAATCTCCGCTTTACGTCACGTTTCCACCGTCGGCTCTTCATACGCTGCCCTCGTCGCAGGAACTCGGCCGTTTACGCATTTTATAGGATTGAACCTGAGTCTGACGAGGAGGTCGGTACATTTGACCTATCCGACAAGAGTGATCGCGAGCATGACGCCTTTCTTGAAGATATAGCATCACGGCTAGAGCCCCTGATGAATCTTATCAAAGACGAGAGTTTGCGAAGCTTTAGATTCGTCGTAACTTTGGTCTTGGTTCTGCTATACATATGGTTGATCAGCCCACGCAAACCAGCTGGGATTTAGGGGCCTGTGTGCCTCGCTCTATTCTGAGCCATATATCCACTAGGCAAGCCAACACCGACTCTTTCTCGATGACCGCTGCTACGGTCTGCTGCGCGTAGTGGGCTACGAGTCCGTACGAAGATTTCCACCTTACTCAGCTTCGGAAGGTTTCCTGGATTGCTGATGGACAGATGCATCTATCTGCTCTCAGAGCATTCTCAAAAGTAGTGCACACCTTCTCCAAGAGCTCGTGGTTGATGGCCAATCTTTCAGACGGGTCCGGCCCTTTCCCACCATTTTACCTTATAATCATCCTTATAATCATCGCGTCTACGAAACCCTCAACGTAACGGACGGCGAACGAGCGACATTATTTTGTCTCTCAAAAAGCTCTCCCTATCTAGGACCCTTTTAGCGGATCCGTTAGTGAAACCGATATTTGCTTTCAACTTCTTTCAACTCCAGATTGACAATTGTAAAGCTACTGACGAGCTACTACACATGCTCGCCGGATCGTCAACGGCTATGCAACTCACGTCCTTCGAACTCAGATACGATTGTGCCAGTTTTAGTTACGCTCCTTTCAGAGAGTGTCTTGAGAGGTTCTTGGGCTCCTTTAACGGCTTGAAAACCCTGTATTTGGACTTCCCTAGGCCCCCAAATTTTGTCCAGACAGTATCTCATCACAAATCGACTTGGAGAAGTTGGTGTACCAACAAAGGGAGAATTATGATTTACCTTTGTTGTCCACCGAGGATTTTTCAATGATGTAATTAAGGTGCCTTGGACTTTCCATAAAGCCAAACGAACTGGTGTGTAAACGAGTGTAAGCGAGTAATGGTTGTGAGCTAACGCTCTTAGTTTCGCTGGATCACTCAACCTGCTTTAGGGGATGGCTCGGGTGAAGCCACCATTTGTCGGCTTGCAGTAGGGTTGCTTCACATCAGATTTCGTGTAAAACATACGCCAATGAGAAGATCCAGAAGGCTCGACGCCGAGTTTTCAGAAGCACTGTCCGACGTATACAAGTTCGCGCTTTGGGCCTTTGGACCTGCCGGCTTTCCGAAACTAGAGGTTTTAGCCTACGGCGATTTCGCGTACCAGAGTCGCCATCCGAACATCCTGCTATGCAGATCATAGTGCCAATCCGACGGAGAGACTCCTCATCGGCAGCTTACCAAGAAGGATGTGAGGCTGTGGGAACTCGTTCAAGAGAACGCTGACTTCCTGGAGGTTCGTTATGGATGAGGATAGTCTGGAAGTCTAGGGGGATTGAATGTTCCGGTGCATTGCCATAGATGTCCGTACATTTTCCTGCTATTGATGGGGCTCCAACGTACTAATAGAAACCAGGGGCAGCGGATGCACTTCCAATCTGCCTACACCCTGTTGACGCTGTGTGGAGTAGCCTCGTAAGTTTACTAGTTATCCAAAATGCCGATTGCCTCTCTTATTCAGAATTCTGAGAGGACTACGAGGCTCCTCACGCAGTAGTGAAAGAGTGTACGGATTTCAATGGCGAGGCATTGCCGCATCTACCCGGACATGTCATAGGTCTTTTTTACATTTGCGTCTGACCCTTTTTTCACTTCAAAGCAACCAGGCTTGCTTTTCTATCAAACGTTACTCAATTCGCTAAAAAGCTAAGAAGATCTTGGCTCTACTATAAGAAGGGCTCTTTCTACCACATCTCTCTTGCTCTTCTCCACACCCACCCCTACGCTCACACAGACACCGTTTCCCCTAGACACCTTTCACGCTGCACCACTCTCTCCAAAGTCCCTCATTTCAGCACCACATCCAATGCCCCCCAACATATCATTCCACCTCCTACCAAAACCCCCTCTCTTCACCCCCAACCCCACCCTCTGGCCGTCCCTCCAGCAGAAAGTCGAAGGTTTCCGCTCGCTCGCGCATTCGGAGTCGCCAGCGGAATGGGAAGCTCAGGAAGAGCGGTCGGGGGCAACACGGGAATGGGATAGGAGGAGGAGACTAGGTTTGGAGAGCTGGGTGTTTGTTGCGGTAGAGCAACCGAACAAAAACATCGACAAAGACCAAGATAGGGATGGGAATAACAACGAGGACGATGTGGCAAGCCAAGAGCGTGTGAGAAAGTCAGATATAGTTCTAGAAGACGCTGAAGCTGATGCTTCTAACCTCCCTTTCCCCGACGACGTAGTCGGACAGGGAGTAAAGGAAGGGTCAACCCAAAGCTCTCAAGACGATGAGGCTAAGGCTGAGGAGTTCCCTGTCTTTGACGATGAAGCCCCAGGACACGGTGGCATGGAAATATCGACCCAAGACCTCCCAGCCGACAAAGTTTCCGACGATGAAGGACCAGGGTATTCGGATTTAGAAGACTCTAGTACAACTATACAAGCCACCAAGACTGACCCCACCGAGCGGCTTATCCTCGATAATGAAGGATTGGAGCAGGCAGATATGGAAGCGTTAGGTTCTACATTGGGAAATGAGGAGGATGACGAGGCTTGGAACGAGGCTGAGGCTGAAGAGATGGCAACACTCCTTCACGGCGAATGGATCGGCACACTCAACCTCATCGGCCCGCAAGACAATGGTTCTGGAGGTAATAACGCGGAGGCATACTGGGAGTACGAGATCAAGTCGCTTTTTGTGCTGCCTGGTAAGAGAAGGCAAGGGGTCGGAGGAGGGATGCTTCAGAAGGCGATAAAGGAAGGGATAAGTACGTGTGGAAAGAGGGGCCACGGCAGGGTGAAGTTCAGTGTGGATATCAAGGAGTGGGAAGAAGGGGATAGGGAGCAAGTTAAGGAGTGGTTTAGACGTGCGGGCTTTGAGGTGGGAACGAGAATGTGAGAGGGCACTTGGAGAGGTGGGTAGAGTATGTGGAGAGCCAAGAGGGCGTTTGCGTAGTAAATTGACATTGGAGTATGAGAGGGCTATGGCATTCGATATTCGAGCGAGCGAGGTTTAGCACGGGGTTGTAGTAGATATATTCCCCTTATTTCACAACATCGTTGACTGTCCGAATCTCTACCTCTCTATTTCTCGTTCCATTCTCACTATACAATCTACCTCCTTCACTGCCAGAAATCTAATGCATTCATATTACCTACTCACCCTATCATTAGCGGCCTAATACTGATTAGCGAGAGTATATGCTGACAATCATCGAAATATAAAGGTGATGGAGATCATCATCACGAACGACCAAAGCCTAGTTAGTAATTTGTCGAGCAAAGCGTGGAGCCTAGTCAGTAATCCGTTGATCGAAGCAGCTTGTCGACCTCCAAACCCTAGTTAGCAAATGGTCGGGAACAGCTGAGGATCAGAGTTGGACGGGGGAGGGCGAAACTATATACTCCAGAATCCACTAGCATCTTGGCAAGTGGAGAGCCCGGATCACCACCTGCGCGCTGTTGCCTAGAATCAGGATTGTTGCCTGAAATCACCGGATTGTGGCCTGAAATCTAGGACCTTCGGTGTCCGAGAGGGTTGCGGTCTGAAGGGGAATGCGGTATGAGGTGGATGGAAATAGTACGTAGCAACCTCGATAATTAGAACTTGAGGTTTCTGTTGCGCGGGTGTTTCACTGTTCATGGCTCATTGATTGAATGGGAGACCGTATCTTACGAAGAGAATATGAAGAACTATTGATAGAAAAGCAGACAACTCATATAAGGAAAGAGCACGTGATTAAAATGACTGAGTGGCAAATCGATAGGCCTTGCGACATCGGCCAGAAGTGTTAGAATTTTATCATTTTATGAGGTCTTGCCATATGTGTGTCTTGTCGCATGATGATGAATCGACTGGAGAGGAACGTGACTTTAGGATGAAGCGCGTCGAGGTTTACCTTCCACTTGGACCTCCTTTATCCTCAGCTCTCTACCTTCTACCACTACACTTATCAACTGCTCTATAGTATTTCCAAGGTGTAATCTCAACATCTCCTGAATCACATCATGCCTCGTACGAAGCGCCCTCTCACCGAAGCTGATCCTAATGCCTCTACAGGCTGAGCGAGGCGGTCTAAAGTTGCCAAACCGGATGCGTCTGAGGGGAAAGAGAACGCGACCACCACACAAGCAGAGCGCGCAAAAGAGAAGAGGAAAGAGATATTGAAGGTGTCGACAAAATCTACGGAGGGAAATAACGGCCTAGAAGGATATGCCTCCAAAACGCAAGCGGAATTGGAGCTCATGCTGCAGAAGCGAAGGCTCCAACGCACCGGCACCAAACCCCTGCTTATAAAACTTCTCGAGGTCTTGGATGAGCTAGAAAGTAGCGACCATGCACAGCCGGCCACTGATAAAGCTTCTTCTCAAGGAGAAAGCTCATCAGCAGGCGAAATCCGGCTAAACGATAACCTATCTGATGCCGTGCTAAGCCCTGAGGAACTCGAAGCCATCAGTCTCAAAAGCAAACAGATTTCATGTCGAAGGATAATAGCAAACTTCGCTTGATGCTGGAAGCTCGTGGCCGGAAACCTCTGGCACGCGAGACCAGTTGATCGCGCGTCTGGAGGAGAACCGGACCGTTTATTACGAAGAGTACACTACTGACGAGCTGTCGGATATGCTGAAACGGCGTCATGTTGTCGGAGCCTCCACAGGTTCGAAGGCATTAAAGATAGCGCGATCGCGTTTGGACGACGAGTCTCCTCGCGACAAAGGTGACGTACTCGACGTCATCGAGTTGTATGTCAAGCTTGAATTGAGGGAGGAAACAGTCTACCGATACAAATGCGCGCGAGAAGCCATCTCCAAAGGTGACTATTCCTTCGTCATGAACACCCATTACGAGGATGAGCGGCTCGAGGGCATGCTACGTGAGCGCAACCTCTCGGAGTCGGGAACCAAGCCAGCGAAGGTGGAACGGCTTCGTGAGGATGATGCACGCCGAGAAGAGCCATTCTTGACTAGTGTCTTTGATGACCTGATCAATAGAGAGGAGGCCGAGTGGAAGAGAATGAAACCAAGGTTCGAGAAGCTCACTGGACGACGAATTGACTCAGACTGCTCAGATTGCTCAATCAACAAGATACTCAGCGAGCAAAGCAGACGATGGAAAGACGATCCCCTATACAAATACCAGGAGAACGCTCCTCCTCCTAAACCCATGACGACCTACGACTGGCGCAAGTCACAATGGGCGGATCGAACATCGCGACAGCTCTTTGAAATCACGGAAAACAGAGGCATGCCAGAAGTCGGCGGTACAACCAAAGCAGGCATGATCAAATGGCTCGAGACAGGAGAAATCGATTACGAGGAATATTACACTACTCCTCTCTACCATTGGTGTCAGAAGCGAGGGATCAAGGTCAAGTACCCTGAGAAGAAAGAGAATCTTGTCAGGCTACTGAAGGAAGCCGATGAGAAAGAAAAGAACTGATTGCAACATCAACTCAGCTCTCCCTACCCTCATCCCTCCGCTTCACAAACTCCGTCTCAAACTCCAACCCCGCATCCTGCCTCACAACTCCATACAACGAACTCGAGTCCATCGCCCTACCCCTATTCTTCTCCGAGTACTTTTTCGCCCGCTCCAAATGCCCAATTACCACCTCCCCTACCTCCAATCTCACTCCCACATCCTTCGCACAACTAATTCCATGTCCGACATCTTTTAACGCGAGATCTAAGCCCGAAAACGGCTGCTGCCCTGCTCCAGGCATATACACTCCCGTTGTCATCCGCTGGCTATCCGAGTACGCCAGCGCGCCGAAATTCTCTTTAATCAGAGCTTCGAGAACGGTGCTGCCAAGCCCGCTCTTCTCGGCCAACACGTGCGCTTCTGCGATTACTTCCATCAGTCCCGAGATGATGAAGTTGCCTGTCGTCTTCAGCATTGTGGCTTTGGAGGCATCGTCGCCAATCTCAATGATGCCCCGTGCCATTACACCAGCTAGATACGGTTTCACCGCGGCGCGAGCAGCTGGAGGACCAGCGAGGGCGAGCAGCAGCTGACCACTTTCCGCGAGGGGAGAGGCGCCGAATGCGGGTGCTGAGGCTGTTAGTAAGATTGAGGAGATGCCCAGGTGGAATGGGGCAGGCCTACCAGCGAGGAACTCGGCACCGCTCTCGCTCAACTTCTTCGCCCATCACCCCGTCGTTTGTGGATGTACGGTCGTAGTATCAACGACAATTTTGTTTTTGACATGGCCGGACTCGATCATTGCGTTTAAGATGCCATCGAGGGCAGCATCGTCGCTCGTCTCCGGAAATCAGCTCCATGCTCCATCGAACTGACTCGGCACAGAACTCACTGAGATGAAAACAATTTCAGACTTCTCTGTCACTTCCGCAATGGAGGCACACGCCACGCCCCCAATTTCTTGCAAAGGGGCTCCTCGCGAGATCGTGCGGTTGAAGTAGTGCAGAGCGGGTGCTGAGGCCGACCGTACGTGGGACTGGAGATTCTTCGCCATGCCAATGCCCATGGAGCCGAGGCCTGCGGACTGTCAATTGGATGCTATATTCATTGTGTGGAGTACGCGGCAGGGAGGTTCAGGTTGGTCACGTGAGAGTATCAGAGATATAAATTACCTATCCATCCTAATCGCGGAGGTGAAGAGTTCGAGGTTGCCATTGTTAAATAGGTTTAGACTAATGAATCAATATGGTAGAGGTTGGAGAAAATGCGCGAATTTGGACTATTATAGTTATCAAAATTGATGATGACTCATCAATTCTCCGAGCTGCCCCTACATGGGCGTTTTGCAAGCTAAGATGATCTGGGAAGGTCCTAAATGAGCCTTATAAAGTGGGACACTTCAGATTTGTGGAGATATTGTCGTGGTCTAAAGAACAGCACTGGTACTTGATCTGATAAATGCCATCTCCAGATCTCGGCGGTAGAAAATAAACACCAGAACCACGATCCATCGCCAATCCGCAATCTCCCAACCTTCCTAACATATCCCTCCCTCTCCCCTATCTCTTCTCCCTTGTACACCTTACTTCAACAAAACCTCCGCCCTCACCACCCCCCTCTTCAACATCACACCTACGGCGGGCATCGGATCCGAAAAAATCTCCGACCGCGCCAACTTAATGCCCCCATCCACCTTCACATACTCGAATCGAAACGCACTCACCACCACCGCATCCCACTCGCGCCCATCCGCGCTCCGCACCCCCTGCTCCCCGGCGCCCTTCTCCCTGGGAATCTTCACATACAGATTCGCCCGCCCGAGCATCTCCCACCCGCTCAGATCCTCCTTTTCGACGCAGAACAGCTCCCGCGGCTCGTGGTAGTTGGCGACGAAGGGCCCGTAGATGTCGCGCAGCGCGGCCCATTTCGCAGCGGCGCCGGTGACGGTCACGCCGGCGGAGGTGACGAGGACGGCGCCGGGCGTGAAGAAGGTGGAGGGATCGGTGGAGGGGTCCGTGAAGGCGCGCGCATCGATGATGGTGGTCGTGTAGTGCTCCATCCATTTCATGGCCGGGTGGGCGCGCGTGGTGGCGGACCAGCCGGTTTGGCGAAGGTGGAAGGTGGGTGTGAGGGGGAAGGACATGGTGGGTGGGTGGGGAGGTGGGTTAAGTTTGGGGTTTGGGGGGATGGTTGACTGGAGGTTTGAGAGGTGACTGGGAGGTTTGAGAGTTGGTGGGAGGTTTGAGGTTGGATGGGAGATGGGGAGAGAGGGAAGAACGACTTTATTTATGCTGTAGTTCATTAAATGCGGGGGAGGGCTGCGGCTGAGAGCTAGATCACTGACTTTCCAAAAGCTTACGGTTGTAGTGGTCTAGAATATATAGACTTAGTGGTGGCTAGCTGTAAGTGTTGTTTTAGCTCTTGAGGCTGAAGTGCCACGTAAGACGCCATACCCCCAGAAGTAACGGCAGTGTGCTAAAAGATTTAATATGTAAGGAGCTGAAGATATGCTTGGTGCTTGGAGCTGGGAGTTGGAAGTAGGTGGTTGTGGCGTCACCGGACCCCTTTACCCCTCACCACTATGCCAATCATCAGCGATTATTAGGCTTCAGCTGAGCACTTGCACTACAAGCTAATATACTTAGCCCCACGTGTTAGATCGAGGCATGGCAGTAGTCTCGTGAACGATTAGTGAAGTGGTGGTTTGTCAGACCCCATTGAAATCGATATCAAGAAAAGAGTTGCGTGGTAATGTTGAATTATCCAGCGCAGACATCAGTTCCTAGATACGTGAACATAATAGAAGCAGGCCTTTCGGCTGAAGGCGGTCATCCACTAGCATCGGCGCCCGTACAAACGATTCTAGCACCTCCTTCGTCCTCAACTGCCATCAACCGCGCTCGCAGAACCGTCTTCCCGTAATCTCGGATCGATTCCACGACCTCCGCATCCGTCTTCAGCGAGCTGCTTTCCAGGAGTTCGTAAACATCTCGGCCGATAGTTTGGGAAATCGATGCCCACGCGCTGCCGAGAAGAGAATAATGAGTCTGCTTGATATACAGCACCGTCAGTACAGCAATCAAAACATAGTGCCCCACAAGCACAGATGTCATTGCTGTAAAGCCGCCTGAGGATTGCGGAAGTAAGACTTCTTTGAAGTAGGTTTCATTGACTTCAGAAGCGTAGTCAAAAGCGTGTTGTTGGCCATAGTACGCGGAAAGCGAAAGTACTGTAATAAGTCCCGAGAGAGCATGGGCAACGGATGCATTCCGCGAAAGCGCACCCGTGAAGAGGCTTGAGATTGACGGGTCTGCCGCGAGAATGTTGGAAGGCGTGTAGGTGAAGTTGTTAAGTACGTTGATGAGCGGGATGCCGCTGAAGAGCGTGGTCCAGTTCGCATCGAGAGGTACGGTGGCTCCGTTGACACCACCACCTTTGCCTGACATGTCGCCTTGAAAGAACGGGCGTTGAAGGAATGGGACGACATCGTCCTTTGTGGGGATGAAGGAGGTGGACTTCTCTAATGTCATGATCCCTCGTGCTTCTAGGCTCTGATTCGTTGAGTCAAGGCCTAGTTGACTAGCGATTTCTGTAGTGTTGAATGACCCAGCTGCGTTCTCTTGGTTGGAAGGTTCCCAGCGAATCGTAGGTTCAGATCTGTTAATGGCGCCGTAAATACTAACATCCAAGCGAGCAGCGTCCCACGGAGCATAACACACGGACATAGACAAGATAGACTCATAGACTGATGGCGAGATAAGGTCGATCCACTCGTCATGGACGAAAAGACTGGAAGCATTGGTGATAGGAATCTCGGGTGAGTGCGGCGCTTTCCATTGTGTGAGGTCGGTGGTTCGCAATACTAGAAAGACCGCGCCATATCTTGTAAGATCTTCGCCGACAGTTTCGTTCGAAAATTGACTAAGAAGTGTTGGGAGGTACTTCGGGCTCGGACACCCTATCTGGCAAATTGAGTACTGGTCAGCGCCGCCGTAGTAGCACATGAAATTAGCCTCGTCTGCCCAGTTATTCGTCATCACCTTGGATATGGTAGGATTCGCGGAGATTGTGCCAGTACCGTTGCTGTAGTACCCTTCGCTCCATGACAAATTCGAAACTGTCGGTGCTTGACAATACACTCGGGAATCCAGCACTATAGCCTTGCCAGTATAATTGCGCAGCGTTTGTCTAGACCGAGAATCTGTAAGGGGGAGCATAGATCGAAGGAGAACTCCGGTGTCGCTTGATCCCGCGGGACTTTGCTGTGGTGGTTCTGAATATTCGGCGAAGACGGGATAGAATGGCGGGTTTGTTGACCAAATTGAACCTCGAGGGATCACGTTGTAGGATAATTTCTCGAAGGTCGCGCAATCCGCAGAAGCAGGCTGTTGACCGAGGCAAGTATATTTGAATCCATTCAACGCAGATCGGGACACTTCGAGGTCCGGCAAGGGACCGAGGTGCAGATCAGACAGAAGTGCGGTGGAGCTGAACTGAAGGAGCGAAGTTGTGGTTAACAAAACAAAGAGTAGCACGAAATACTGAGACGAGATGACCGATGCTCTCATCACACTACGGAATCCAATTAATGGAAAGAGCACTGATTTACACAATGCCCAGGGAGAAGCAGCTCCAGATTTCATCGGCGCAATGACAGCGACCTCGGAGAGCGGGATACCGTGGGATGACTCCATCATAAGAGCTGCGATCATTGCTGCCCCAATACTAGCTTGCATATCAACAGCAGTTCGGAGAAGTAGGGTTGAAATCGAGATGGACCGTGTCAGCCATTCATTGATTACTATAAGCTCCCAGATGCTGTTAGACACGTCATCGAACCAGAGGAAGGAGATGAAGGCGATGATAGCTGTCATTATGATTGTAGTAGTGAATAAAGTGAGGACCATGAAACCGTGAAGTCGGTGAGTGCCCTTGATCGCAGGTGGAACGTGATGGTGACAGACGATAGAAGTCAATTGAGTTGATTTGGGAGATGTGTTTTGCTATGTTTTTCAGCAGTCGCCATCTGACTTCTAGAATACAATGATTAGGAAGTTGCGAATTTCCCCGATCTAATATTTGGACATACTGGAAATGTGTTAGTTCCAGGGCTTGATTGTGCTCGTCGTCGTTCCCTCTCTCTTTTGGATTACTCCGAGCAAGCCAAATCACTACGCCAAGAATGACGAGAGAGGACAAAATGCCAATGGTTGCTAACGCGGCCAGTGCTGCACGTGGAGTCTTCAGATGTGGAAGAGCAGGGGATGTGGTGGTGAAAGTGTTTTTGACTGCAGCTGTAGGAGTAGGCACGGAACTGTTCCAGGGTGTCGACGTTGCGCCAGTTGAATTCTGGTAGTTCGAAGGAAAGAAAGTGATATCTGTATCATTGCCGTTAAGGAAAGCGCTTTCAAGATTCTCCGGGGGACATCCAGTTTGGTTGCACGAGCCTCTTTGACAGCATGGGTTTGTCGTACAGCACCCCGCGAAATTGAATGATGAGCCTAGGCAGGTGTAAAAGTCCGCGCCCGAAGGACATATCCCACCGGAAATCTTATCGGAGGCGGCAGGGCTGATATATGCGGGAAGTAGATCCTCTTTCGAACAGCCGGTCTTACAGGGATCCTTTCTGCAGCAGCCCACGAATTTTGATCCGGAATCGCATGTGTGCCAGAGCGCATCGGCCTGGGGGCAGTACAACGGAAAGACCCCATATAAAACATCTCTGAAGTCGTCCGCCGTAGTTGTGTTCATTTTGCGAGAATTAGATCGAAGACTGATAAGAAAGCAGGGTCAAGATTCTTGGGACTGGAGGCCCTTTTCAACGTCCAGGCCATGCCCCGAGGACGTCGTGTTAATAGATATTGATGACGCTTCGTGTTGTAGACAAGGAAGATCAGGTAGTATTTTGGTAGCTAAGTAGTATCCTCTACTGCTGTGTTCTGCGTCGGGCTGAGCAGGCACCGATAGTGCGGCCCCATCTCGCTGCAGATAGAACGACGGTACCAGTCTGCCCTTCGATGACTGGACGAGCTTGGTGTATCGTTGCAGTCTACATGCAGAGTCAGTAAGCTGGTAAGGTATCACGAGTGGTTGAGACGACATCGTCTGCACGCCCCTGAAGCACGACGTGGACTAGAGCACAGAAACGGCTGTGGAGAGGGCTGTGCTTGCTGTTTGATGAGCACAGAATATGCAATCATCGTCGATAGTATTCACGCCCTCGAAATAGAAGCAAAAACTGATGAAACTAATATTGGCCGAGGTATCGTGATGAAGAACGAAAGGTAGTGATGCCCATGCCGGAATGCCAAGTCCTTCGGAAACGTTCTTCCGGCCGTTCCCACCAATCCCGCCACCTGCCATGCTGCACCCTTCTTCTTCACATGTATTTAGTCTTAGACCCTCTATAAGCGAGTATTATCTTGTTCATCAGATGTATATATCTCAAGAGGCTCTCTACAGTATATGCTTTGTCTCCCTCGAACTCTATTGTTGCGCACTTCTCCCCTACCCCTCAGTAGATCCTCGGGAAAACGGCCAACAATCCCGTCTCGGGATCTCTTTCCTAGTCTAGTCCGACTCAACGTCGCTCTTATATATCCGTTCCCCTTTTCGTCCTGCCCTAGTTTTCTCGATCGTGAACTCTCCTGTTCTTCTTCTTTTCTCTCTTTCCTGATCATCTCGTCTGAGCCAGCTATAAGATGTCAGAAGCAGATACGACCATCATCCTCGGCGCAGGCATTATCGGCCTCTCAACCGCGTATTACTTATCACTTTCCTCTTCTGACACTCGTATCTGCCTTGTTGATCCGCGGCCCCTTGAGTCCTTACACACCGCCGCTTCTGCATTCGCAGGGGGATTACTGGCGAAGACCTGGTTCCCGCCCGCGCTTGCGCCACTTGGAGCGCTGAGTTTTGAGCTGCATAAGCACCTAGCAGCACAGCATGATGGGCGGGAGAGGTGGGGTTACTTGGGTGTAAGGGGTGTGAGTTTTGTTGAAGGCGAAGGGGAGGGAAAAGAGAGGCCGGAGGATTGGCTGAAGCCTGAGGATTGGTTAGCCGGGGGTGGGAGTCGGGCTGATGCTGCTAGTGGGGACGTGAAGGTGGGCGAGGGGCCGAGATGGTTGAGGAGAGCGGAGGGGAAGGGGGTGAGGGTCTTGAGTGGAAGGAATGCAGGGAGTGAGACGGCACTGGTGTAAGTTCGATACGAGAGAAATGGAGAGGATGAGTGGTAGAGTAGATTGACAGGATGACTCCGTACTGACATTCCCAGCGACCCCCTCAAACTCTGCGAGTTTCTCCTCGCCGAGTGTCTCTCCCGCGGCGTTCAACTGCATACCTCAACCACCGCTGTCTCAGTCACCTCCCGAAGTTCCAGCTCCCATTCCACCGGTCACGTGATCCACCTTCGTCAACCCAACGGCACCCTCTTTGTTCCCTTCTCTAATCTCGTATTCGCTGCTGGAGCATGGACATCGCCAGCTTATCGCACTCTTTTTCCAACCTCCTATCTAGAGCTACCGATTACTGCGATATCAGGTCATTCGGTACTCCTGCGGTCGTCCGAATGGAAAGCTCATCCAGCAAGTAAAGAGGTAGAGACGGATGCGGTGTTCGCGACGGACGAAAGTGGGGAGTACTTCCCTGAAATGTTCTACCGGGCTGATGGTAAGTTGACCCTTTAAGTTTTCAAGTCAGGTATTGGAGCTGCGGATCACACGGATCATTTGCGTATTTATCTTAGCTTTGTCACCACCTTTCTCTTATTTCTCTAACACACCGCAGGTTCCATTTGGCTTGGTGGCATCAACCATCCCTCCAACGAAATTCCGCTCCCCCAGCCAAGCGCGAAAGCCACTCCGCTTGCCTCTTCGATCTCAAAACTTCGCGAGACCGCCGGGTATCTCTATGGCCTTCCATCTTCAGACATTTTGATAGAGCGCGAATCTATTTGTTTCCGCCCCGTAACTCCTGCCGGCTTACCAATTGTTGCGAAGGTGCCAGACGTACGACTGGGACGTGGATGGGGACGGAGAAATGCGGCGGGAGGTGTCTACGTAGCAGCTGGACACGGTCCCTGGGGTATCAGCGGGAGTCTGGGGACTGGAAAGGTAGTCAGCGAAATGGTGATGGGAGAAAATGTTAGCGTGGATCTGAGTGGGTTGGGGCTGCAGGAGGGAGGGGAGGGATGGCAAGCCCGCGCACGGCTCTAGAGTGAGGGTTCTTAATCTAGGATTTTAGGCTACAAATAAATAGGGCGACCGCGAGGTCATAATGCAGAGGGGAGGATTTGATAGTGTTGCCAGTACCTCAAAAGAACGTCTTTTCCTTCCAAGAAGCATCGGAAGACTTTCACCATAATAATACCGCATCTGTCAACCTTCTATTGATATCATTTTCATCATTTCCCCTTTCTTTATACATGCTCATGGTACATTACTCGCCAGCGAAGCTATGATTGGCGGAGGTGCTGACCAATTGATAGCCCCATCACTTTATTACAAAGCACCCTTCTTCAACCCCCAGCATCACGACAACAAGCCTACAACGTAGCCAACATCGCTTCATGCCGCTTCTTAGCGAGGCTGAACCTATTCAATTTCGTAATTAAATCCGGAATCAACCCCCGGTACGGACAAAAGTTCCTACACCGCCGCAGGATCCCCGTGATTGCACTACTCTTACAAATCGAATAGACCATGTCAATGAAAAGAAATTCTTCAGTGACGAGTTCTCGGGGCACCCGTTGTAGTGCTGAAGCCCTAGTCTTAGGTGTCCAGCGGGTAGTAGCTAAAGGCAGATAATTTGAAGCTGAGTTCACATTACAAAGGTCTAAATCCTTCACTCTCTTAAGGTAATTTCCTAGGCATATAAAACCTTACACGAAATCCTCTCATGAACTCATCCCGCGCAACGCTTCGATACTCGACTTCAATCTTCAAGTCTCCAATGCGTCGTCTCTTTGGCCCATCATGCACTTCCCCAGCCTCTCCGCCCCTCTCCTCCCCTCCCTCCTTCTTCTCCATGCCTCTGCAGCCTCTATTCCCAGTCACAATGTCCACACCATACACCAATTCCCCAATCCCACCTGGATCGAAAACATCGCCACCCGCTCCGACGGCCACCTCCTCGTCTCCCTCCTAACCACCCCAGACCTCCACCTCACCAACCACTTCGCCTCCCCACCCACCACCACCCTCATCCACTCCTTCCCTCCCGACCTCGGTCTCCTCGGCATCACCGAGCTCATGCCCAACAAATTCGCCGCCTGGCTCGTCGACTTCAGCTCCACCCCCTCCACCAAAGCCGTGGTGTCCAAACTCGCCCAACTGCCCCCAGACACCGGCCTCGCCAACGGCCTCGCTACCCTCAACCCTCATACCGTCCTGATCACCGACAGCACGCCGGGCCGCCTGCTCTCCTACAACCTGCACACCAACGCCTTCCCCACCGTGCTCGCCGACGCGGCCACCATGGCGCCGGCCCCGAACCCGGGCAACATCAGCATCGGCATCAACGGGCTGAAGTACCGCGACGGGTTCGCGTACTACACGACCATCTACATCAGTGGCTTGTACCGCGTGCCCGTGGACTGCGCGACGGGCGCAGCGACGGGCGCGGTCGAGACGCTGACAACGGCGCTGGGCGAGGCGGATGATTTTGCGTTTACGGCGCGCGGGGATGTGGTTGTGGGCACGGATTCGGAGAACACGGTTTTGTTGGTGAGTCCGCCGCGAGGGGAGGGGAAAGGAGCGTGGACGGTGAAGACGATTGCGGGGGCGAAGGATGCATTGACGGTGGCGGGGGGCACGAGTGTGGCGATGGGGAGGACGGCGGCGGATAGGGAGGTGGCGTATGTGGTGACGGAGGGAGGGTTGGCGGGGCCGGTTGATGGGGTTGTGGAGGGGGGGAAGGTTGTTGCTGTGACGGTTTATTAGGGGGAGACGGTGTGGGAAGGTAGGAGATATTAGTACAGAGAGGGGATAAGCTGTGATATGGGCACGTATGACGAAGAGAGACTCGAAAAGTAGAAATTATTATCTTTTATTTACCGTGAAGAATAGCTACCTACTGCAAATATCCAAGAAAGTCTTCATCGGCACTTAGATCTGGCGGTCGTGAGGAGGCCGCCACGGAACACCCAAAATCTCGAAGATCCGCTTCTCACTCTTGCTCTCTATCAATGTACCCTCCGTGATCTTGGCCCGGTTCTTGCCTCTCATCACATCCTTGAATAAACCGCGCTGGTTTAGTCGCATCCCTTTCTTGCTAGCGAGAAGCCGAATGCTGCGGTTAAACAAGTCGTTTCCGGTGAAGTAAATCAAGGCAGCGCCCATCTCGTTCCAGGGCACAAGCAGGAAGTCGATACGCCGCCAGAGTGACGAGCCTGGTACGGCGGATGCACCGTGCCACTTTGACCCATTGTCTTTGTTGGTTGTCGCTAGGCCGACCTTCAAAAACCCTTGCTTCATGAGTTCCGGTACGAGTTCGTCTACGACTGCGTTGCGGATGTAATCAATAGATCCCTTCGGTATCGTGATGACACAGTCAATATCGCCGCACGTCTTCGCACCACGTCGATAGGAGCCCATAATGGTGACTTCGAACAGAGGGTCGATCTTCTGCAACGCTTTCCGGACGATCTGTCCATGAACCTCGACCTCGCTCCGGGGGATCCGGGTCGCGAAATCATCGTAATGTTCAATTCCGATGAGTTGATTCTTGGTTAGGTGGGCTTTTTCTTTTAGATCGTCCAACGTTCGGTAACCCTGCTGGATCCACTTGTGTGCCTGCGTCAGGCCGACTCCATAGATGCCCAGGAATAGTCGGAGGTTCTCGTCCAACGAGTCGGTTTTCGTACTCTCGAGACGTCGAAGACCATTTGTCATAGCGATCTCCTCTATCTTGGCGGCAAGACGTTCCCCAATGCTAGGAAGACGGATGGCTTGCTCTCGCGTCGTGATCCAGTCGGTCTGCTTCTTCAGGGTTGCGACAGCCTTTCGGTATGCAAGGGTTCTCCATTGGTCCTGCATCATGTCGTAATATTTCCCCATCTCTTGCAAGGTCTCGATGGTACGCTGGTTGGGGTTCCCGGATGTTCCAGTGCCATCATTTTTGTCCATGCACTGGAACTTGCTCTGGTTGAACCTCCCGAACTGCACAGGAGACATCTTCCGAATCTTCCTGGGTCGCTCATCCTCAGATTCGGAGTCAGTTTCGGGCCCTTCGGATGTGGATGGTCGGCTTGGTTTTTCGTCCTCCTCGAAGTCTAGAGGAAGGTGCTCAAAGGCCTTTGCCTGACCCATGGCAACAGACAACGCGTCAGCATACTCCTTTCCAGAGGAAAGACTGGAATGTGAATCCAGCCTTGGAGAGCTTGAGGATTGCCTATCCGGAGAAGCTGTGCGCTTAGGTGACTTGGGATTCTCTTGCCGAAAGCTATCTTCAATTCTCGAAGGGCTTCGCTCTTCCCGAACTGCGGCTTTGCCCTTTGACGGCTTTAGCTGAAGAGACTCCTGAGACTCTAGTGGGAACGAAGAAGACTGCGCAACCGCCGTAGAGGCCTGTGGGACAGGAGCGCCTCTGATCCTGTAAAGCTCATCGTGAGGATCAAATGGCAGACACTTCAAGTCAAATACGCGCCCCATATACCATTGCCAGTTAGTGACAATAATGTTCGGTGGTATCTGCTTCACGCCGTACTTTTCTTCGAGATGTTTCAACAGTTCCGCATAGTTGACTGCTTCATCAACAATCACGTACGTGATGTCGTCTCGCCATGTCTTAACCCACGCGCCACCGAGTTCGATGACTTTATGGATTCGGAGGCGGCGACCTTCATGATAGTCGTTGTTCTGGTAAAAGTATACAATCTGATTTTTCATATACTGTTGGGATTCCGGCCGAAGCTTGATGATGGCGGGTTTTGGTATCTTGGAACGGCCGAGAGCTCGCGGAACATCCCCAACCTCTTTATACCACTCCGTCTTGGGCGGTATAGGGAGAGTCGAGGAATGTTGAAGTTTTGGCGGCGCAGCTTTCTTAGGAGCTTGAGACGCAGGTTTCTTTCCTTTATCCGTCTTTTCTACCTGCTTCGGGGCCATGTCTGAAGCTGAAGACACTCGCTTGATGCCGACGATCTTTGGATAGTCTTCTCGAGCTGCTTTACGCATCTTCGAAGTGACGATCTCAAATTCGTTCCGTCGATCGCGTAGTCGATCTGAGTCCGGGCTCTTCCGCGTCGTCGTCGTAGGGCGTTTCGGTTTTACAGGTGGATCCACCAGCGCACGCTCCGCATCCTTAAGCCCCTCATCCGGGAACCCAGTCTCGTCGTCTTCGACGTCGAGGATGCTGTGGTTCTTGAAGAAGGCGATCTTCTCGGCGATGGACTTGTCGAGGGCTTTGTTGTCTGGCATGGTGGTGGTGTGGATGTGGATGTGAAAGGACGTGTAAAGAAGTAGAGAAGGCCATGAGCGGATTTATATACGCGAGTAGAAAGCTGTTGGTGGGTGAATTGAATCAAATGACCAATTCTCTAGCCAGCAGCGACAGGTGAATGGATGTGAGTGGAGGAATGTTTTCGCACAAGAGGCAGCAGTTGCGTTAGATGCGCCGGTTCATTTTATCCGGGTCTGCTCTAGCGTCGTTTTCGCTTGTCTAGGAGGTCTCTCCTTCAGCCCTTCAGCCCTACCACGACAAACCTCACCCCTCTGATCTGGTTCCGACCTCAACCATCTCACCATCATCTGAACACCAAGATGTCCCATCCTTGAGGGTACCGGCCTGCGAGAGGTTTGTCGCCCACGCCTCCCCATCGAGCAATGCCCCTCCAAAGATGGAGATCTCGGACACAGCCAGGACATGTCCTATGTATATCTGCGAGGCGCGAGCCTGACACTTCTACTTGTCCCAGAGTTCCATATCTCTCTTATAAAACTGGACCTATGGAAGCAAGAGCACGAAGCGCCTTGAGACGGACAGTCTGCCTCGCCAAGCACATAGCCCATGGCCATACGAAGTAACCCGGATTTCTCCTCACCTGAATCGACGCAAGCGCTCGCGCAGCTTGAGCGGGACGCTTGCTCGCACGGTGAAGAGTGCCAGCAACGGAATTATATACATTTTTCTAGGAAGGGAGTGATTGTCAAACGGCAATGCTTGCTAATCAGATTGCCGCCGCTTGATCGCAGTGTACATACACTGCCACAACTAGTGCCTCCTTCAGGATCAAAATAGGTGCACGGTTCGAGGTTTCCAGGAACTACATGAGCCACCTGAAACGCGCACGCAAGCTAACCAACAAGCATAATTCAAAAGATCGGCGACTTCACAGGATTGGTGGCATACCGCATTGCCGCTGTGGGTACGGCCGTTAGGACTTGAGGATGGATCCCCGGGTTCCTACAAGGCTGACAGCCGTGCTGCTGACGTTTCACAATCTCGTGGGAAACTATCACTACGTTTCCACTTTCAATGAATGTTTTCATTCTCGTGTTTGCCTTCCTTTTGGCTCTTTTCCAAATTTGCGAACCATCTGCAAGGGGAGGGATATTGGCACACCCCCTAATCACTCCGCGCACACCCCCTTTTTCACTCCACGCAAACCACCCCCCCCCCCCCCCCCCTTGGCGCTTCACCACCTTCTAATTGGCTCGGAGCAACGCGGAGCTTCCTCTGGGCATTCACCTTTACGTCTCTCTGCACGTGATGCTATACGCGAGGCCGTACGTGAGCTCGTACGTGAGCTTGTACGTGAGCTTGTACGTGAGCTCGTACGTGAGCTCGTACATGAGCTCACATGTAAGCTTGTACGTGAGCTCGTAAATAAGCTTGTACGTGAGCTCGTACGTAAGGCTATACATAAGGCCATACGAATCGGCATAGCTATACAGCCTCTCCGTTCTACGGTGCATTCTTTCCAATTCGTGCAGCCGTATATACAGCCGTACGTGAGCTCATATGTAAGGCCACACGAATCGGAAAGAATGCACTGTAAAATAGAGAGGCTGTATAGCTATGCCGATTTGTATGAGCTCACGTACGGCTAAGTGAATAAGAAAGGCTACACGTGCAAATGCACGTGAGAATAGAGCTCCGGACGAAGCTCCGAGCCGCTCCAGCCAATCAGAAGATCAAACGAGAGGGGGGGTGTGCGCGGAGTGATTAGGGGGTGTGCCAATATCCCTCCCCATCTGCAAAGTTTGATGTTCCATTAACTATTGCTTGAATCATGTGTTTCCTTTGCACGGCTATAATATGACTATCCTAAGGCGAGTCACTAGCAAGGCAGACTCGCGTGGTATACCATTGACCAAAACAAAGACGATATCTGGACAGGATTTCAACCCAGTCGCGACACGTACTTCGGCTGCTGACTTTCCCATTTCTCCTTGGCATTACTCTCGAATACGACTTAATTTGGAAAGGTCATGCTGTGCGGACATCACAACGCCATACACTGCCTGGAATCCTGGACGAAGGAAGCTACGATCGTTAGATTTCACATTCTGCGAGCGAGTATGCTGATGTTGCAAGTGGCTGCGGCTTGGGACGATGAAGCCATTCTGGACCACCTCGTCGCCGACTTGTGTACACAAGTTTGCCATCGCTTGAAGTGCCTCAATCCGTTCTCTGAAATCCAAATGGGACGAGAATTCATTCTTTTGAGCTACTGGGAAGCTCGTCGGGCCACCTCAGACCATCGCTAAAGGGTGTACGGCGTGCCCGTCGAAGCAATGCCATGATATTCTCTCCTTGGCAATTTTGAAACATTCATATTTCGTGCCGCAGGGTACCCTTTTCCGCGCCGTCCGGGAGGAGTATATCTATCCTAGCGCCGAGCGGCCTTTGGCGCATTTGACGCGTCGCTAGTTCCTTCATGATCCGACCAGCAAAGGGCAGAACGAGCCAGGGTCAACTTGCGACCCTGCCAGTAGCGACCTGTTGTGACTGGTCTACTCTACACACGAGCAGCGTGCCTATTCCTTGCGTGTCCGTCATAGTCTGCTACCCACTGTTTCCCTTGCGTTGGTAATATTACAGCCATCAAGGCCCTCTCACTTGTTTCCATCCTATTCATCATCTCCGTCTTCATCTGCATCAGCTCTGGAACTACAACCAGCATTCAGCTCGCATCGCAACACTCAGAAATGCGTCCCCCAGTAAGAAGCTCCCGGTTCGACCTAAGCAGTCTTTGGGCCCGATTCTGGCATGCCTCAAGACGGACAGAGAGCTATAGTCTACTTCGAGACCGATCAACATCTCCTCCACGACGAAGATCACTACGACACAGAAAATTCTGCGGATTTTTCCTTTGCCTCCTGTACGCTACCCTAGCATTCGCAGTCACCTCCTTTCTTAATGGAATCCTACGACCCTCTTACGTGAGCCCACCCAAGTATCACCGACAACTCGCAAGTCAGATCCAGGAGTCCTTGAAGAGCAGTCGTGGTAATAAACACGGTAAAAATGTCTTCATTGCCGCGAACATCGTCAACGAAGACCTCATCCGTGGATCTCGGGGCGAGAACCTCCTTCAGCTCGTCGGCATCGTCGGACCAGAGAATGTCTTCGTAAGCATCTATGAAAACGACGCTGGGGACAGGACTCGCGATGCACTGATGGATCTCCGGGATAAGCTGCCTTGTGAGTCATTATTTTTCTCGAGACTCGTTAATTAGGAAAAGCCCCGCTGACCCCCTCCCCAGGCAACACCTCCATCGTTGCCAGTGACCACATGAACCTGAACTCTTTTCCTACTGTCACCATCCCCGCCACCGGCGAAGCACGAACGAAGCGGCTTCTATACCTCGCCGAAGTCCGCAACCGCGCTATCCTCCCTCTTCAAAGCGGTCCCTCAATCACCACCTGGGCTGCTTCTCACCCTATTTTCAACAGCGCAGCCAGCACCCGCTTCGACCGTGTTCTCTTCCTTAACGACATCTTCAAACCCGTCGACGCTGTCCAACTCCTCTTCTCTACAAACGAGGGGAAGTACGATGCAGCTTTCGCGATTGACTTTGTGGCGGGGATCACGTTATATGACACATTTGTGATACAGGATACGGAGGGGTACGGAATGGGTCTCCCTTACTACCCATGATTTGCGCCGTCTGGCAGCTTCACTAGCCGCAACGACGTCCTCTCCCAAACAGACGCTGTTCGTGTCCGCAGCTGCTGGAGTGGCATGGCAGCCTTCGACACTACAGTCTTCCAGCCGATACCACCTCCCACTATCTCTCCAGCGTCTCAAACATCCGGGCAGTACAAGCAAGACCCTGTGTCAGGTGATACGAAAATTTCCTCCCTCTCCCTACCCGGCCTCACATTCCACTCCATCACAGAACCTTTCTTTGAAGAAAGCGAATGCTGCCTTCTCTCCGCAGACCTTGAAATCCGGCGAGCCGCAATCTATAACACCCTTTTCCCCTCGTCATCTCCTCAATCCGACGCCCGGCCACTTTCCACAGGCGTGTTCATCAAACCTTACATCCGCGTTGCTTACTCCTCCGCCACCTGGGCCTGGCTCCCTACTACACGCCGCTACGAGCGTGCTTTTCAATTCCTACAATACTTGATCTCCAAAATCTTAATGCCAGAATACAACTACCGTCGCACACACGCAGCCGGCACAATGGTTGGAGAATGTATCTGGGTGCCTGCGAGCCTTGGTGCGGAGGAAAGGCGCGGGCTATTGAGGAGATGGCGGGGATCTAATTGGATGAGGGGCACTTTGGAGGTGCAGAGAAGGGTCGCAGACGTGGGCGGCTGGTGCAGGCGGAAAAGAATGTTTGTAATGAAGGGGGACTTGAGTGAGGCGAATCAGGATGGGTGGGGGAAGAATTGGGAGGAGGTTGAGCCGCCGGGGAGAAAGGGGTGAGGGGCAGTAGAGGTGAAGAAAATGGCTCAACGAGCGTTTGTTTTGTTGGTGATGGTTGATCTTTTTTTCTCCTTCGGTTGTAGAAGTTTGGTGGGATGGGCCTGGCTTTATCTGCGTGCAGATAGTTAACGGGAACGAGAGTGTGGTTACAGCACCAAGAACATGAGTTTGGGCACTCCTTGCCACTGCTTGGCGTACCCCGACAGACTTTTAAAACTGTCAATACGACGTAAAGGCCAGCGTAGTGGAGATTAGACTGCCTTTTGACGAAGCTCACAGCTGCTAGCTAGGGTACTCCTCACAGTGGTGTCGATCAAGCAAGAATGGAGCCGAAGCAGTGATATATCTGTGGGCCCAAGCTTATGTACATACACCAGACTCTAATTTTATCACTTCTGCCACGTCGTCCACTCCGCATCCTCACCCCCCTCATTCCCGGTGCTCCGCATCAGGCTATCAAAGAAGGCCATGTCGACGCCCTGGAACGCCCAGTCTTCTCCGCCCGCGGTCAGCCCGGGGTACTCTCCTTGTTGCAAGAGCGGATCGGAAAAGCCGTTCTGCAGCTGTTGCGGCGCAACGTTCGGAAGCTCGCCCTGACTCCTTGCATAGGAATCTGGTACTCCTTGTGCCAGCAACGAACGTGTTTCGACATTGCCATACCCAACATCGACCTGTGCCATGACCTCGGCGTCCGACATTCCACTAGGCCTAGGAAGCCCAGAGTGCCGCATCTGGAACCCAGCACCGAGCGTCTCCGTGCTAGCCGTACTCGACCTCCCCACCACCGTCGCAGGAGCATGCGGTTTCGGAATCTCCTTACTGACCCCCTCACGCGCAATCTTGATAATCCCAAAATACGGAATAAGCACACTAACCCCGCCCTCGCCATCCTCCCTCTCCCCCAGCACCTCCCCCCGCCCGGCCTCCTGCACACTCACCCGCCCCGCCCACCCGTCCTCCGCCGCCCCGTCCTCCGCCGCCTCCCCCTCAATCGCCAGCAACCGCCCCAGCAAGTCCGCGCTCTGCGCACTCAGCGCATCCGCATTAACGCGATTCAGCTCCCTCATATTCTCCTGCGCCTGCTCGATCATCGCGCGATCACTCAGATACTGGTGCGCGAGCAGGTTCTCGGCGGCGGGCGCGGCGGCGGCGCGGCGGCTGTCGAGGTGCGCGAGCAGTAAAGTGAGGGCGGCCATGAGCGCGAGGAAGTCGATGATGCGGCAGCTGAAGGCGATGCGGTTGACGCGGCGCAGCGTGATGAAGCGCGACAGCACCTCGCGCGAGGCGTTGACGCACGTCAGGCGCGAGTACTCGTACTGGCGGTCGGGCGCCGCGGCGGGCGAGGAGGTGGGGGAGGAGGAAGAGGAGGAGGAGGAGGAGGAGGAGGCGCGCAGCATGTAGGGGAGGTGGAGTTGGTTGAGAAGGTTGTAGTGTAGGACTTGCGCGAAGAGGCGCAGGGTGTCCCAGAAGAGGGCTTGCGGGGTGGTGGAGGCGGCTTCGAGGTTTGGGGAGAGCCACCATTTGCTCGGGAGGCCGCGGGCGGCGCGCTGGAGCTCTAGGTCGAGAGTTCGTGTCACGGCGAGGTCTTGGGAGCTGGGGTTGGATTCGTTGCGCTCGAGGATTCGGGAGGCGAGGACGCAGTGGATGCGTTCGAGGCGGCCCATGGGGGTTTCGTTTGCGAGCTGAGCGTCGGAGGCTATGCTGCGGTCCAAGGAGCCTTGGGGGAGGCCTAGCATGAGACAGAGCTGGCGGTCTATAAAAAGGACTCGGAACCACATGATTTGCGGGTGGTATTCCGTCTTGGGGTCAAGCACCTTGAATTGGGCCCGATTTTCCGAGCGGTTGAGGCCCATCAGCTGTGCAATGCTCATCGCTCGCCGACTCGCTACCCAGCTTCGGCGGAGATTCCCGACGTTCACTTGATACATCGTCTCGATCATGACGCACTCCAGGCCTTCGATGCTGCCAAGAAGTTCGTCGTTGGACGTGACGAGGCTGATAGCGAGATCTACTAGTCGTTCCATGATGGCTCGTGGCGATTCCGACAGGCCTGTTATCTCCTCGTGAAGGCCGGGAGGAATATGCTGTAAGAAGATGGCGAGTTGGAGCATATGCCTCGATATCAAAACGGGGTGTACGTTGGGTCCAGGGAAGTCTAGCAAGCTCTCGGGCGGTCTTAAGCCATTCTGATCGAGTGTAGTGTATGGCATAGTCAATACTTCGTAGGCAAGGGCACAATGCTGACGGCTAGCCTTGAATATCATCTCCATATCTTCCCGGGAAGGCAACGATTCATGCAACAGCCGAGACAGCTTCTCATATTTACCTGGTGGCACATCGGCAGCTGGGGCACCAGGAAGCTTGCCATTCTCGACAGTGTGATCCTGATGAAAACAGTTAGCATGGATTACAAAAATAAATAGACACACGCCTCGTCATTGATCCATGTACACTGTTTTACCACTGCCTGAGGTGGCCCGACAAGCTTACCGATTGTTCCAATCAACATGATTTAAAAATGAAAAATGCATCGAGGAGCTTCAAGCAGCGGCAGACAGGTGTACACAGATCTACGACGAGTTGTTGTATGAAAGCCCTCAAAAGGGTACATGTGCGCTCAAACTGGCGCGCAAACACCGATTCGTGTGATACGCCAAAAGAGAAAGAGGCTAGAATGTAAAAGAAAATAGCTATATTAACGGGCTCGAGGACTTGACATAGTTGATTTTCGAAAATGAATAGGTATGAGAGTCCTCAGGAGCATACACACGCTTTCAAAACGGCGTTCTGACAGCTTCAATTGGTGCGATGAGACCCGCAAGGAGAAGATGCAAGACGCAAAAGAAAAGAGCCAAATTCACGGGCTTAATAACATGATATCATGAAGGTTTGAAAATAGACAGGTCAGACAGTCCTCAGAAAACTTCCAACGCTGTCAAGATAATAATCGCGCAATCCCAAGTGGTGCTATGAGTCCAGAGAGATGAGAATTCCATATCTAAAAACCAGACGCCTGATTCACGGGGCTGAAAACTTGACATTGCTGCTTTTCGAAAATGAATATGTAGGAGTGACCTCAAGAGGGTACGTATGCTGTCAAAACGACGCCGCAGAGCACTTGGTTTGTACCATTCAGTCCAAGAAGAAGAAAGACGCACCTTGGAATATTTGTAGAAGGCTAGGAACCGTAGAGGCTCAGAGTTCGTTGACGCGGGAGTGATAATGCCCTGGTCAGTCCTACCCTCTCCGCTACCGACTGTCGTGGGTGTTCTACACTCTATACTGGGCGTCGTGGGCGTTCTTCCGTCGGAAGTAGAAGCCCCATTCCTCAAAACCCCATGATCCGTCAGGTAGGAGAGCAAGAGGTCCTCGGGGACCTCCTGACTAATGCATTTAGAGCCTCGTCGTCTATCGAGTCTTAGTAGACGCATTAAGGTTTACAACGAGGGGGAGAATGGGACATCTACTGGATCCTCTTGACGCCAAAGGACTACAGTATGTGTATTCTACTAGGAACCTACGTACCGACAGCCGTTGCAGGTGGCATTAGAACTAATGAGCGGGTCGAATATACATTTCATCTTCCGCCGCTTGCACTCCCAGCAGCTGCGGGTTCCTTTCCGGACCTTCCTCCTTTTCGCATGAGCCTCCGCATCCTCGGCCGAAGCTTGGCGCTGGCGTGATACCGGACGCGACGAAGCTATTGCATCCATGCTTTTAACGGAACTAGCCTGCCGGCGGAAAGGATTTCACGGGCTGGTAGACACAAGTAAAGTGAAATTGGGAACGTGGGAGGAGGAATGCCGGGTGCGGCGGAGGAAGGGGTCCTTTTGAGGGCGGGCGAATTGGCGACACACGGCGAATGCGGCGGACGAAAATGCACCTGGCAGGCAACACCATCTGAGGTGGCTCAGAGAGCTATCAGCCTTATCAAAACTATTACTTTGGCAATGCTTGTGGACATGTCAGAGGACCTCAAACAGTACCAGGAAAGCGTACAAAAATACAAAATGAGTGTGTACGTCAATGATGGAAAGTTCAAATCAGATCCACGACTTCGTGAACGGCCACCTTTTGTTCAAGGAGGCCTGTCTTGGCATGGATCTAAACGATGTTTGCTAACCTTGGAAGATTCGACCGCCGCACCGCTGCTGCTCCATCCTAATGCCAGGGGAACGGGTCAATAGTCAGTACTCCAGCTCCGTTGAACAAAGGGTGGCAGTCCACGCCGTTTGAGGTGGCCCGGGAAGCTATCGGGCTTGTCAAACCTGTAGATTTAGAATACAGTTTTTCATACTATCCCCAAGGACCTCAATGGGCGCCAAACAAGTGTGCACAAGCCTAGAATGAGTTTAGATCTAAAGCATAGGAAAAATGAGAACAGACTCGCGATTTCGTGGACTGCTACTTTTTGTTCAGCGGACCCTGAGGCGTGAGAGAAATCTGACACGGCTAACCAGATTAGGTCTAGGGTGTAGTCGTTAGTTCTAAACTCAACGCCATCTACGACCGGCATTGCCTCACGAACTTACATTCCTACAACTTACTTTGACTTGCAGATCAGATGATCCGAAAAGGAAACCAGTAAAACGGTACGCATACTAACAGAGCACCACATAAAATAACTAACATTAACTGCTCATATCGTAAAATGAGCGAGGCTTTCAGTGACGTAGACCCCCTATTATATGCGGTACTTCATTAATCCCCTGTACCGCCTTTGGTTGAACCACAAATGCAATCGAATGGAATTATCTTTAGCCGTATTAGTCCTTCTTCCAGTCAAATATGCCAATCTACTACATATATGTAACAATATGCAATGTCGATCCATTTCGACCGTGTCTTCGATGGGTTCGACACGGCTGACACGGCGGACGAATGTGTACCTGACCTTTCCTCCGGTACTGTTGTGTATGCTATAAGTCGCGGCTTGCCTGAGAACTACTCTCCCGAGTCAACAAATCCTCATCCCCCTCCCAGCATTCCAGCAAGACACGGCAACGCAGAACAGCCAAGTAACATGTCGGCCCAGAGCTCAGATTTTGAGAGCAAGAGAGCCGAGACAGAAGCAAGCGATCCGACAAGCTTGACTACCAACGGCGAGCACTCTGCAACCGACAGCATTCGGGAGAAGCAAGATGACGCCGTAACCTTGCCTGCTAGTGACAGGGCCGGGCCCGAACCTGAATACGCGACAGGCTTACGTCTTGTCCTCATTATGGTCACCATCTTCATGAGCACTTTCCTCATCTCCTTGGAAATTGGCATCATCGCCACCGCAATTCCAGGTATCACCGACGACTTCCACCGACTCGACGACGCCGGATGGTATGGAAGCGCCACTTTCATCCTCGCCGGCTCCGCCTCGCCAATGTGGGGCAAAGCATACAAGTACCTCAATGTCAAGTTTGTTTACCTTACCTCTGTGGCGTTGTTCTTGATTGGGAGCGTTGTGGCCGCAGCGGCTCCGAATAGCGTTTCCGTGATCATCGGTCGAGCCCTTCAAGGCTTTGGAGCCTCTGGTACTCTGAGCGGTTCGGTTCTGGTCATCAACTACGTCGCCCAGCCTAAGAGACGTCCTGTGCTGATCGGTAGCTGGATGGGCGTCTTCATGACATCGACTATCCTGGGGCCCCTGATCGGCGGGGCCTTCACGAGCGGAGTCTCCTGGCGATGGTGTTTCTGGATCAACCTACCGCTCGGAGGCCCCATCGTCGTCCTGTTGGTGCTCTTCTTGAAGGTACCGAAACATATAAAGCCTGTCCCAGCGACGTGGAAAGAGATCATCCTACAGCTCGATCTTCCAGGCTTCGGCTTGTTACTCGCCTCGCTCATTTGCTTTACCTTGGCCCTGCAGCGGGGTGGGCAGACCAAAGCATGGAACGAAGGCTCTGTAATCGCCACCTTGGTCCTTTGGGTTTCCTTGCTTATCGTCTTCTTCATCGTCGAATGGCTCCAGGGCGCACGCGCCATGATTCCACTGAGGCTGCTGAAACCGCGTGTGGTATGGAGCAACGCCCTGTACTGCTACATGTAAGTACCGATTGCCTATCCTTGCACGTTGTCTCCGGCATGGCTGACCCGCGATTTCTTGTCAAGCTCCAATGTCGCTGACTTCCAGGTCATCTTCTATCTCCCCATCTATTTCCAGTCCATCCACGGCCAGTCAGCCATCACAAGCGGCGTCAACAGCCTTCCCTTCTTGGCCTTTTTTGCTCTGGGAGCCATGGTCAGTGGCGCTGTCATCGGCAAGACAGGGTTCCTGCAGCCCTACCAGCTAATCAGCGCACTCTTGATGGTCGCTGGCACGGCCCTGCTCTACACTATGGACGTCGACTCCTCCAAAGCTCGATACATCGGCCCTCAAGTCCTCTTCGGATTCGGTCTCGGCCTCGGTAACCAGATCCCCATGACGGCTGTGCAGGGTTTCTCGAAGCCCGAAGACGTGGCAAACTCCACTGGTGTCATGCTCAGTAGGTACCTGATAAGAATCTGCACGTGTACTGTTTTCGCTAATGCCAGGACTAGTGTGCCAATCCATCAGTGGCGCCTACTTCATCGCGGTGGCGCAGTCCCTCTTTGCCAACCGCATGCTACGGGCGCTCGCGAACACTGCCCCAAATATCAACGCTATTACGGTTATAAATACTGGTGCATCCGAGATCCAGCATGTTTTCAAGGGTGGAGATCTGGCTGCTGTGCGCGGCGCTTATATGGTTGGGATCAAAGACGTCTTTGCGTTTTCGCTGGCTGGCTCGGCGGTCACTGTGCTCATATCCCTTGTGATTCCGTTTAGGAAACTTCCCAGTCATGAGAGCAAGAAGACGGAGGAAAAGGTTGCGACTGTTTAGGTCCACCGCTGGTTACCGCGGAAAAAACTGAGGATCTGGCGATTGAGGAAAGGAGAGGGACGATATTGCAGATACGGGTTTGAAGACTATAACGCTGCTACAATGCGAGGCAGAGTAGGAATGCTGTCTCAGAACCTGCATGTGATGTAAATTAGTTTGGAGCAAGATAGCTTCATAGAAAACTTTGATTTATAGAGAGTTAACTCATTATGTTCTACAAACGAAACACATGCATGGGGCCTGGAATTTACTTGAAGTCCAGCGCTGACAGAACAAGTCGGTGTTGAGAACACTTGGCACGTGTATAGTACATGTTTCCTTGAAGGATGATTCGGCTCTATGTACTGAAAGTGGGAAAATTCAGGTGCATTGACCAAGCAAATACTTGCTTGCTCTGAAGAGAATTAATGGATGAATCCAGAGGAACAGAAACTGAAAGTGAGGGAAGGAAACTTATGGACCAAGCAAAGATTTGCTTGCTCTGAAGAGAATTCTTACGCCAGGAAGTGGAGTTGGATGGATTCAGAGGGGCCAAAACTGATAGGTAGGGAAGGGGCATCGCAGATGTCGCAGGACTCGAGTCCTCTAAGCCGCCAGCTCTAGTGGTATGCCGCAGTCAGATGGATGATGCTGCCGATCGTAATGCCAAACAATCCGGACACAACCGTTGCTCAGTGCTGCTTCGCAGCTTCTCTGGCTCTGTCCGCCGCCTGTCTCTGCAAAAGGGCTTCATATATCGCCTGGGCGTCTTGTTTGCGCATGACCTTCTCCATTTGGCTCCAATTTGAATTTCGTATGCCATTGATCGTCGCCATGTAGGTGGCATGAGCTGCCGATCGAATGTCCGATTGTTTGAGCAGCGGGAACTTGCTTTCCTCGGCTTCCAACTGTTGCTGCCGCGCCAGCCTCTCGGCCCTGATCTCGTGCATTCTCGTGGAAGTCGTGATGGTGCCATCTGAGAAGAGATGAGCAACTAGGGCGCCACCGGGAGCTCCGTTGAACTGGATGGTGATGGAGCTGCGGACTTCCTCTCTGTCGGTGTGTGGTGGATGCGGGCGGGTGCCGCTGGACAGAGTTATTAGCTTTGAGGACTTCTTTAATGTGCAACACTGGGGTAAAGATCTGGATACACAGAAAAGTCACTGCTCGGGTGCCTCTATTGGCTAATAGGTACCTCTGTCAGGAGTTATCCCTGGCCCTATGGAGGCACCCTAAGCAGTCGCAAACGAGATTGCTGCTAAGATACTTTTACCGGATGATCTTGAGTTCGTTGAACGAGAACCGGACCTACAAACGGGTTAGATTTGACTAAGAGTGAAGCTTGGGGCGCTCTGACATGAGGATTTGTGCCCTGCGCGATTTCGAGGATCTGGCTCCTGAAAGCGTTGGGGATCTGAGTCAACAAGAGGACCGACGCATCTGCGATGCTCTTGCGGGTAGACATTTGATGGCTGGTTGGGGAATGTTCCTGAAGCGAGATCTTGGTATAAAGTAAAGAGGTCTTGTTGAAGGGAGGCTTTGAGGAGGCTGTCGGAATGTGATAGTGCAACGGCAGGATGTAGACTTGGAAGAGCTTGTGTACATTTAACGGCTACCCGAAACATCGTCATGTCGGAAGCAGCTTAGCGTCGGGTGAGAGCGGCGTAGATTTATTGCGGGCTAAAAAGAGAGTGAAGGACCCTCCAACGATACGCTTCGCCGTTCGGCAGTACAGCCACAAGCTAGGGGAATTCAGCATTCTCACCGAATTGAACTCCTCAAAGCGTATCGCCTGAGCTACTTTCAGAGACTATTCTACTGAAGTTAGTTCTTTTCGATGAAGCTGTGATGGAACAGTGATGAAGACGACGATGAAGTAGTGCCAAGACGGGAGCGGCCGCGGCGGGCCGCAGTGCAGTCAATGCAGGGACTCTTCTATGACATACGGCGCAATCCAAGTCAACTCCTTCTCACTGCTCTCACAATGGGCGGCGTTGCCAGACTTTGGCCGCGTCCAAAAATTGCGCGATCACGCCTGCCCGAAGTCTTTTGTCGCCGAACTCACACGATGACGGACCTTACCCCAATGGAAGAACAAACACTCCCACGATACAATCAAAAGCACTACTACCCCGTCAACATAGGTGATACCTTCAAAGACCGATACCGAATCATCGCAAAGCTGGGGTTTGGCGCGTACTCCACGGTCTGGCTTGCCAGAGATGAGAAGTTCGCCTCCTCACGTACCATACTTAAATCCACTCTGACCCAGATTCAGATCGAAAGAATACACTTCACTCAAGGTCTGCATTCAGGACGACACAGAGACTTCACCCATCCTCAATGAAATCAAAATGCTCCGACGCCTAGCAGACGTTGCGAAGCAACCTCTAAAGCCCGGACACGATGACCACGCTGGCCAGCTCTTCACGCGTTTCGCACGTGATATCTTCGAGATCCAGGGACCAACGGGTCGGCATCATTGCATCGCGATGAAGCCTCAAGGAAACAGCGTCCGCACACTCCAAGAAAGATCCGCCGATGGAAAGTTGCCGAAACTTCTCGTACGATCAATAATACACCGCTTATGGTTTTCCATAAACTGGCTGCATGCGGGATGTGGCGTCGTTCATACTGGTGAGAACCTACGAACCCTAATGACGGAACTTCTGCTTCGCAGTTCGTATTTCTCGGCCGTGCTAAAACTTCTGCAGATATCACTCCCAAGAACGTTCTGATGGAGAGCAGGGACGACACTATTTTCAAAGATATTGAGGACGAAGAGTCGCGAGAGCCAAGCGTACCGATTGTGACTGATCGTGGCCCCGTTTACCCTCATCGACCTAGCAAGCTGGAGCTTTCTGGCATTCCAATCCTCAGCGACTTTGGGAGCATGCGATTATTGGAGCCGATGAGCACAGATTGGTGGATGCCCGATCTATACCGAGCTCCGGAGGTCCTCCTGAAGCTTCCATGGGAGGGTCACGTCGATTACTGGTCAATGGGCGTAATGGTAAATACCTAAGCGGTTGCGGTTGTTGAATGGTTGCTGACAATTATTAGACGCTGGAGCTTCTGGAGGCGAAAAATCTTTTCGATCCCATCGACCGCGTGGATCACCGATACGTTCTTCCAATAGCATTAGCGCAGTACATTGGGTATCTCGGCCCTCCACCGCTAGAAATGATCAAACAGAGTCCCCTTTTCTCGGAATACTTCGACGCTGATGGTAAGCTGCTTTCTTCTTGGGTTCAGTGTTCTCTTTCTTCCTCATCTAACTTGCAACAACTACAGGCAATTGGGCCTACGATTACCCTATTCCCAAGACATCTTTAGAGGAATTCGTCACGGTCATACCCCCAGGCGAAGAAAAAGACCTATTCCTCAAGTACATCCGGAAGCAGTTGACGTGGGATCCGGAAGCGAGAGTGGGATCTGCGGACATCATTTTCGACGACTGGCTGATGAGGCCCAACGAGATCATGGGACCTGCCTTTCCTTCTATGGCAGAGTCCGACCCGATCTCTTGAGCCCAAGTATTTTCAAAGCATGACTGGGCGGCGGGGCGTGTAGCTGAGGAGAATTGTACAACAGATTAAACTATCACGGTGTAAAGATGCCATACGATGTTCACCACGATGCACTTTATATCGCAGTGACACCCACGGCAGTTTTTTCCTCTGTGCGCCAACATAAGAAATCTGTGTCGGCATTGTTCTAGGGTGTCCGATTCATCTGATTCGTCGTGCGGGGGACGGAAGTTATGGAAGGAAGACTGGTATGAAGGAGACGGCGCATAGTAATAGAAGAATTTCGATTTATGCGACTCTAAAATAGCGAAAAGAAATGGAAATTTGTAGAATACCATGCAATTCTTCTAGAACTTTTGGCTCTGGGATATCTCTGACCATCTGGTATCTTTGATAGAGTGCAGTCATTTCGATGCAGTGGATAGGTTTGCCGCCGGTGCTGAACTAGACGTCCGGATGCTCTTGGTCGTTGGGGTGTGAGGGGCCTCGGAGCATGCGGAGGTAGGAATGAAACGAATGCGATAGAAATCGGGATGCCAGTTTCTACTGATGTTGAATATATGAAAGAGTCCTACACGCTCGTAATAAATGTAAAAAATGCACATCTAGCCCGCACGGAAATTCTACCTCATTCTGCGCATTCTCGAGGACGTGAAGGGTTTTTTAGGATGCCTTCTTTTAAGCGTGTAGAACGCACTTTCTGTAGGGCGTATACTGAATAACCATATGCCGCTTCATCGCAGGAGTCCGGACGGCTTCCTGAGCATGCTCTGTCTTGTTATACATCAAAAACGCGCTTTCTGGAGGCGCTGAATCAGACCTTCAATTTCGCCGATGTCATCGAGACGCAAAGCTGATCCCAATGAGCGAATTTTTCAATCACCTTGGATGCTCTTCTGAGCCGCTTTGATTTGAACATTGAAATTATACAGAACGCTGAATTGATGGAGTGTGAAGCCTCTTCTACGCCCCGTAGAATTCTCACTTTTCTTACACGCTAAGCTTAGTTTGGCCTTTAATTTCTGCTTAGTCACACTAAACCAAAAGTTACGCGACCTCCAATTCAACTCCACCTCATCCAAAATCTCCAAGCTCCATCGCAACACCGACCCTACCACATACCTCACGACCTACCTTCCTCGAAACGATCACCATGTCGGCTGTAAGGCTGCGGTCATTGGAAAGGAGGAAGAAACCAAGCTAACGCATCTATGTGTAGCAACAATTCATCCCCATAAACCCGCGGCCGATGCTCCAGGGCTTGTATGTCTACCTCTCTACCTTTGCGCCTCGTTCACCGCCTGCCTGAACCCCTCACTATATTGCCCTCCGATTCCTATACCAGTCTGTCCTTGCACTCGGATGGCGCAACCATATTAGCACGTCTAGCTCTAGCTTTGCTAACGAGTTGAATTGCAGGGTCGACGCCGACGTCCTCGTCCGCCTAAAATGGGGCCAGACCGAATACAAAGGCCGCTTGGTCAGCGTGGACAGCTACATGAATGTGCAACTTGCCGGAACCGAGGAGTTTGTGGATGGGAAGAGTACGGGGACGCTGGGGCAGGTCTTGATTAGGTATGTTCGCGAGCGAAGCGAGCTGCGACTGCAAGTCTCGCGCGGTGGAATACGATGTTTGGGAGTTTCGGGGATTGTGAGAGGTAGAGGCTAACCCACGGTGTTTCTTTCGCAGGTGCAATAACGTCCTCTGGATATCGGCGGCGAACGCGGCGACCGGAGGGGATTCGTCTATGACGGGTTGATGGGCTAGCTTGATGGGACAAACAAAGAGGATCGCAGATCTGCTACAACCGGACTTATGCAAAACACACAAGAGCGATGGGCTAGTTCAGAGTAGGGGGGTTGAAGACCTACGGCCGATCCCTAGATATAGGCAGAGGTCTTGAGCTAAGGGCGTTTGGATTTTCCAAAAGCGTCTGCTGGATTTCCGGGCTGACATGGCGCCTTCATGAGATACACTACATCTCACACATGAATCAAGATACCCAGATTTGAAACTGAAATGCCGTCGTGGTTTTGTTACTGTCCAATTTACACCCTGCAGCCTTTTGCATTCGTTCGGGATTTCTACACCTAGCTAGGCCACCTCGAGCGGTGGTATCTACGTGGAAATCAAGGGCACTATCGCTTCGTCTAATTCACGGCCTGCACTTCCTTCATCCTCTCCCACATGTTTACACCCACACAAGCTACTTCTAATGGGCTGGGTACCTAGATAACCTCTCTGGAATATCACGTACAATTTACACGCTCTAATCCTTCATACCCATCCTCGAAATTTATACACCTCTGGGCCACCTCTCGCGGTGGCGAATATATGGAAAACTATATGTTAGAGCGGTCTAATATTCAACCTCATTTTCTGGATATGCACTCCAACAATTTTTATCACGTGAAGACACCTCCCACAGCGTCGCCATCACTCCAAACCACACCCGCGCCCCCATTTTCACATCAAAATCAGTCACATTTGCGCCAGAGTCTAAATGAGTAGTGCGAAACTGTCCTATTGAGTCTACGTGAGCGCTGTCAATACCCCCTGCGATCATCGTCCACTATCAATACCACATCCCTCCCAACTCACTCAACCTCCTCCACCATACTTCTCCCCTGCCCACCCTTCCCATCCCCCGGCTTAATCGCCAACCCCCTCAACCCCCCCTCCAATCCCCCGGTCAACCTCCCCAACCCTGCCTGCTCACCCCCTCCCCCTCTCATCCCAAACCACACCTCCCTCCGCCACGTCTCCAACCGCTCCAACACAACCCCCACATACCCCCTAACCAACCCATCCTCATCATCAGCCCCTACCCGCTTCAGCACCCTCTCCACCTCCGCCCACTTCTCCACGGCCAGCCGCACACCACCACTCCCACTCTCCAACCCCTTCAACACCCCCAACACAACCAACACCGCCGCGCGCCGCAAAATCGCGCGCTCAACGCCCCGCTCGAGGACAAGGCACCCGAGCACGATTTCGATGGCTCTGTCGAGCTCGTCTTGCGTGATCCCGTTCCCCCAGCGCGCCTCGAACGCTTTGCCGAGGATCGCGAGCGCGGACGCGCGCATGCGGATGTCCTCTTCCATGCCGGTGTCTTGCCAGCCGTTGACGATGCGGGCGACCAGCTCGCTATCATGCGGGTGGGATGTCAATCCCGGATCCGACGCTGGCGCGGAAAGCGACAGCGACGAGAGCGACGGCACATCGCCGCCCCACGCCTCCTCTGCTTCGCGATGGCTACGCGCCTGCGCCGCAGCTAGGCCGTCGCGTGCGGCGAAGGTGTCGGGACGGAGCGGCCCACGGCGGGATGCCAGCGTGAGACTGGCGTCGATGATGCTGTGGAGGGCGCGAGTGGCGTCCGGGGTGGGGCGGGCCCAGATAGACGGGGCGGAGAGGATCTCGGAGAGGGTTTCGCCGACCCGGAGGCGGAGGTCGAGGCTTGCTGTTATTTTGTCGATTTCTGCACCGTCGTCTCCTGCGTGCGTGGGCTGAGAGGAGGAAAGGGGCTTCAGGGTTGATTCGTCTGCGTCGAGGAAGGTGGTTTTGAGGATGTTGGTGACGAGGGCCGGGTGGAGGGCTGCGAGAGAGATGAGGGGCGGGATGGCGGCGGTATAGACGTAGGAGTCTGGGTGGGAGAGGGAGAGGGATATGATGGCATGGGTGCTTGAGGGGATGTCGATGATGTGGGAGGAGTCTGCGGAAGAGGCTAGGTTTTTGATGGTGGAAAGGGCGTGAGCACATATCGGTGGCTCGTTTGACTGTAGTTCGGACAGAGCAGTTGAGAGAGTAGAGCGGAGGTGTGCCAAAGGGTCTGTGAAAGGAGATATGCTAGTTTGCGTGGATGAAAGGATGGAAAGGAGATTCTCGGCCGCGTTATTGATTGCTGCAGTGGTTTGGATCTGACCCTCTCGAGGTCCTTCAGACGATATCGAACGAAGGCACCTAGCGACGCTTCCTAACATATCATCAGCCTCGACAGTTCGCTTGAAATCAGGATTGCCGATCAAGGTTGTAAGGATGCTCATAGCGAGAAGGATTATAGTCTCTTCCTCGGGATTGCTGGCAGGAGTATCGACAGGTGATGAATTTCCTTGGACTATGCTTCTCAGGCTCGTATACGTCGATGTTGCCATTTCTGTCTCGCGCCTTTGTTCTGCTTTTTTACCTTCAACAAAATCTTCAAGCAGTGTCCTTGCTAGCTCAATAGTATGCTTTGGGTGACGTTCAAACTCGGGCGCCAGCTTCTGGACTATAGCATTACAGAGCGCAGCATTCAACAATATCCCAAAAACATCTCCTTCCAGCCCATCTAGGTCGTTGGTCAGGCTAGAGGTAGTAGATGCGGATGAGAGCCACCGTTTCATTGCATTTTGAGCGACGGCGATGCGAACGCTACTCGCTTGTAGAAGATCCACGAAAGTTGATATGCGTGCTTCAAGATCTTCCATTCGTGCCGGAATGCTATCGATGTTGGGCCTTCCTCCGGGTCGACGACGGATTTCAATGCCACCCTCGCTTCCTGGTCCGTACGTCCACGCCGGCTCACCGTCGTAGAGCAAATTCGAAGCAACGCTATCAATGGTGTGTAGTGAACCTGCAATTTGGAAGTAGTGCAGCAAGATGGAACGTGTTGTGTCCTCCCATATCCGTCCGGATATCTGCCGACTCTTGGCATAGCTCAGCAGTCCCCAGAGCGGGAGAATGATGGGGCTTATGAGCCGTTTTGCGAGACCTGGATGAGGATGCGCGGTTGTAACAACACTGAGGCTCTTGACGGCTTTTAGAAGGTCGGGTTCCGAAACTAGGACTTCAGCGAGAACGAAAGACGGGATGCCAGAGCCGGGCGGAGGTGTCGCGAACTTAGGCTCGAAAGCATCCAACAAGGGCTGCGCGAAGAGTTTCCACCCAACAGTGCCCGGAGCGCCTAGTGATTTTAGGTTGAGGATACTGGCAATGATTTGTCCAGCTGCCTTGCTCATCTCAGGACTAGCTTCATCAGGAAGAAGATCCCATAGTTGAGGCGCTATTTTGTGCAACTGCTCGTCTCGGGTCGCGGGAGGTGGAGGATGCAGCAAGATGAGCTTGGTCACCTGCGTGACGGCTTCCTGTGTGATCGCTGTTCCAGAGCTCCCCAAATTCGAGAGGAGTCTCAGCAATTGTCGTAAGCCATGAGGCCGAAGAGGGATGAGTGAAAGGCTTTGAGAAAGGGCCGTTTTCAGCCATGGGGCGGCAGTATTGAAGACTGGGAGCAACGGAACGATTTTATCGACCGACGTTCTAGCGGATGTTAGCATAGTGACAGAGAAAGACCTGAAATGCATCGCCATCGATGCGTCTGCAGTATCCTGTCACTGCTTGTATACTCCCATCGGCTGCTGCCTGGGGTGTTTTGGCAAGTTTGCCGATTGTCCCAAGCAATGAATTTCAGGTTTCTTGCAGTGTAATGAGGTTGAAAAGGAGTGTAAGACAGTGTACACGGATGTTTGACAAAGGGCTGAAGTTTGGAAACATACCCGTCCATGAGCACTCTATACTGAATGATAGATTGAGAATGCAGTTTCAATGATATATGGCGAAAAGGCCAGCTCCGCTGCTCCCACAACGATGTCCAAGAATGAACGTTCAGCTATAAGCGGACTGATTCCAGAAACTCGATCTGAGAGCACTGAGCATAACCTCCCTATAACTTCCTGAAGCAGCGGAATGTCATTTGAGGGCATCGACCGGATCTCAAGCAGGACAGATTGTGGCCGGCGAACAGATATGGTGCTCGCACGAATGCATGGTATGATGCCCACAAGGACCACAAGGTCTATGAGTCCGTAGACCATTGCCACGAGGGCCCCATCGTATAGAGCATCACCATGCGAGCGTGCTCGGTCGTGGATCTCTTCAAGATGCGAAAGTGCGTCTTGAACTGCTTTTGATCGGCTTTTTGGTCTAACGAGGAGTGTGGACAGCTGGTTTTGCTTTTGCGCGAGACTACCCTCTTAAAGACATGTCAGCAAGGTCTTGCCTGCATGTCCTGTAGCATTGAATACCATCGTTCATAAATGGCCTTATGAAGTCCGCTGCACTTCTGACGGCATCTTCGAGGGCGCCCATGATGGCTGTGTGGAAGTGGAAGATGGTGGTTGAGGCATCGAGGGAGGCAAGAGATGGAAAGCAGAAGACGCATAGGGAACATTTGGTGAATGTCACGGGAAAGCGCGATATTGGCGTTCCCACTAGCGTGTGGCCCAAGCTCCCTCGGGCCTTAAACGCGTCCCCCAGCCTCCTCTCGATTTCTCTTCTTTACCACACCCTCATTGCCGACGGCGGCCCAATTGCACCCCTTGTTCGCTTCAGTCACCGCCACCAGACTGGATCTTCGCATCCACTCCTTCGCTCGCGAATATCTGACGACAGTCGACAACGGCGGGCCCGCAATGCACCTCGAAGCTCTCTCTGTCCGCCCTTCTCTCGCCCTCGGGCACACACAAATCACGCATCTCCCTCTCCCAATAGCATGCCGATGTCTGTCTTCCGGGACTTCGGTCCAGGAATCGTAACAGCTCTCCTCGCTAGCCTGCCTTCGTGCCAGGAACACACACCCGAGCCTCGCAGCATGGTCTCAATGGGTCGTTAGATGTGATGGGTACTTGGGCTGCGGTGGCAACACCGTACCCGGCGGCGTGGGGAGGACAGGCTCGGATCTTAACCCTAATCATCTTGCGGTATTCTCCCACGAGAAGCAGTCGCGCGGTTATGTTGCCGACCTCATGACTACCTGTCGCTGCAAGCGGATGCAAGTCCGCGAGTGGCTGCAGTTAAAGTGAACGTCGTGGTTCGTGCCAGTTTACACATGCGCCTGGGCGGGTATTAAAGTTCTCATGCGAGGACCGCGTCGGGTATCTTGGCTGAACAACAGACTCTGGTCAATGGACGTTTTAGTGCTTGTCCTGGACGGCTCAGCATGGGGGAGATCCAGGTGGGAGGTGTCGGGCCTGCAAGGTCTTTTGGTTTCACTGTACCAAAGCTTTCCTTCCTCGTACTGCGATCTGACGCCGTCTGCCGTTCGCCTGCACGTCGAGTCCCAAGATAGTATGTTTCATTCAGCCGTCGCACAGCACCTTTAATGGTGCCTTTTCTGGCTTTTCTCTCGCAACAAGACGCTTCACCTTACCGATACCGAGCACGGATACATATTGCCTCACACACAGACCACTCCAATCTGCATCCTCCCGAGATCCACTCGTCGGAAAGGTGCCTTTGGCACCCAGCGAGGTCGAGGGCTGATTGTATATGGTGGAGGTATCCTATACATTGGCTTTTCCGTCACGCTCCAGCTGAGGTCTTGTGTGGCACTTGTTGCGGGGAGAAAAAGGAATCGGTGGCGCGCTGGGAGACTCATTTGCTGCATTTCAATGGGCACATCTTGGACTTGATCCTAGGAGGGCTTCGGCTGCGTTTCGCATGTTACAGGCTCGACTTTGGGTTTAGGTGAACGACCAGTACATCTCCCCTACACGCGATCTAGTTTACTAGACTTGCAAACCTGTCTCAAACTTCCATCCCGCCAACCAATCGACGCCACAAGACCTTTGCTACGGCACCCGCCACCCAGCATTGTCGCCTCTACGGCGTGTCCGACCAGTCGCGTTAATCGTCTCCTTGTACGTTCAGCTTACAAGTCGATCGACGAGCGCCGACTTTATATCTGCGCGACCTTTCCGGTTGTTAGCGGATGCCTACCTCCAGTGTGGAGATGGTGCGGCTTTTGAGGATGTACTTTGGCCGTTTCACAATGCCCTCCAACCAAGGAGAGGAATCAAAGACTAGTCTCAGAGAGGAATGCCAATACACACAGAGAAGACCCTGGCTTGCCAGATTTGGACATCGAGAGCGGAGAGGTGCATTGCGGTATCTGCTGGCGCGAATGAGGACTTCGCTGTGGAAGGGAAAGATGTGAAGAGAAGAAGGTCTGGAGGTTCGGGATTCGTGAGTATCAGGTCTGGTGTCGTTGTGCAGAGCTTTCTTCTTGATCCTGGAGACTTGCCGCTACCTGCTTCCAGCTATCACATCACCGCTTCTCTGAGGCCCGCTGACGATATGCGCAAGCATGCATGAGCGTCGTCAATCTGTTCATCCGTCCCAGCTTCATATGCTGGCTTCGTCGGGTTTAGGCACAGAGCGGCAGGACCAATAAATGGCTGCATTGGGACCTCTCCCCAGGGTGTCAAGGTTACGTACCTGTCTACTGCTTGTCGTTCCCCTGCTGTTTCCGAGTCTTCTCCCGACTGGGTCTTCATCGCGTGTCAGTCTGGGACATTGTCGGCTTGTCGTATTAGTCCGGGTTTCCCGGCATCGAAGACGTTTCAAGCGACTTGTTCTATGCGCTTGCCTGGGGTATGCGACCTGTGGTGTGTTGTGGGCAGGGACGTCGTGGGTGCGTCTGGGCTGCGGAGGGGCTCTGGTAGTGCGCGGTGGTGGTCTGGCGGCTTGGGGAGGGTAAGACTGGGAGGAGGCCGAGGAGGCCTGACCGTCCTTCGGGGCGGTCTTTGAGTTTTTTGATGAGTGTCCCCATCTCGACTGGAAAGATATCGCTAATTGTGAGTAGGTATGAGCTCGCCTGTGTGTGTGCGGCGGGCTTTAAGAACGAGTCATTGTTGGAGTTGCCTCTTGCTTTGGCAAAGGGGCAATGGTTTCGGTCTCAAAGTAGGTACCATTTTTTCATAGGTCTGACATATAACAAGTTTCGCTCGTATAATGAAAACCAAGATTTCTGACACTGATCACCCATACAATGTCTTACGAACCTTTCTCCTGAATAGAAGCTGACAGCAAATAGCAGCCGGACGTGCTGAATCGTGGCACCTGACTATTCGAAGATTTTTACGGTTCACAGAAAGCACAAACATCGGCTCATATCGCATTCCACGAAGCTGGCTGTGTTCCTTAGCCTCAATGTCAGCGTCAATCCAATTGTCCCGTCTTTCCTCAATGATGAGCTTTCCCGGATCATACCCAATCCTTTCTTTGGCGCTACTAGTTCTTGAATGGCGTACTGGATATACTGTAAGCCTTGCATCCCGCAACGGGAAAAACACAGAACTTTACCACACTCGTACTGCCTTAATGTCCCTGAGTCCCTATTCCGAGCGTTGTCACAAAGTGTTTCAATATGCCGGCATACTCAGTACCTGGCCAGTTATGCGTATGTACGCCGGAATCCGTCGCCTACACTCACTGCACTCACCATGCTTTAAGCTCTTTGAGACGTATCCCAACACCTTCCAGTTGATACTATGCTGCCGCTGTGCCTGCTGCCTCTGACCCTCCTGTAGACCCGTCGACATACAGACTGGGAATCTGAGAGTCGGCCAGGAGATGTTATGCAGCGTGTTGTGTGTTGGATTGCATGGTGATTGATTTTCCAAATGGACAATTTTCTGAGATTCATATACTACTATCATATTTTCAAGTACTCTCATTCCTAATGCTCGCTGACGTTGAAGAGTTGAGCTTAGTACGGAGGATTGACATCAGGTGCGCATTTTCCCGGTCTGGCTAGCTGAATCAGACAAGGTTTCGGCCTCACCGCCGATCTGGTCGACACCTTCAGCCCCTCCATCGACCTCTCACCAACCCAGTACACCCTCCATATACTATACAAATATACAAACCATTGCAATTGCAAACCCCCAATCCTAATCCCAGTTCTGCTCCCCTCTAATCTCTAACAACCCATCCTCCCTTCCTTCCCTCCAAACCCCCCCCCCCAAGACCCCACCATGAACATCGACACGCCCGCCATCCAAGCCGCCTACGCCTCCGTCCGCGCCGAGTCCTCGCCCGAAAACTGGCTCCTCCTCTCGTACGCCTCGCCGACGTCGGACGCGCTGACGCTCACAGCGACGGGCAGCGGCGGGCTCGAAGAGCTCAAAACGCACCTGCTGGACGACCAGGCGCAGTACGCGTACCTGCGCGTCGAGTACGCCAACGACTCGGAGTCGACACGCGTCAAGTTTGCGCTGATCATCTGGATTGGGGAGCGCACGCGGGTAATGCGCAAGGCGAAGGTCGGGTTCCAGAGCGGCGAGGTGAAGAAGGTGCTGCGGCATTACAGCGTGCAGATTGACGCGGGGGATCGCGGGGATTTGGTCGAGGGGGAGGTGGTGGTGCGGTGTCGGAAGGCGGGGGGTGCGGATTATAATGGGGGGAGGGGGTGAAGGGGGGAGGGGATGTGTACGCTGTGGCAGGTTGTGTTGTGGGAGCGTTGTTGATGGTGAGTAGGGCCAGGGTTTGAGGGAATGGTGAAGGAGAAGTGTGCGGTGGGAAGGTGGTTGCGTTGATGACGGTCTTCGACGACGACGGCGGGGAGATGCGTCAAGTTTTCACATTCTGGCCATAGACACGGGTAGACGAAGGGAAGGTTAGAAAGACGATTTCATCCGCCACGCGCAAATGAACAAGAACCTGTCTAGTATATCTCCTACGCTCAAACTCCTCCCTCTTTCTCCAAGTTTCCTAAACTCTGAGCTCCCAAACCGTTTCCCGTCAAGCAAGCACATCTAGTTATCCTATTCAAACCCTGAAGTTTGCCATCCGTCCATCCATCCCAAACTTCCACACCTTCAACTCCACTCACCATACCCAAACCTTCCCTAACCTCCCCCCCTTCAACCCCAAACCTCAAAATGTCCCCCACCACCACCCGCATCCACCTTCTCCCCCCCACTCCCCCCACCGACCGCACCATCGAAATCTGCCTCTACCACAAACTCACCGCCTTGCGCCACGCCGCCCTGCGCTCGTCCCCCGCCGCCTTCTCCCCGCTCTACCGGCAGGAAGCCTTCAAATGCACCACCCCAGACGGGCGGGCCGAGGCGTGGACGTTCGCCGCCGTGCAGGGCCCTTGCGCCAAGAACGAGCTGGAAAAGGACGGGAAGGGGGAGGGGGAGGGGGAGGGTGACGGGCAGGGTGAAGCTAGGCATGGTGAGGTTGACAAGGTTGAGAAGGTTCAGGTCCTGGAGGCGGATCTCGACGCGTTGGTGTCTGGGGAGTGGGTGGGGATTGTGACGCTGATTGCGCCGCCGCCGGCTGGAGATGAGCGGAGGTGGGAGATTAATTGGTTGTATGTGCTGCCGCATGCGAGGAGGAAGGGGATGGGGAGGCGGTTGTTGGAGGCGGCGGTGGGGTATGGGGTGCGTGAGAGTAGACTAAGGGGGAGGGAGAGGGCGGGGTTCCGGCTGCAGGTGGCGACGGGGAATGTGGGTGTGGTGGGGTGGTATGAGAGGTTGGGGTGGCGGGTGAGGGGGGAGTGTGTGGGGGGTTTGGAGATGGAGAGGTGGGTTGGAGGTGAGGTAGAGGCTAGTGATAGGGTATGAGTCGCTTTTGGAACCTAGCCACCACTGCCAGGAGCAGCCCCACTACCAGGAAGCATGTCAGTCAAGAAGCTACTCAATCCCCACAGCACGAAACTCCGCATCGCCCCTAGCTGTTTGAAAGCCCCATGGGGCACCCCAATCAGTATCAATCAGACTCTCCAGCAGTGGTATATCCGTGTGCCCAAACTCGTGGCCTGGTGCTGTCGTTGAGATTGAGGGGAAGATGGACGTGGGGTATGGAATGGGTTAGAGAGATAAAGGGATAGGTCCTGCGATATGCACGCCCGAGTGGCTTCAAACCTCTGGCAGAAAAGCGCGCCAGATACATAACCGCCGTGAAATGCTCCGTAAACTCCTTGACTTCCAACCATAACGCCTCCCTTGCCCTCCCCTCCTTTTCACTTCAAAATAACAATCAGCAAGACCAGTATGATGATTAACACCACGATCACCGTCAAGCTCCAATTCTCCCTCGCCTTCCTCGACACCCTCTCCAACCGCCCCCGCGCTCGCCGAAACTGGCCCGCGTGCCTATCCACCCCCTCATCCACCTCGTCCAACAGCAACGCCTGCCCATCCAACTCATCCCCAATATGCATACTCAACTCCCGCTGCCGCCCAATGCTCTGTCCCAGTCGATCCAGCTGCTCGTCCTGCTCATTCAGCACCTGACTGTGGTACGCGTGGATCTGCTGGTTGTCCATTTCGCCCTGGTCCGGCCCGGCGGCCGCATCCGGGTCGTCGCGGTAGGGGAAGAGCGCGGCGCGGGCGGGGTCAACGTCGGTGGAGTGCTGGGTAGCGGCGGACGGGTCGTCGGTGAAGCGGACGGATTTCGAGGGGCGGGATTGCGAGGCGGTGAAGTCGGCGCTGAGAGAGGGGTTGTTCGGGTGGGTGATTGTGGGGGAGGTAACGGCGTCGTTGGAGGCGAAGGAGGTGGTGAGGTCGGTGAGTTGGGTGCGGAGGCGGGGGAGGTCGGCGGAGAGGGAGCTGGGGGGTTGTTAGTTTGATGAGTTCTGGTGTCTGGAATTGGTGGTTCTGGGAGCGTAGGGGCTGGACGTACTCGTCTGGTGTGGCTTCGAGCTGTGTTTCTATGGCCTCAATCCCCGAGCGCAACGAGTCGAGGGAGCGGGAGATCTGGCCATCTTGCGAGTTTGGGGAGAGGTTCAACGAGATGGCTCGTTGGCGTTCGAGGAGGGAGAGCTTGATGTGGTCCGCTAAGAGGAAGAGCTGCGAGGGGTTCGTGGACATGGCTGCGGCGTGGGTGAAACTGTGGTTGAAGTCGAGGTTTCCGTGAGACGGAGCCGAGCACGGAGTCGCGGTTGGAGGTTGGCGGCAAGCCCAAAGAAACACAAAGGAGACGAATTAGACGCAAAGAGAAGGTCCTGAGAGCATATACATAGAACGGAGAGGGGGGTATGGCGAGGGCGTCTATATTTGGCGGAGTTGGTGTTGAAACGGATGGCTGAATGGTTGCGTAACGGTCCACAGAGATGGTCAGGTGACCCAGACCCAGCATACAGCTTAGTCATATGAAAGAAACCCTCGGCACGTGTAACAAAAGTCGGATCGGGTGATCTGTGAATAGCGGCACGACGACTTTATTTTTCGGTTTCACACGGCACCACAGCTTCTGAAGATTTGCTTAGTCATCGAAGTGACTCAGAATGCTATTGATCAACAACAATACAAACCTTCTGTTTACACGCCCGATTTCGGATATATAAGGTTAGCTTTTAAGGTTCGGGAGGAACGTCCACGTGAGTAAACAACTCACTCTCAACGACTATCGTAGCAGGAGACCGGTATCGGCTTCAGTCTTCGAGCCCCTGAAACATTCCTCCACCCCCCCACTCCATACACTCAAATCACACCACCCCCAAAGCTCTCCAGGCCGAGCACTCCACAAGCTGAGTCATAATACGCGTTTATTACCGTGCAGCCTCGGCGCAGGGGTACAGCTGGCATACCTGGGCGCTGGTGTTTGACGTTGAACAACAATTCAAGCAATCCTCGCCATAGCCGACAGCACCCCCCCATAGCTACTGCCAGCTATGCCCTCTCCTGACCTCTCTGCGCCCAGCTTATTATAACTCGTCGACTCCATCCACCGCCTCCAGACAACATCGTCTGGCCACCACCACAATGTCATCGACCCCTCAGTCCGACGACCGCCGCTCGCGGGCAAGCAGCAGAGCTGATGCACTGCCTCTAAGCACTCCCCCTTTGCCAGTCTCGACTGGCCCGGCTGTCGTTTTCGACTCATCCGATTTTGTGGTCGGTGGCCCGCCTTGCTCCCCTTCTCCTCTTGCTCTCAGAGCCTCGCACTCACCATCCTCGAAGCGCCGGAAGAGCCTCCGCACCCAAGCACCCGTGGATATACGCCTCCTGGAGTATGTGCCCAAGTGTGACAGCAACCTGGTGTGCTTGATCTGCCAATGTCCCTTCGACATACCCACCATGCTCGCCTGCGACCACGTCTTCTGTCGCGAGTGCTTAGACCATGCATTCAGGGCTCAGGACCACCGCTCGAAGCGCTGCCCTACCTGCCGAACCCATGTCGACCCCAAGAAGGAGCCCATCCCCGTCCCTCGAATCCTGCTGTCGATGCTGGAGGACTTGATGGTCAAGTGCCCGAATACGAAGGCTGGTTGCACGTGGTTGAACAAGCGGGATGGCGTGCAGAATCATGTCGATCTGTACTGTGGATTCTCGACGGTCGAATGCCCTGCCGGGGATTGCCGGTTCAGTGTCTTGCAGAAGGACTTTCACAAGGGGTGTCTTCATTACACCGTTAGCTGCGAGCTCTGCTACACGTCCATCATGAAGAAGGATCTTGAGGTATGACCATTCTCGTACTCCATGATGACGGTAACTAATCCAAACAGGAACATCAACGCACTGTCTGTGCTCAACGAATGATCAAGTGCCCGCATTGCGAAGTGGAAATGCTACGTCTAGACCTCAAAGTCCACATCAAAGACGTCTGCCAGTTTGCTCCGACCGCCTGCCCCGGTGCCATCGTCGGCTGCGGCCACACCTGTGACCGTCGATTTGTGCCTGCCCATGCCAAAACCTGCTCGATGGCCACTATGGCCCCATTCTTCCAAGCCCAGAAGACGCGCCTCGACGATCAGGAAGCCGCGCAGAAGCTCCTCCAACGCAAAGTCGACATCCTCGAAGGCGGTTTTACCAACATTAGCAACATCGTCTATCCGACGAACTCATCCGACGATTCTTCCTTCCCTGTCACCAACCCTCTGGATCCCAATGCGGCCGAGCCTTTACCGGAAACTCCCGATTTCCGCCTTCCACCAGCTTCGTTCCCTCCACCTGCCGCCTCTACAAACAACCCACCTCCACCTCCATTCGATATCTCTACTCACCACCTCCTCTCGCTACACGAGTCTCTTCGCGAGGAGGTCGGCCGTATCGCCAACGACCTCGCTTCCCTCGAGGGTCGCACCCACCTTCTCATCCTCAACGAGAACCAGCGCGCCAAAGAGGAGATGCTGCACACCAGCGCTGCCATCAACAGCCTCCGCACGCAAGTCCATTGGCTCTTGAGTGCGAGGCTGCAGCAAGGGCGCGCGTCCGCATCTGGCGGTGCCTCGGCCAGCGCGGGCGGGAGCGGGAGTGCTAGCGTGCCTGCAGGGAGCAGTCTGGGGTCTGCGAGCTTGGGCCCGCTGCGCAGGCTGAGCGACTCAACCCGGCAGGACACGAAGCTGTGATTTGAGTTCGCACACCACACGTTATCACGTTTCGGCATCAGCATCATCAGCATCATCAGCATGAAAAGAAGAAAGATACAAAAATTGAATCAAAATGAGAGGACCGATTAGGTTGGACCACGGTTTGCATGGATGCTTGGCACGGAAAAAGTTCAAGGTGACTGGATTACGACATCATACTTACGCCCGACATGAATAATACGAACACATACATGAAAAAAAAAGGGGGGGACGGGATTTTCTACCTGACGACCGGCTCGCCTGCCAAGCTCTGCGAGCAATAATCGGATGGAGTCTGGCATCATCGCATTCACCCATCCGTTCTTCGTCGACGAAAAGAAAAACAGAAACGAAAAGTGGGGTTTATGGGAGTTTTTTACGGTTTCTTGGTAGAACGGGATTTTGGGGGTGCGGCTCGGTACCTTTCGGCGTTTTTGAGATGGGTTTGACGACTTGGCTTGCGAAAGCTACCATCATGATGGGTAAGGGGCTGGGCTAGGGACAATGCGTTTGTAATGTATATACCCCCAATTGGCGCTGGAGCCGAGATTCATGGGAGTTCTGGCGGGGCTTTCTTGAGCAGGCATGCATGGGCCTGGGGGCTATGGAGGCCCTGGAGCGCGTGGCTGGTGTAGCGCGTGCGAAGGGGGAAAGCTTTTGGTGGGGTAGATAGGGATATCGATATGGTTTTAACGTCACTTGAACAGATTTCTGAGGAAATGCAGCGCGTGAATGAGATAATAGAAGGTGAAATAGAACAAAATGTGAAAGGGGTTTTCATGTCGGCAATGGCTAGTTCGAAAATTCTCCTCCAGTCCTTCCGAGCTTCTTTTTGTGGGTGGCTCAAGTGTATTCTTGGGTAAGTCCAAGTGTATGTTTCGTGCTTCGGCTAGCAAGGCAACCATACTATGTTACATGCAACGATAACGTACTTCACAAGCGAGTCGGCCACACAAGCGAGTCGGCCACCTCATCATATTTAGCTGCCTTAAACGTTGATTGCTCCACAACGCCAATAGATATCAACTAGATACAAGTTGTAGCCTAATCTGCAGCAACCTCTGCATCTTTTTTGCACGTACGAGCGTTGTGCCCTGGTTCGCCGCAGCGCCTACAGCGCTGCACGCCGCCGCCGGAGCGCGCTCCGGCTTGCTGCCTTTTGCTTTGAGCTGCCTCCTCGATTCTTTGAGCAGCTATTTGAGAGCCTGCTTCCTTTGTTAGAGTTCCTTCCCTCTGAATCCGCTTTTTTTTGCGCGCCTTGCGCTTTGTGGCAGCTTCATTTGCCTTTTGAAGGCTGGCAACTGTATCGCGCAGCAGCGTGGCTTTATGCTTTATAATTGCAGCACCTTTAGAGAGGCTATTAAGCGAGTCAAGAATAGCTGTAGGCGAGCTATTTTGATGCATTTGAATGCGATTACAAATTAAGGCTGATTGAGAGTCTAGCTCGAGAGCGTTGCTTGGTGTTTTTGATTCCCATTGAGCCTCCACGGCGGGAGGCGACGGCGTACGAAGCACAACATCAAGCTTTAAGAGCACTGCCTCTGGATCAAGCGGCACAAGGCCTGCGCCTCGAAAGCTTGCGCAAATATTGCTCTTTGTAATTGAGTTGTAGAATGCTGCTTTAAATGCCGGCAGGAACTCTAGCTTTGTGATGTGATTGATGTAGTGGCGTACTAGGTCCTCAATTTGGCGCCCGTATGCCTTTTTCAATGGCGAAAAGCAGCCAACATCAAGCGGCTGCAGCAGGTGCGACGAATGCGGCGGCATACAGAGAGCAATGATGTTGTTCTCCTTGCAAATTTGTTGGAATTCGAGCGAGATATGGCTCTTATGGCCATCAATAATCAGCAGCCGATGCGTGCCTATGGTGTGATCTTTTGTATGCATATTGAAATGCTGCAGCCAGGCAACACCAAGCTCATTCGTTGTCCAGCCATTGTCGCTCACTGCCATAACCTAGTCCGGTGGTATGTCGTCGCCCTCGTACCATGCAGAGAGATGGTACTTGCCTGCAAAGATGATGAATGGCGGGATGGCCCATCCACAGGCATTGATTCCTTGGATTATTGTTGTCCATTCGCGATTGCCTGGCTGTACAGCTTTTGGTCGATAGCGCCGCTCGGAGCCTGTTACAACCATGCTTGATGAGATGACGCCCATTTGGAAGCCAGCTTCATTAAAGTTGTATGTATCGTTATTAATAATGCCGTACTTTGCTTTTATATTGTATACAAGCTTAAACCAATCGCCAATAACCTCTGGATCTTCGCATAGAGCTCTTTGATAGTCGTACTTTCGATTAAACTTTGTTTTAAGCTCGTCCGTTCGCTTGATAAAGTTGTTTGGCCAGTTAATGCCCACTTGGCCAGCACCGCGCTCGGCGAGTAGCTTGTTGGCCATCTCTCGTACAGCAGTTAAGCTAGGCGAAAACCCTCGCGAATCCAGGTCGAGTATATGTTGAACAATGGCTGATTCTTCAAGCTTTGTAAGCTTCTTTGAATTAGGCTCACAATCGCGTCGTGCAGTCATTCCGCCGCGTCGGTCTTGGAGCGTGCTTTTGGGGACATTGTATATGCCTGCAGCGCGTCGTTCGCTTAGAATTTGATTTTTTCGGATAGCTAGGAGAGCTAAGGCTAGCCTGCCTTCTTTTTGGATTGATTGCGCGTTGTGTTGTCGACGCATATTGGTTGTTGGTTGACGCGTCGCGTTTTCGTGATGAGGTGGCCGACTCGCTTGTGTGGCCGACTCGCTTGTGAAGTACGTTACCTATCATTTCTCGTTCCTAAGGCTCTCATCTCTCCTCCCTTTTCACCCGCCGGCCCATAGCTTGAGAAACGCGCACGCGGTCAGGCGGCTAAAATTCGATAATGGGGATATTCCGACGCCAGCACCACCCCACCCCCAGAAAAGTCGTACACATTATTCCATTCCTTACTCTCCTCCCTAGTCACCGGCTCTCTCGTCCACGGCCCCCTTCTTGCACAAAGCTTCGCCGCGCATGGGCACGCGGCTGAGCCGTAGCTTTAGTGACCGAGGAGAGCGGAGACGGGAGTGGGCGGATGTGGCTGTTTATTGGTGGTCGCGAGGTGGGAGTGGCCAAGGGTGCGAATCGGAAGAGCGAGATTCTGGAGGGAGTCGAATGGTGCGGTTGCGTTGGGGTGGGTGGATTGGAAGCTTGCTCCGCGGCGCCTTTGATTGGGGATTGTTTTGCAGCGACGATGGTTGTTGTATTCGAAGGACTTCTGTGCCTAACTAGATAGTTGTGTTTGCCCCATCAACATCTTTTCAGCATCACGTGCGTAACGAGCTGACCCTGTTGAGCAACGGAATAGGGAAGGCTTCCGCTATGACGCGCGTTCTAGTTGCGCGTTTGGCCCTAGTCCGTGGGATTGGAGTCACTGGATACATACAGCTCCTTTTTCACCGCTTGCAAATGATTGTCTCGAGGGGTCGCATAGTCGTGGCTTGTTCTTATTCGTAGAGCGTATATCGATCGCTGCATTGCAATGCGACAAGCCAAAACTCAACCCTGGGAGTGGAAAGTTCCATGATGGATCCAGACAAACACGTGCTTTGCTAATATGGAAATAGCACTAGCGCATCACGTGCACGGGAAATCCCGTTAAGACCCCGTTCATTCGAGTACTCTACCAAGCTCCAGGCTCAGTTCCGTCTGGACTAGAACCTGGATGAGCAGTGCATTCCTTACAAAGCATCCGCTGCGCCCGTCCACGAGACTGACATACTTTCCACTGCGTTTTAACTACAGCCATGGTAACTGCATGGCTTCTCCGGCAAAAGGCAAGAGCGGGAATCTCATTCAGCTCGGCTCCACTACAAGGCCGGGAGCTTGCCCGAAATGCCTCTCTTGATGCAGCTTATATTTGGGTATGTTCACTTCCAGCCTAGTGAACGCCAAGTTGACCTCCTGCCTAGTATAATGGCTATACCGATGAACACGAACGTAAGTGAGAGCTGAACGGGATTTATTAAGTAGGCTTTGGCGGAGCTATGCGCGGAAATAGCTATTGAATGTAAGAAACTCTGGCTTTAAATCAAGAATCCATGCGTACCTTTGATTTCCTTGCAAACACTATGAGTGTTCTTGTACTTGCCACGCCAGCACTTCGAAATGACCTCTCCAAGCGGTCCGAGGGAGTTGGTTTCGGGAAAACTCCCCTTGAGAAAAAGAGCCTTGATTTCGCGTTCGGTAAGATCGTGATACGGGTTATAACCCGTGATAATCTTATAGAGTGTGGAACCAAATGCGAAAATGTCGCCCTGGATGCACAAGGTATCTCCAGGACTCCTGTAGCTTGCTGTGACCCCGACTAACAGAGGAGAACCCTCCAGGGAGGAGCCGGCGAAATCTGCAAGCTTCGCATTGAGGTTTTCATCCAGGAGAATGTTGTATATGTTCAAATCACCATGAATAACGTGCATTGAGTGAACAAAACAAAGGGCGTCAATGATTTGCTGGGCCCATTGAAGTTTTTGCTCAGAGTCGACTTTATGCGTGCTGAGATGAGCTTCAAAATTGAAACTGGGAACATACTCGAGGCGGATGCTATGTTCGTGAAGCCCATGGTATCGTACAATGTTCTTGTGCCCGCCGTGTTCCTGGAATTGCTCATAGATTCGCCTTTCAACGTCGGTGGAAGGTTTGTCCTCATCACGGTGCGGAAATTTGACGACAGTTTGTGATGCCTCATCAAGACATATCACACCCGTAGTACCATATGCAATGATGTTATCCCAGCAAAACCCAGTCGGATATTGTATGCGACCGTCCATGCTGTGTTCGAGCGACAACGAGTGGTCGACCTGGCTGTTTGCTTCGAGGCGGAACAGATAAGGGACGGAAACGAGAGTGTGAAGTTCAATCTAGAGACTAATCAGCAGAGTGCTTCTACTCTTAAATAGATCGTTATATACTTTATAGTTGATTCTAACCGGTGCTGAACTTAGGGCACAGCATGTTAGACACGAAGATCCGCTCGGGGACACATCAGGCACGAAATCTGAGGATGCTACCTTTGTATGAGAAGCAATAATTATGAATCGGGAGGTACGCTGAGGAGCAGGCAATTCCGGTAGAAGAAAGGGGCGCGCCTGGTGTCTTGAGGATAATAAAGAGCCACGGTGTGAGGTACTGAACCACCTACTTGAGGCCTGCTCGGCCCCTGCGTGCACTTCCTCTTACATTCGAATTCTTCTTTTTCCTTACGGAAGGTAGCCGGCTTCAAAGGAACCCACCTATCGTCGAAATGGTCTTGAATACGAACCGCCTGGGGAAAGATCCCTGCGCCGATCGGATGCTCTTAGCAACAATCCAGCAGGCGACCCACATGCGAATCGCCAGCTATACGCAGAGTCCTCCGGATCAGGCTCCGCCACAATTCCCCAGGATACTGGGCCATTGCAGGATGAGGACGACGAGGACGACGGCAGCGAAGCCGATCGAGACACTCCGGTTGCCAACTTCAAGGCCGTCCGGCGTAAGACGGAGTTGGATAGGGCTGAGCTGCTAAGCACCCTACCCCCCTCAGGCGTAAAAGGAGCGAAAGATTACACTGACAAGCTCTTGGCCTACAATCTCATCTTGATGAACCTCAACGCCGCCCAGGGCCATGACCCCCTCAATCGCCTGCGCAACGCAGGCAGGACGCACGCGAGAAGCAGGAGAAAGCCGATTATCTCATGGCTCTCATGAAGCGTGACGCTTCCACCATCTCCGCCATGACGCAGAAAGCCTTTGACGCCTGGGCTCTCACAATTCAAAACTGCTTTGGGGTTATACGGGCGAAGGACTATATGCAGCCGATACAATGGGTAGTTGAAGGCCTCTTATAGCAAGCGAACCTCTACAGCAAGTTAGGATATTTAGGTCGAAATGCACGTCATAGTGGATGTCCTGCATGTGACTTGTGGTGGGAAGGTGCCATTGGAGGCCGGCGGAGGGGTAGCGACGCCGTCCATGGCTGCGGTGGAAGGCGACGGCGACTGAGGTTGAAGTGGAAGCGTTGCAGAGATGAGTGAAAATTGCCAAGAAGCCACCTTCAGCCTGATAACCTCCAATCCTCGAAGCGGGAGGACGCCCTTCTTTCCTCAGTGCCAATCGGTGGATGTGTCCGCGCTCTGGTCTGCCCTTCCCATCACGTGGCAGCAGGCTTGGTCAAGACTTTAGTGGGCCCCGAACAAGCATGCTCTAGGAAAAGGAGGGATGTAATGCTAGAGTTGGAACTACGTCTGAAACTATACCGCTTTCAATATACGGCCGCCACGCACAGACTTCTGTATCCACCTCGGCCGGACCACTCAAATGTTGCCTTCTGCAAAGCCTGGTACAAGAACATAGAAGCCAGCAAGGCTTCTCCGATGAGCATCCCCCAGTAGACCTGTCGGCCGCTGTCTAGCGCAGAGCGAGTGTTCGAGATAACGAAGAGGTGTCGGATTGTTGATGCTAAAAGGATCACCCCAATCCATTGGCTCAGCGCGATGGTGGATGGGACGAGGTTCGAGGAGTCGATCACTGCGGGGTCGAAGATGAGATTGGGGAAGAAGGCAAAGAGGAAGGCGATGGTGATCTTGACGACGGCTTCGATGGCTAGGGAGATGCGGATGATGATTCCCGGGGCTGTGGGGTCAATTTGGATGGGCGGGGAAGTCGGCTTGGTTACGGGACCCAAGAGGGGCGTTGAAGGTGTGATTGAGGTGTATTGATGGGAGTCCATTTTTAGATTTGATGAGAGATGTGCAATCAGAGCAGATGTGTTGAGGTCTGATACAATATATTTTTTTACGCGGTATTGATTTTATCTAAACGGTTAGTGGAGACGCGTGTGCTCAAACGACGAAACGGCTGCTGCCTGAGACAACCTGAGTTCAGCTTGGGGATGGCGCTCGCAAGACTCTCCATTTCCAAGCGAAAGCGCGAACACTAACACATAGATCACCGTTTAGAGAGAAAAGAGGCTTCGTACGCGTAGGCCGCAACATTGACTTCAAGATTTCATTGAGAGTTTGAGCTGCGTGACGTTCGCCGCAACCATCAGCTCTCCACAGAAAAGAGACGGGACTTGAAGACCCAAGAGTACGCAGACACGGACGCTAGAGTACTCAAAATGGACGCCTGCTTGGCAGTTTTTGAAGATAATGAAAACCCACCAGTTGGGATCGATACCATTAGAATACCTAGGTAGTGCCGTGGAATAACCGCGGCGTGAAGATTAAAGAGCTGTACAGCCGCTACAATATTCTAGGACGCGGAGTGGTTTATGTCTTGGGAGAGCTTCAAGACGCGAGGAAGAGACCGATGATTTCGATAATGAAGAAATCATCTCCACAGGTGAGGTGGAAAAGGAGGGGTGAAGCGGGGATGAGTGGGAATTTTGCCAAGCCTGGATCGGTCCGAGATCACCGGCGGTGGCAGAAATCTTTCCAGCTCGATCTCAGACATCAACAAAATATCTTCGCGTCAGGTTGCGCGTCTTCATGGCAGTCCATCTCTTTATCTGGCCCCGAGATGCCACCCCACTCGAGTGTCCCACAACGACTCCTGTCTGCAACTCTCCGCATTCCTCGGCTATCCTACGTCCTCCACTGTAACTCCCCTACTCGAACCTTCTCCTTCTCTAGCAAGCTTGCAAACGCGCAATCGACTATCACCGACGTTGAGGTTGAGGGCTATGCACGATACCAGTTCCCAGAAAACTATGACGACAGGGAAGTCTGGCTGTTCGAAGGCAGGGCAACAGCACCGCGACCAAACGTGCTCAATGTCTCCACAATATCCCAACTTTTGACGACGCCTATGGCGCATGGAGTCTACATAAATCCACGGAATGATTGGTGTAAACGTCTTAGGCTTCTCAACCCCCAAAAAATAAAAATCGAATACGAGGTGCTTCCACTCGAAGCACAGCCTATGGACCAGATGCAGGGTAGACCGTTGAGGCAAATCAACTTTAGGTGTGAGGACAGGCCAAGAGATCACGCTCGGCGAATGGTGAAAATGTACAGCTTTCTGGAGGACAATCAGCATTGTATGGTTCATGTCCAGATGCCGACCAAAAAGTTGGACTGGGGACTGGGGCCGGCGTTTGACTGGGTGGTCGTCAATACTCCGCATTTGAGACCGGAAGTCATTATCAAGTCGATGCCAGAGGGGACGTCTATGGAGATGGTTCCGCATGCAGGCTATGGAGAGGTTGTGTGGGTTTTCGGGCGAGGAGAGAGCTTAAACCCTACGCAGATCAGAAGGCTAAAAGAGAAGCTGATGAGGAGCGCACGCAAGAGTAAAATTGGTCCAGAGGTGGAAAGCTCAGAGAACGTAAAGGAATTAAGTTCAGAATGATATCGCGAGGTGCTGATCGGATGTCACTGTGCACCAAAAACCATTCTACCGCCTCCGACAACCTTACCCGATGAGGCCTTTGCAATTCGCTCACAGACGGTCTCAGAGACTTTGGACGTCTTGAATAAAGACGTTCCCTGGCTGCCAATATGTCTTTGCTTAGACTGTATACCTGCCTTCGAATTTACTGCAGACACGGTTTCGTAAATCATTATGCGAACGGTGGTTAGCCCGATTACCAATGATCCTCAGGCACGGCCACCCAGGCGACCAATGTCTTTTAGTCACATGGTTTCCGGACTTTCGGGCGGATATAGATGTTCGACTAGCCCTCATTCGTATAACAAACGTGGCATGGTGTATAGCTTCATAATCGGTGCGAAGGAGGACTTACAAGACGATGAAGGATTCACACACGAGCTATGAACGCAATTGGCCCGCTTACTGGAATCGAGCGATGGGACCATGAGGATTGAGGAATAGAAGAATTATCAACCACAACGTTTCTAAGCAGATATTTCAATGACGGTACGTGAAAAAGTATTGCTAATAGTTGTCAACGCAAATCTCCTGGGGAGATATAAAACATTGAGCATCCACATCATGTATTTTCGTCACGCAAAACTTGTCTTCCAGTCACCATCATCTCTTGAACAAAGAATTACTTCAGCGAAGCTATCATGCCATCCCTCAAATCTCTCCTCTCACTCCTCTCCCTCCGAGCCATCACACTCGCCCTCGCCCACAACTCCTCCAACCCCCTTCTCGCCACAGGCGCCAACCTGACCTTCGCCCTCCCCACTCACCCCGTCCACACCTTTCCCGTCGGGACCTGGATCGAGAATCTCGCGGTGCGGGAAAACGGCCAAATCATCGCAACCGACGACACCCACCCGCGTATCTATCAAATCGATCCCTACTATTCTCACACTCCCGCGCTCCTTCTTCACGAGTTCAACAACACGGCATCTATCCTCGGCATCGTTGAAACCACCCCGGACGTCTTCTACGTCTGCACCGCTAATTACTCCTCTGCAAAGTTAGAAGGCTACGGAGAAGCATACATCTACAGACTCGACATGCGGCCGTTCTCCTCTTCCATAAAGAACTCAGCCGTAATATCAAAGATCGCTACCCTACTAGAAGCAAAAGCCCTGGACGGGCTCACATGGCTGGAACCCCGCGACGATGCCGAAGGAGAAGGTCTCCTCCTCATCAGCGACTTCCTCGCCGGCGTCATCTGGAGCGTCAAACCCGCCACCGGCGCCGTCGCCATGCCCATCAACAGCACCTATACGCGCTCCACCGGCTTCGGGGTCAACGGGCTCAAGATCCGCAACCGGAAGCTCTATCTCACGAACTCGCAGCAGCAGACCCTCGTTAAAGTCCTTATTAACTCGAAAGGCGAAGCGGTGGGGAATTACACGGTGCTAGCGCAAGGCGGGTTCACGCCGGATGATTTTGCGTTGGATGCGGAGGGGAATGCGTATGTGACTAGTTTTGAGGTGGGGAGGAACGGGGTTGTGTTTGTGCCACGGGAGGGTGGGCAGGCGGTGTATATCCCGGGGATGGCGGGGCCGACGGCAGCGGCGTTTGGGAGGGGGAGGGAGGAGGGGTGGTTGTATGTTAGTACGAGTGGCGGGGATTATGATTATTTGACGGGGAAGGAGGTGACGGCTGCGGGGGGCATTGTTAGGGTGCAGGTGGGGGGGAGGGGGTAGGGGTTCGTGACTAGGGGCATGGTGCGAGGGAGAAGAAGGGGGTTTGGCTGAACGGATAATTCGTGGGCGGTGTGGTGTGAGGATGCGGTTGGAGCAAGGGAGAAGGATGAGGTGTACACGGGACACTGTTCAAGGAAGCGGATATCGGTTCGGCCTTTGGTCTCCATTTTTAGTTACCGATAAACAGTTTTAACATCGTTCCCTGCAGATGTGTGCGGTGGTATTATGCAAATTCACATCGGCCTCTGATCACTCAGTTCAGTTGCCGACCGGTCCGGCTATATGTCTTCAATAAGCAAAGATCTTTGCAGTTCCATGCTTTTGCGGGGAAAACGAGTACGGTCTTTGGTAGACCACGAACTATATGTTGATAGATGAGACCGTGGAATTCAAACGGCCACACCGCATTCCGATAGTTTGAACCAGATAGATCACCCGAGAGATGGAGAGGAGGGCTACGATGTCGAAGTTCTCTGGGATCTGATCGGGACGATCTCGCCAAGGTCGGAGCGGCTCAAGATGTGCCGCGGCTTTCTCCACATCCTAGCCACCATTCCTCTTCCATCTCAACACGCTTACGCCTCCAGCCTCCGTGCCGCATCAAGCATTGATGATCCTGTGGGGTACTTTGTACCTGACCTCACCCCTCACCACTGCACGCGTCTCCGCAAAAGTCACTCGTTTTCTCCGCTTTAGCATTGCTACTGTGCCATGCCGCGGGCTTCCTGATGGCATTTATTGCATCATTGTTCCCCTCTCCTGTACTCCGTGCTAGCATGGACCCGGTGCCGATTTCTCATCATCATGGGTCGTCGAGTGTATTTAGGAGGGCTTACGGCTCTCGCTATATCATTGCTTTACTTTCTTACTTTGTCAGATGACGTGTCGTCTCCTTTCACTATGAGACCACGTAGTACCCAAGCTGTTCTGGCGGCATCGTTTGCAGCTGCAGGAAGCTGTCATGATACATACTGCCAGCAGAACCTTAACCTCAGCACCGTTTCATGGACCGTCTCGAACCCCAATGGTAGTGTTTCGGTTCCTGGAAAATTCCCCTCGCAAGCCCATATCGATCTCTACGCGGCGGGAGTAATCCCTTGGCCTCTATACGGCCTCGGCGACTTTGACCTCCGATGGGTCGCTTATTCGAATTGGACGTACACGTCGGAGGCATTGAAGGGACTGTTCGTAGCGCTTGTATCAAACTCTGATTGATGCGATACTGATCGAATTCGTAGGAGGCAAGATGCTGATTCGACATGGCTACTCTTTAACGGGCTGGACACGTTTGCAAGCATTGAGTTCTGCGGTAAACATGTTGCGGCCACCAACAACCAATTCCGACAATACTATTTCGACGTTACTAGCCTCTTGAAGGAGTGCAAAAGCAACCCTGTTCTCAGCATCAACTTTGGTAGTGCTCCTAATATTGCAGATGCAATTGCTGCAGAGCCAGGGCAAGAGAGTGAGTCTTCTCTGTGATCTTTAATACCAGTACTAACGATACCATCGCAGCGTGGCCATTGTGAGTCTTCTATCTTATCACGCAGACCTCGGCTGCATTTGCTAATAAGAGCAGTGGTGTTGAAATTAACTACGAGTTTCTTAACCGCCAGTTCATCCGAAAAGAGCAGAGCGATTTCGGCTGGGATTGGGGCCCAGCTTTTGCTCCGGTGGGACCCTGGTTGCCAGGATCTATTGTTCAACTCGCCGCTTCGGAATTTCATATTCGAAATTCCCTCGTAGACATCTACCGCGAGGGTCAGCTCAATTTGCTGCCGCCGGACCAGTCTCGCGACTGGGTCGTAAAAACGAGCTTGGATGTTTTCGGGAAACTTCCTTCGGACGCTTCGTTGACGTATAGTCTCCAAGATGCCAGCGGCAAGACAGTTGGCGAGGGCAGATTCGAGAACGTTACATCTGACAGCAGTACGATCACCGGAAGCGTGGTCATTCCAGCGGATTCAGTTAACCTTTGGTGGCCTGTGGGAATGGGTCCACAGACGTTGTACAGTCTGAAAATTGCTGTTGACAGCAATGGTAGGACGGTCAACGAGGTCACCAAGCGTGTTGGTTTCCGAACGATCGTCTCGAACCAAGGGCCTATCACCCAAGAGCAGCTCGACATGGGCATCGCACCAGGCAACAACTGGCATTTCGAGATCAACGGGCATGAGTTCTATGCCAAAGGTTCAAGTATATCCCGTCTCTGCTCCGCGATGTTGTATCTTTGTTGACGAATGCAGACCTCATTCCTCCGGACGTTTTCTGGGCCAATGTTACCGAAGCTCGGATAAAACAATTGTTCGATTCTGTCGTCATCGGAAATCAGAATATGCTTCGAGTTTGGTCGTCCGGAGCTTACTCACCCGACTTCATGTATGACCTTGCGGATGGTAAGCTCCTTTCTGGGATCCCTTCCGCCAAGTGCTGACTTTCACCAGAGATGGGAATTCTGCTATGGAGCGAATTCGAGTTCGGAGATGCCCTTTACCCAGTTGAAAAAGAGTTCCTTGACAACGTGAAAGATGAAGTATACTACCAAGTCCGACGGATCAATCACCATCGTGCGTCACCCACTCTTTTGGCTCAGGTAGTCTTTACTAATTCGTGCAGCTTCACTTGCCTACTGGGCCGGTGGCAACGAACTCGAGAACCTAGAGTTGTATGTTGTCGAAAATGCTGCTCCGAAAGAGCTAGATCGGTACACGGCCGAATACGAGACTCTGTTTCTTGACACGATTGTGCCTATTCTTTTCGGAAACTCGAGGAGTATTTCGTACTCTCCCAGCAGTACAAGCAATGGATACCTGGAGTTGGACTTTTCGCTGCCTCAGCCGATAACCGAAAGATATAACAACAAAACCCCTGGCTCGATTTATGGCGAAACAGGTTAGTGGCGTGCCGTCTTCTTCGTCTTGAATCACGACTAACCGGACTCTCCAGACCACTACGACTATGACTCCACAGTAGCCTTCGACATATCGTCGTATCCAATTGGACGATTCGCAAATGAGTTTGGTTTCCATTCGATGCCATCCTTAGAGAGTTGGCAGCAGCAGATTGACCCCGCCGACCTCTACTTCAACTCCTCCACGATCGTACTGAGGAACCATCATTATCCACCTATGAATACCAATACATCAAACTATGCAAACAGTACCAAAGGCATGGTTGAGATGACCCTAGCCGTCGAGCGATGGTATCCGGCGCCTCAGAAGGAAGACCCAATCGCCAACTTTTCCGCCTGGTGCCACGCAACGCAGATATTCCAAGCCGATTACTACAGCTCGCAGATTCAGTACTACCGCAGCGGAAGTGGACGGCGTGAGAGGCAACTTGGATCGCTGTACTGGCAGCTGGAGGATCAATGGCAAGCACCAACCTGGGCCGGGATTGAATATGATGGGCGATGGAAAGTCCTCCATTATGTTGCAAGAGACATCTACCAGCCAGTCATCGTCTCGCCGTTCTTCAACGCGACGACGAAGGATTTTGAGGTCTGGGTTACCTCCGATCTTTGGTCTTCAGTCAAAGGCGCCGTCAACCTGACATGGTACGATTGGTCTGGAAAGCGCCTGGACATCGCCACGCCTGTCACTCTGCCAGTGACAGTCGGCGCAATCAACTCAACCAAAGTCCTCCAAACCAACACGAACGACATCCTCAAAAACCACGATCCTCTAGACGTCGTCCTCGCCATGTCCGTTTCAGTCGAAGGCCAACTCCCTAGCTCGAATACCACCCAAACTCTCACCCACACGAACTGGTTCCACGCTGCGCCCTTATCCGTCGCTCACATTGTCGATCCCGGCCTCAAAATCACCCCCGGCAAGGACAGCTTCACCATCGAGGCCACCACGGGCGTCGCTGCCTGGGTCTGGCTTGACCACTCCGCAGGCGTGATGGGGTATTTCGACTCCAATGCATTCTGGCTCGCTCCAGGAGAAAAGAAGGAGGTTGGGTTCACGGTGACGGGCGGCGAGTGGATCGATGGGACAACGGTGCAGAGCCTATGGGACTTGACGCTCCCTTGATAAGGTGGCTGGGGATCAGGCGACAAGGCGCGGCCCGTGTTTAGTGTGGAAAACGTCGGGAAATATTGCGCGAGCACTCTCTGCTTTCATCCATTCAAAAGTATAAGGGTATGTTTTCTGTTCGCTAAGCCCCGTCGGTGCCTGGCGCTGCCTGAAATGCCAGAACTTGGGGGCCGAAAGGCCCACCGGTCGCGTGTTGCTGCCTCGGCGCCCTGGTACTCGACGAGAGGTATTAATTCGTGTTGGCGACGCTGTTAGAGCCCCAGCAAAGCACAACGCGAAATCCGAGCGGTATCACGGGTATGCTCTCACGTGACTTGAACCAACATCGGGTCGGCCCCTCTTCTTCCCTAGTTATATCTGCCCCACCGAGTTTTAGGTCTTCTATCGTATTCAATTTCTCTCTTCCCGTATACTCTACTGTTGTTGATAGCTCGAAAGACGACGACGACCCCAACCCTCGCGATGGCGGATTCCGCTAATGCCGTTGCTGTCGATGCGATGATTGAGAACGAGCACGAGAATGAGACCGGGAATGAGATCGAGACTAGGAACGAAAATGAGAACGAGAATGAAGCCGAGAACGAGAATGAGCCCGAAATCGAGAACGAGAAGGAGAGCGCCGCCACGGATCCTCCCCGTGCTCCTACTCCTCCTCCTCCAGATGCCCCAAGCCAGCCTGATCTCAACTATCTCAGCAACACCGAGCAAGTCGACCTCCTCACAACGAGTCCGAAATACAAATCAATGGCGAAACTCCATGCGCTCCTCACCAGAACTACGCTAGGACCTTCCGCCTCTGATGCCCCAAGTCCCGAAGCAGGTCCGGCCGCTCGTCTCCGCTTGCACGTTGCCGCCGCCCAAGCACGGCTGCAGCAGATCATCGCGCAGGAAAAAGCGGCGAAGATGGAACTTACCCCCGAGCAGCGGAAAGAGGTGTTCCCGTTCCTGGCGCTGCCGGCGGAGTTGCGAGTGCTAGTCTATGAAGAGCTACTTGTTACCGATGATCGCTTGCTCGTGACGTGGCGTGGCCCGAAGAGAGCGAGGGTGCAGCAGAAGAAGATGTGGACAAGCGTGCTGAGGGTCAACCGGCTGGTGAGTGGGGAAGCGAGGGAGGTGCTGTACGGGGGCAACGTGTTTGACTTCGGTACGCTACGCTTCCCAGGCATATCAACTTCACACGTAGACGACACAGATGGGAGTGCAGATATTAGCTAACGCCCACCGTGCCGTGCAGAGGAAATAATGCTCAAATTCTCCACTGGCTCCTCCTTCCTGACCGCCATCGGCCGCCACAACGCGCGCCTGATCCGCACCCTCGTCGCCGACGTCTCGGCCACCCGCGAGCTGCGCGCCGCGTCGCCGCTGCGCTCGCGCAGCGTCACGTACCGCGCCCTCGACACGAAGCACAACTACCACATCAATGCGCCGTTCTTGGCTACCTTCCTCGCCAGCTGGGGCATCTCATTCAGGCATTTGAGGTTGCTGGCCGTGCATCTGCAGCACATGGGGAAGGATTGGTATGATAGTGATTGGGTGGAGCCGGTGTATAGAGGCGGCGCGAGGAGCTTGGAGGAGGAGGAGGAGGAGCGCGCGCAGGAGCGCATGGCGCTGAAGAGGAGGGAGGAGGTTGAGAAGGCGGTGGAGGTGGTGAGGGAGCGGGAGGGCGGGTGGCTGAAGTTGGTTAGGGAGGAGGAGGCGAGGGGGTTGGAGGGGGAGTGGGAGAGGGTGGGAGGGAGGTGGTTTGTGTATAAGGGGGTAAGGAGGGGGGAGGGGGAAGAGGATGAAGAGATTGAAGTAATTGAGGAAGGGAAGGGGAAGGGGAAGGAGAAGGAGAACGCTGTTGAGGGCGATGGCGCGGAGGCAGCGGCTGAGACGGATGCCAGGGGGGTGAGCGGCAATGGCGATGGTGAGAGCGTGAAGCAAGATGCTGCTTGGGTGTTGCCTAGGCCTCGGAGATATTGGCACTAGGCGCTGTGATCTCTCAGACAAACTCCAGGGCGCTGATTCACGACGTTCCGATCTTTACATCCGTTTCTCGATTTTGGAAGTAGGTTGGGGGACTCCTGACGCTGGCGGCTGGTGTTGTAACGTTTTTTTCCTTTCCTTCTCGTCTTATCGCTGCAATTATCATTACTCTTCCAAAGGTGCCCCGTATCCTCCAAGCGCAAAACTCAGGCTTGTACAGCTAAGATTACGGTAGTAGGCCAAAAGGCACCTTGGGCGTACTGGCATAGCAGGAGCCTCAAATCCAGGCCCTCATTGTTTCAATTCACTCCCTAGCAGAATCCACTGCCCAGGGGCACCATCCATGGTCTAAGCACCCCGCAAGACTCAAGTCTATGCCGCTAAGATTACGGTGGTAGGCCAAAAGCCTCGTCAGACGGCGTCACGACGGAACAGTCCCAAATCACGCATTCAAACACCTTACATTCACTTTCTACCAAGATCAGACCGCTAAGGGGACCACTCATGGTCCAAGTACCGCTCAAAACACACGTCCACTTAGCGAGAATTAACGCAGTAAGTCAGAAACCACATTAAACGATATCACGAGGCCACAGTCCTGAATCACACAGTCAAGCGCTTGACATTCGCTCCGCAGCAGAATCTACCACCCAGGGACGCCATCCATAGTCTAAGCATCCCGCAAAATGCAAGCTCACATGGCCAGAATCACTGCAGTACGTCAAACTTCACGTCATATGGCAACATAAAGTACCCGTCCCAAATCACATTGTTGAACGCCTGACATTCACTATCCAGCAGAACGAAATGCCCAGGGACATCTTCTATCGGTATGTACGCTGTCAAAACGCACGGTTCTAAATCACGTCGTCAGACGCTTGACATTCACTCCGCAACAGAACCGAATGCCGAGGGGGGCCATCCACAGTCTAAGCATCCGTCAAAACGCACGCCCACAGCTAGAATCACGGTAGTAGGTCAAAAGCGACATCAGATAACATCACGAAGCCACGGTTCCAAATCACGTCGTCCAGCGCTTGACATTCACTCCGCAATAGAACTAAATGTCCGAGGGCGTCCCCAGTCCCAATCACCGCAGTACGTCAAACGCAACATCAAACAACATCATACATCCACAATTCCAAATTACACCGTGAAAAACTTCTCGTTACTCTCACGCCGACTACACCGCACCGAGGCCCCACAACTCCGCCAACACTCCCCCAAAACCTATTCAGCAGCCGGCAGATGCACATCCCAGTTCTTCTGCAGCTCCAACGCCCACTTCCACTTCTCCCTGACCCACTCTCACGCCAACTCCTCCCACTCCTCCACCCTCTCCCGCCCCTCTTGGCACATCTTCCCCGCCTCCGCGGCCGCCTTCCGGCACGCTCCCGAGCAATTTGCGACTTCTTTGCGCCTGTTGCTGCCACGCTCCTGGTAGGAGATTGAGCCTGCGTGGTCCCACAGCCGCGCGGCCTCTTCGTACCCGTGCACCGCCTCTTTGGCCACCTTTTCGCGCGTTATTTTAGTATCGTGTGATCAAGCAGAAGAACTAAAACAACCAAACGAGGGCTGCGTAGTGGTCCATCTTGTGCGCGAAGGGTGGCGAAAGGTGACGCGAAGGGTGACGAAGGGTGTGATGACAGGTGACGAAAGGCTCTAGAGAGGATCGTTGAAGGAGGAGAAGACGTAAGCGCAGTGGGGTGGAAGAGATATAAACAACCGTGCCGAGAGTGGGCGGACGTTGTTCCGGATCACATGTGAGAGTTCGAGGAGCTTGGGTCATCGCTGTCTGAGGTGGCTCGGCGAGCTTTCAGGTTGGGCAAAATGACGTCGGTCGGGTTTGAGAGAGTGTACGGGGGGACTTCAGACGGCGGTATGCAGGTGTAAACACATGTATGACGAAGTAAGATATGACGAAGAGGGTAGGGGACAAAAGGGGGAGAAGGGGAGTATTTGGGACTAGAAAGAAGAGAAGTGACTTGATGTGCTAATCTTCACAGCATGATGCCGATGCTGGGAGTCCTTTGATATCATTCTCGGATCGAGAACGAGATGTTGGGTTTGCAGCGTCATGGATGATGCTACTGATTTCTCATACCTCGATGACACCGTCAGCAGTCCTCCAACGTCCTTCACCAATGGATAACGAGAATTAAAGCATATAATGATGTTAATGAGGCAGCTGATCATCAATGGTACGATGCCACCGTCTGAAGTCCTCTAGCAGCTTTTCCAAATCAGGAACCTGATGTGAAGTCTCGTTCGTCGTATATTACTTTCGACAGTATTATGACTGTCCGAAGTCCTTCAGTGCCCTTTCGAGAACGCTAACAAGATGTAAGAACCGTCTCGTCGTGATTCTCGGAATCGGAACTCTATATTGTCGTCCCTCAGCCGGTTCTCCAACGTACTAACAGAATTCGGGGGTAGCGGATAAACTTCTAATCTGCGTACACACTGCTGACACCGTCTAGGATAGCCTCACAGTTTTACTCGTTGTCCAAAATGTCGAATTTTTCTCTCATTCAGAATGCTGAGGATACTACGAGATTCCTCGCGCAGCGGTAAACGAGTGTATGGATATCTGCGACGATGCACTGCATGTGGTTCTTTTCGCGATAAGACAAAGAGAAAAAGTTGGGCGTCTCATAGTCCTGGGCTGGATTCTGGGGCAGGCGTAGTAGACTCATGCTTCCCTAGACAATAAACACGTCCCTTCTCTTTCCCGCTCTTCACCCCCCGGTTTCCATCTCTGCATCTCAGAACTTCACATTCTGTCAACAGACATACCATTCTCGCATTATCCACTTAGTCATCCGTTTCAGCACGTATCATCATCGTATAGCTATCCCATCATCCGTTCGATAGCTCAATTCTCTCATTTTACTCGCTCAACTATCCGTTCGAGCGCTTGCTATTCTCACGTCATTCTCTCCGGATCTCTACCTCTCGTTACTCAAACGCTCCAGGACGCGGAAGACGGCGAAAATGTCCACGATCAGGGATCTGGACACACGAAGTGTGGCGAAGATGTTCAAGATCACGAAATCAGCCATACGCAAATGCAACCAGCTTGTGGACACGACCGCGGAAACAGCCGGAAGAGGGATCACCTCTGTTCAAGCTCGCTTTCGCTTGAAGGAATCTATCGAAAAGTACTGGATCGCAGAGTGTGACCACCATTTCGATGTCTACCTGGAAGGTCGTCTACGGTCGCCCAAGCACCTATCCCTGGTACCCAGCGACAGCTCAAAACCGTCGTATGATATCTATTTCAAAGATGCAAAATCCATCAGGGTAGACCGAAAGGACGGCGAGACACTTGCGAATGCGACCATATGCGCTGGAACTATCGGGTCCTTGATCCCTGATGGTACTAGTACGTCGCTGTGGTTCTGCTCCTACCCCCATAAAGATCGTTTGGGGGCCTACATGATTGATATCATACCGGACATGCTGACATCGGATCGTCCTCTCTCTCTCTCTCCTGCTCCACACTGTCCGTTTCAGTGGTTCGTGTGGACACGTGCTGAACTAGGCATGTTCGACGGGATGGTGCATAACGTTGGTCTGCTGTTCGGCCCCAATGCCGCATTAAATCCATGGGCGGGCTTCCATAACAAAATGCCGAAGATTGCAATACACAAGAGGAGTAAGGTGGGAATATTAAAGGTCGCCAAGGGTGACATGAGGCCAGAGGTGGAAGACATTGTCGTAGCGACCTGCATGGCCGTGTTGAAAGAAGGGGAGCCTGGCTGGAAGAGACTGGGTGGCTGGTGAGTAGAATCCCTCCCTCTCCTGTCTCGGAACCTCCAATGCTTGCAATATACTGACACTTCGCAGTACAGTCATGTAGTGCAATGTCTAAGCTTCGACTTTCCAGTGCATCCTCGCTGTCAACCCCGATTAGTACACTGTTCTGCCATTGCTCGTGGTAATTTAACGTATCAAACATCACCTGGACTTTCACCTCCATCTTCGAATCGGTGCTGATCTTGTAACTGTCGATGACCCCTCCGAACGTTCATCTTGAGCGGAGTAGCAGTTCCGTTTCCCGATTGTAGCGGCATCTTCTCTCTCAGCCTTTAGGTCCTCACCATATCAACGCAGTGCTGCATTCTACTGCACTCTGCCAACCCCAGGGTAAGCCCTTCCCGTCATCCTTTCTCGCCCCACGGCAACAGGCAACGGCAATAACATCTAACATCTGATTCCATCAATTTTAATTGGGGCCAGATTAATTCCCTTATCCTCATGCGCTCTAGGGTAAAACGTAACCATTTGTTCCACATCCAGTACCCATCTGAACATCGCCCCGTCCTTATTATGATGATACGCTTGAGTTGTGTTCCGGCGCATGGCCAAGATGTTTCCAGGCTCACAACTAAGGATGGAACTGCTGTCGACGTCGGTGCGTACGGGCCTACCACGTACCTCGACGCCGTTGTCGGTGAGAGAGCCGCTCGTGATTTGGCTAAGTCTCGTGACTCCCACGTTTCATCGCCTATGTTCAGCTATAAAGCTTCAAGAATCCTCCGGCCATACGGCCAGCATGAGGGGCTTTGTGGGTCGTTGGGTTCAAAACAGGAGACTCCATCGCGTTATGTGGCACCATCAACAGGAACGGGAAAGTCCTTTCATGGTCTGGGCCGGTGGAGGAAGTTGTTGACAGTTCGCGTTCAACAGGCCACATTCCTGGGGATTGTGAGGAAGACGACGACGAAGATGCTCTATGTGCGGAGTGTTCATCCACGAATATGGTGCTCATCATCACCATCCACTTCCGCGACACGTTTTCTCTATTCCGAGAGTCTGAAAACTTTTGTTGTCATGCTACTACGGCATCCGGGACTTCCCGTAGATGTAGTAGATCCGCTTCATATAGTGCTGACAATTATTATCACCATTCAGTATCGCTCCCGCCAGTCCAAACTTCCAACACATGATCGTGCGGAAAGCAATGTTTCAGTATCGCCCCAGTAATCCACTCCCTCCGAAATCCATTTTGGGGGATAAACGCGATTTTTGCAATCCCAACCACAGCCCCAACCATGGGTCGGTATCGCGCACGAGTCTGATCCGCCGCAGATGCCCTCCCATACGATAGTCTTCATCGAGTTTTCGATCCCGGCCCAGATCCTAACCATGAGGCATTCACCGTGTATCTCACAAGCCCATTGTCTTCCCAACTCTGACGAACGCGAAACCTGAATGGCGGCGAGGTTCTTATAGTAGATATGAGGGCGTTAGTAAGCAGCCTCACGTGCTAGTCATGTGATCACACGATGACTTGAGGGCACGGGATATCATCGCGGATCCAAGGATATGGACACAGAGGCAGCAAAAGAAGGTTTCTATATCTTCTCTAGCACATGCTCTATACTGCGCCCTTTTACCAAGGGCTGTTGGGCGAGGTTTTCCCAGGCATGAAACGATTCAACCCCTCTGAGGTTGCTATGCGAGCATTCATGCAGAGTAAGCTCAGCCACACTTGGGGATTCCCAGGATCAAAATCTTTCATAAAGCCTCAGTCCTCGAAGTTCAACCTCCATCTTTCGAATCGAATTTCCGTCTCCATTCCATTCATTTCATTTCTCTCTCAAAGTGCAATCAGTCAAACCAAAATCCCTATTCCCCATCATCTCAACCCCTGCACCCATCAACATCGTCCTCCCACCCCTTTAGACCAACATGGCCACCCCCCTCCCCTACACCGCCCCCGACGAGCCCTCCCAAATCGACGCCCTCATCGCCGACCGTTCAATCCGCAACTTCGCCATGCCCCACGATCCCCGCTTCCCCGCCTACGGCATAATCCAGTCCTACATGGACGGCACCACCACCCTTTCCGCCAACGTCTCCTCCCTCGCCTCCCCTGTCGACCACGCCTACAGGCACCCCCTGCCCCCCGCCCAGCGCGCCGCCGGCACCTCCCTCTCCCTCTTCGACCCCTGGTACGCGGTCCTACACCACGCGCACCGCAACTCATAGCGCTCCCCGACCGCCCACTCCGCCTCGTCGCCCTCGTCGCCCTCGTCGCCGCCCTGAAAGCCCGCCCGGACCCCGCGCCCGCCTCCATGCCATCGGCGCAGCTCCGCGCGCTGTGCTGGGTCTGGGAGCCTGGCGTCGTGTGGAGCGTGCTGCACCTGCTGGGCGCGGCGTTCGTCGAGTCGTACAGCGCGCCGGCCATCTACGCGCGGGGGGACGCGGCGAAGCTCAGCGCGCCGCAGATGCACGCGTGGACGAACGTGTGCGGGTTTGTGGCGCGGCTGGCGGCGGAGGGGGTGTGGGGGGTGCAGTTTGGGGTTTGGGGTGCGGGTGGTGGAGGGGCCGAGGTGGACGATGCGAGCGAAGGCGAAGG